AACTTTTTATCGAATTTGTCCCCATAAAATAGTGGTTGCTTTAATTACAATTTCAAAATAATAACCTACTTCACATCATGACCACCAAAAAAGGGTAAAATATTTTTTAGTGCATACATTTGGGAGATAAGTGAAAATTCTCCAACTATAAAAAAATATAGTTATCTATCAAATTTATTCCTAGAAAATAGTGGTTTCATAAATTAATTCTTCGAAATATAAAATTACTTCAAAATATGGTCCCAAAAAATATTTTTTAATGCATACTTTTCGGTTCTGAGTGAAAATTCTTCAACTACAGAAATTTATATATTTCTCTCAAATTTATTCCCATAAAATAGTGGCTTCTTAAATTAATTTTTCCAAATAAAAACCTATTTCATTCCCATCATAATCCAAAAAATATTTGCTACTGCATAATTTTAGGCTGCTGAGTGAAAAATCTTGAACTATGAAAATATATGTAATTCTATCAAATTTCCAGCTTCTTAAATTGCATTTTTAAAATAATTACCAGCAGTTGGCTTTTAAGAAAAAAAATTAAAAAAAACATTGCATACTTTTGGGGTATTCACAGCAAAAAAAAATATAATTATATCTATGGAAACATTTAAATTTCCCATGTATGCTGCTTTAAGAATATTTTTACGAACTAATAACCTACTTTACACGATGAACCCAAAGCCATTTCTCCGGGTTTTCCTTTCTACCCCCACCAACCTTTTTCCACTCACATTTTCTACACACATTTTTTGTGAGATGTTAAATTTGCCTTTGGCCTGAATCCGGTTAAACAGCTAATTGTTACACAAATTAGCAAACACAGCCCAAACTTGTAAGATTTCCATGGAAATCTTTTTTTCTTTCAGATAAAACTTCAACAGGTCTGTATTCATGAAGGAGAAGGGGAGAAACAGTGTTTTTTTTTCACTCTATCTGGATAACAATGTTGATTTAAGGACTTAGGACTTTTGTTGTGTGAACAATAAACATAAATCATAAATTGGGATTTGTTAAGAGCAAAAAAAATCTGGAATAATAACAACAGGTATTTGATTTCTATGGAAAAATTTTGAGAGGAAAGGAGAGGGTTTATTATAAAAGTGAAAATAATTTTTCCAAAAAAATTAGAAAAATAAAATTTCAAAAATATGTAAAACAAAATTAAATATTATTCTCATAGTTTTGAATGGGGGTGCGTATGATTGTTAATAATTAAAAATTATTTTAGGACCTTGGGGCGTATGATTTTTATTATTTTTTTGCCAGGGAAGCGTATGATAGTTGGAAATTCGATAAATAAAATTTTATTTATTTTTTTCTAACAGAAAATTTCATTTTTTTGTTTGAAAATATTTTTCTGTGGTACAATTTCAATGGTTAAATTTCCAAAATAAAATTTTGAAAATATATAACACAGAATTCAAAATCTTTCTATGTAGATTCATTGTTTGGCATGGGGGTGCGTATGATTGTTAATAATTAAAAATTATTTTGGGACCTTGGGACGTATGATTTTTATTAATTTTTTTACTAGGGGAGCGTATGATTGTTGGAATTTCCATAAATAAAATTTTGATAAATTTTATTTATTTTTTCTAACAAAAAATTTATTTTTTTTTTTTTGAATTGCCTTTAATGTCCTCTCAAGATCCAGGATAAAAATCATGCCCCAAAAATATGCAAATTTAATACAAAAATTTTTCATGGTACAATTTTCCATGGTAAAATTTCCAAAATAAAATTTTGAAAATATATAAAACGGAATTCAAAATCTTTCTATGTAGATTTATTGTTTAGCATGGGGGTGCGTATGATTGTTAATAATTAAAAATTATTTTGGGACCTAGGGGCGTATAATTTTTATTAATTTTACAAGGGGAGCGTATGATTGTTGGAATTTCCATGAATACAATTTTATTTATTTTTTCTAACAAAAAATTTAAATTTTTTGAATTGCCTTGCCCTTCCTTTCCTCTCAAGATCCAGGGCAAAAATCATGCCCCAAAAACATGCAAATTTAATACAAAAATTTTCCCGGATTCAACTTCAATGGTTAAATTTCCAACTGTCATGATGATCATTATTTGTTGTTGTTTTTTTTTTTTTTTTTTTTTTTTTTTTTTTTTGTGGGTTTGTTTATTGCTGCCTTAACTAAAACAATAAAACTAGGCAAAACAAAATAAGTAGAGAGACGGAAAACAAAGAAACCCCAGCTCCGAAGAAAACCTTAAGGACAATGTTTTCCGTTTTGCCTTCGGACTCATTGCCGTGAGATATCTGCAATGCGAAGAAGACCTGTAAATGCAAAAATCGTTTATTTGTTTGCATTAAATGTACAAAAAGTAAGGGAATTGCACATTTAAATTTTTCTGCCGATAGCATAAAGCCGCTCCATTATAAATAATGCAATAAGTTGCAAAGTTTTGACTGTTTTTTTTTCGGATTTTGATTAACATTTGTCATTTAAGTTGGAAAATCAGCCAGGCAGGCACAAGGACAAAGAGTTTTCCAAGAAAACAGAAATAGTTTTATTTTTATTTTTCGAAAAGAAAACAATTTAATTGGTTTAGCAACATAATTATCGAAAGAATACCATGAAATAATAGCTTTGGAAAAAAATTTTTGTTTCTAAAAAAACTTTGACAATTCTTAAGTTTTGGAATGCAAATCGTGGAGATTTATGGCAGATTATTGTTCAAAAAGTTAAGGTCTATAATTCATAATAATCTGGGTACTAATTACATGGTTATAAATTATAGGCTTTCTGATATCCATGGATTTTGAAACAATTTTAAGGCCACTAAAAGCTTGAAGTTATAAGTTTTTGTAGATTGCTCTTGAAGAGCTAAGTAAGCTCTATCATAGTTAAAAAATCAAGCCTATAGCTCTTATAATCTTTGAGATATGGAATTTTTAGTTGTTTGGACCATGGGGCGTATAACTAACATTAATTATGGGTTGATTTGGAAAAATGCCAATAACTTCTTTATTTTTTAAGATATCTTCATGAAACAAGGACCCATAGATAGGAAACACAGTAGGCTTCAAGCTTAGTAAAACGTCGTGGACATCAGAAATTATTTAGGATAGATATTCATAACAATAATGAATTCAATAAAAATTCCAAGAATTTCCATAGCTAAAATCTTCAAGTTATAGATTTTTATTAATAACCTTTGAAGAGCTAAGTAAGCTCTATCATACTTTAAAAAATCAAGCATATAGCTTTTATACTCTTTGAGATATGGAATTTTTAATATTTTGGACCATGGGGCGTATAACTAACATTAATTATGGGTTGATTTGGAAAAATGTCAATAACTCTTTTATTTTTTAAGATATTTTAACCAAACAAAGCTCTAACGATAGCAAACACCATGGGCTTTAAGCGTAATAAAACGTCATGAATATTATCAGAATTTATTTAGGATAGATATTAATAAAAATAATGAATTCAATGAGAATTCTTAAAAAAAAAATAAATAATAAGAAAACTCTTGAAGTTATAGATTTTTATTGATGACCTTTGAAGAGCTAAGTAAACTCTATCATAGTTAAAAAAATCGAACTTATAGCTTTTATAATCTTTGAGATATGGAATTTTTAATTTTGTGGACATGGTGGCGTATAATTAATATTAATTATGGGTTAATTTGGAAAAATCCTCATAACTTTTTTTATTTATAGACATATTCGAATGAAACAAAAAGCCATAGGAAGTGAAGACAACAGGCCCGAGGCTCACGAGAAAGTTATATGCCTTAGCCATAAGTATTATATGAAAAATTCATGAGTTAAATAAATTTTAAACTTTCTTTGAATTTTTATTTAATTTATAATAAGACCATTTATTTTAAAGTTCTTGGCGCGATACTTTTGAAATTATAACTATTTTTTCTGAGTACATTTTCTAATTGTTCCTTTAGCCTAATTTCCCAAAAATAAAAATTACGTAACATCTATGGTCAATGAGATATTAAGTTTTTAATAATTGGTCTTTAGGGCGTATAATTTATATTAATTATGAGATGATTTGGTAAAATCCCCATAACTTTTTTATTTATGGACATATTTAGATGAAACAAAAAGTCATAGGAAGTAAAGACAATAGGTCTGAGGCTCGCGGGAAAGTTATATACCTTAGCCATAAGTATTATATGAAAAATTAATGAGTTATATAACTTTTAAAATTTTTGCGAATTTTTATTTACCATATATTTTAAAGTTTTTTTCCGAGATACCTTTGAAACGCTTAATATTTTTATTCCAATTGCTCTTAGAGCCTAATTTCCCAAAAATAAAAATTCCGTAGCATCTATGGTCCTTGAGATATTAAGTTTTTAATAATTGGTGTTTAGGGCGTATAATTTATATTAATTATGGGTTGATTTGGTAAAATCCACATAACTTTTTTATTAATTAAGGTATTTGAATGAAAAAAACAGCCATGGCTGGGGAAGACAATGGGCTTTAAGCTCACTGAGTTGTCATGCTAATTACCCAACAACATTATATTAAAAATTAATTAGTTATAGGATTTTTGCGATTTTGCGAATTTTTATTTCTTTTTTGAGTCCATTTATTTAAAAGTTTTTTCTAAGATACTTTTGAAAATTTCAGTATTTGTTTCTGAGTACTTTTTCCATTTGTTCTTAGAACCTAATTTCCCTAAAAACTTATATAGCATCTATAGTCTATGAGATATTAAATTTTTAATTATTGGTCTTTGGGGCGTATAATTTATATTAATTTGCTAAAATCCTCATAACTTTTTCATTTATTAAAGTATTCGAATGAAACAAACAGCCTGGGCTGGTAAAGACATTGGGCTATAAGCTTATAAACTCAGAATTGGATTATATATATTCTCAGATAATAAAAAAAGACTTTTCGGAGAACCAATAACAATTTATGCATTTTTTACTTATTTTCATTAACTCTCGTTCCATAATTTCGGGTTTTAACTTGTCCCTTCTTCTTTTTTTCATTTTTTCCAGAATGCAAATCCACTGAATACAAATGTCGTGCCGGCAATTGCATTGATAGCGCCAGACGTTGTGATAACATTCGTGACTGTCCCGATGGTGATGATGAAGACGATAGATGCCGTAAGTATAAATTTAACTTTAAGATATTCCAAACCAATGAGAACCAATATATATCCAGTCACTACTTTATGTATTTGTATATCACAGTATAACACGTTTTTCGTTTAGCGTATTTGAAAATATGTATATGTATCAAAAGCTATTATAAGTTATGCTTTTAGGATGTATCTGAACTGAATCCCCCATAAAACTAAGACTGATTAGTGTACAAAGAAAAAATTAATAATATTATTGTCCCCCATTTTCTTATTCTAATTTTTTCTAACATGCCTTCTAACCCCGAAACACTAACACATTTTGTAAATTACAAAAAAAAAATTGCATGTCTTTTGAAAAAAATTAACACCCAAAAAAAATTGCGTCTGGACTAACCTGCTAAAATCGAATTAACAAAAACCTCCAGCCGTTGTCTGCAGCAGTGATCAATATCTCTGTCGAGATGGCATCACCTGCATCAGTGAAGGCAAAGTCTGTGATGGCATCGAAGACTGTGTGGACGGTGATGATGAAGAGCACTGTGATAGCAGTAAGTATTTTTGTGTCAAATAACAAGGAAAAAATGTCTTTTAAAAATACAAAAAATATTTCATCTTCATTTAACAAAAAAAAATATTATCTTCTCTCTCTCCCTTTTTTGTAAAATTTTCTCTCCTCCAAAAATTTAAAAAAAATCCAAAAGTTGTTCCCAAACTAACATATTTTTGCCCCAAAGGCAAATTCACCTGCCGTGACTTTAGTTGTATTTCCATTGTCCATCGTTGTGATGGCCAGGCAGATTGTCCCCAAGATCGTTCGGATGAGGAAGGATGTCGTATGTTTGTGTTTAGTTTTTAACCTTTTTGTGAAATTTCAATTTGGGAAATTAGGTTTTAGTTATGATTCTCCATTTCCCTTTCTTTTTGCACCACTCATACAGCCTGCTTACATGACAAATGGCAGTGTGATGATGGCACTTGTATTAGTAAGGAATTACGATGTAATGGTAATATTGATTGTCCAGAGGATATATCGGATGAAAGGCGTTGCCATGGTGAGCTAATAAAAATTTCGAGAAGAAAAAAATAATAATTAATAATGCCAATAGGGCGTGCGATATCTCTTAAGTTAGATTAGAATTTTAAATTTATTAGATAGATCATAACATAAAAAAATATTTGTATAATTTGTATATATTCTGAAAATATTTAGAACCCTAAAACATTTCACAAAAAATTAGACTCATAGCGTTACAAATCTCTGAGATATAGAACTTTTCAATAATTGGACCATGGGGCGTATAACTATTATTAATTATGGGTTACTTTGGAAAAATGGCCATAACTATTTTATTTATCAAGGTATCTTAATGAAACAAAGCCTCATAGATATTAAAGACAGGGCTTTAGGGCCATGTAAATAAATTTTGGCGTAACTCATAAGGAAAATTAAAAATAAAAGTATATTTAAAATATTAAAAATATTTTTTATTATTTTTTTTTTTCGATGAACATTTTCTTGCTCTCCATAACTTGTTTATTTCTCAACGTATTTTTATGAAACAAAAACCTATAGAAAGCCAATGTCATAGGCTTTAAACCTATGTAAAAAAATGTGGATGTGGCTCTCCAACGCATTTCGTGAAGGAGTTAATAATAATCAAACGTTTCGTAAAATTTTCAAAAATTCTTTTCATTCTCCAGTAGAATTTTCACTTCCTGCTTTTAACTTTTCTATTGATCAAGGTTGTTTTAGGAAACAAAATCCATAGATATCGAGCCATTACCTGATAGAAAATTGCTAGCTTTCATTGGAAAAATACAATTTTTAATTTCTGGCCTCTAGTGCGTATGACTATTATTAATTATTGTATCATTTTAGTAAAAATGCCATAACTTTAACAAATATAAAGCTAATTGGATAAAAATTAAGCCGCACGAAAGCTGAGACTATGGCCTTAAAACGAAAATTGTGATAAGATAAATTTTAAATTCCTAGATATAAAAGTTCCGACAATTTCTAGAGAGAATATTTTTTAAAAAACGTTTTAATGATTCGAAATAGCAACAAACCTCGAAAATCTGGGTCATTATATTTTTTAGTTAATAGAATATTAGGTTGGGAGATCATTCTAGCCATTACCTAATAGAAAATTGCAAGCTTTCATTGGAAAAATATCATTTTTAATAACTGGACTCTAGTGCGTATGACTATTATTAATTATTGTATCATTTTAGAAAAAATACAATAACTTTTACAAATATTAAGAGAATTACATAGAAATTAAGCTACAATAAAGCTGAGACTATGGCCTTAAAATGAAAATTAGAATAAGAAAAAAATTCAATGTCAACATAAAGAATTTCGGACAGTTTCCAGAGAGAATATTTTTAAAAAATCGTTTTAATGATTCGAAATAGCAACAAGCCTCGAAAATGTTGGACTGTGAATTTTTTGTTAATAGTATATTAGCTTGGGAGATCATTCTAGCCCTTACCTGATAGAAAATTGCAAGCTTTTATTGGAAAAATACCATTTTTAGTTTCTGTCCTCTAGTGCGTATGACTGTTATTAATTATTGTATAATTTTTGTAAAAATGCCATAAAATTTACAAATATTAAGCAAATTGGATAAAATAAAGCCACAAGAAAGCGGAGACTATGGCCTTAAAATGAAAATTAGACTAAGAAGAAATATCAATGTCTACATAAAGAATTTCGGACAGTTTCCAGAGAGAATATTTTTAAAAAATTGTTTTAATTATTCGAAATGGCAACACACCCGGAAAATATTGGCCATTTTTTTTTTGTTAACAGAATATTAGGTTGGAAAATTATTCTAGCAATTACCTGAGAGAAAATTGTAATATTTCATTGGACAAATATGATTTTTAATAACTGGACTCTAGTGCGTATGACTATTATTAATTATTGTATCATTTTAGAAAAAATACAATAACTTTTGCAAATTTTAAACAAATTTAATAAAACTTGAGCCACAATAGAGCTGAGACTATGGGCTTTAAATGAAAATTAGGATAGGAAATTTATATTCCTTCATGTAGAATTTCCGACTGATGCAAAAACGAAATCCCTCACATAAGATTCAATCGGTACCTTTCATGCATTTGCATTTATTAAAATTCCAAATAGTTTGAGCTGTCATGATCTATTTACTAATTTATTATTTGTCTTATCTGCCCGTTAAGCTATGCACTTCCAGCTATGCACTTTTATTTTTTGAAAAATTTATGACATACCTTAGCATATTTGAGATTTGTATGCCAACAATGTTGCTAGAACAGCATTCACACCCAGTTTTGCAAAAGGCATGTGGCGTTAACAAGCAGCTCGGCATCTCTACGAAAAAAAATCGTGTCTATTTCGATAAAAATCAACAAAGAACGACATATTAAAATATAGAAAAAACTCAAGAACTTATTACCTTAAATTGATGAAATTTATGGCCCAGTTTGTGCCACCGTAATTTTTCCCCTCAAGTTTAATGGCTTTTCTTGTTAAGATTCTACGAGCATTTAATTCTCCTGTCAATCCACTTAAATTCACTTTATGTTTTAGAATTCAACACTTGTTCCACCCGGTCTATCAATATGGACATATATTTACATTTGTTTGACATATGTAACGTCATTTCCCTTAAGTGTTTTTTTAGAAAACGTCCATACATGAGATTGTTTGAAATATTTGCAATATTAAATCATTATTTTTTTTAATTTTCCATCTGGAATTTGATTAGGAATTCCAATCACAAGACTGGTGTTGAGAAATCTTTTGCTATTTTTAGTAGAAAAATTGAATTAATTTTTTAAAGCCTTGTTTGATATGCCATAAATTAATGTTTAAATAATTGGAATTCTTTGGCGTATTTGTAGTATTTATTTTGGTCACAGGTAGCGTATAGCTAATATTAATTATTGAGTTATTTTAGTAAATCTGAAATAGATCGGTAGCTATTTTTTCAAAAAAAAAAAAAAATAATAATAATAATAATAATAATAATAATAATAATAATAAATAAATAAAAAATATGAAAGAAACAGCAGAGCGTTTAAAGTTAGAACGTTAAGTTGGTGGTAAAATATTTTAATAAAACACTATCTATACCTTTAAATTATATCGAATATAGCATCAAAATTGTCAGACCATTCCTGGAAAACATTTAAAAGTCCCTCTGATCACGAATTTATAGTCTATTAATTTCTGGTACGTCAGTGCGTATGGCTTATATTAATTATTGGGTAATTTGGCAAACTTGCCAATAACTTTTGTGTTCTTTGCTGGATTTTTATTAAACAAAGAGAATTAGATAGCTAAGATATGAGGCAGACAACCCCTGAAAAAAAAATTCCAAAAAAAATCGTCCTAAAAGTCCCTCTGAGCACGACTTTATGGCCTATTAATTAATGATACGTCAGTGCGTATGACTTATATTAATTATTGAGTATTTTCACAAAATTGCCAATAACTTTTTTGTTCCTTGCTCGATTTTTATGAAAAAAAGGGAAATAGATAGCTAAGACAATGGCTTTTCAATTCTTGGAAATTTCAGAAAATATTAGTTTATACTTAGCATTTATTAATTATTAAACCGAAAATAAAAATATTATTTCTGGATGTTTTTGAATAAAAAAAATTAATATTCGCCAAATTATTAGAAAAATAAAATATTGCACTTTGTCCTGGGTCAGAGTTCTCATGAAATTTTTCAGAAAATGTTTAAAAGCAGGTCTTTTACTCTTTACGTGAGGAATACTTACTTTCCGAAATTCCGTAAAATATTTTTGAATTTGCCAATTTATTTTTTCGAAAAAAAAAATAATTAAACCCCATATCGAATATAGCATAAAAATTACCCGACTAAAGTAATCAAGCCACCCCTGAAAAAAATCCAAAAACTCATACTAAAAATCCCTCTGAGCACGACTTTATGGTCTATTAATTTCTGGTACGTCAGTGCGTATGACTTATATTAATTATTGAGTATTTTCAGAAAATTGCCAATAGCTTTTTTGTTCTTCGCTGGATTTTTATGAAACAAATTAACTTAGAAAGCTTAGATATAGCGCTTTTCAATATTTGGAAATTTAAAAAAATATTAGCAAATTCTTATCCTTTTTGGATTAATAAAATGAAAACAAAATATTTTCTTTTTAGAATTTTTTGTATTTTTACAAAATTGCCAATAACTTCTTAGTTCTCTGCTGGATTTTTACGAAACAAAAGGCCTCATAAAGCTAAGGTATGAGGCTTTTCAATATTTGGAAATTTAAAAAAATATTAGCAAATTCTTAGCCTTTTTGGATTAATAAAACGAAAACAAAATATTTTCTCTTTAGAAGTTTTTAAATAAAAAACTTTAAATTATGCCCTGGGTCACAGTTCTCATGAAGGAGTTAATGTTCCAAAAGCTAGGTCATTCAGACAACCTTGTATTCAAACTTTGTTGCAAATCCTGCATTGCGTATGATATATTTTTATAATGAGTAGTTTTAGATAAATTATCCATGGCCTTTCTTGGTAGATTTTTATGGAAATTAATGGCAGCCCCTTTAGGTAGATTTTATGGAAATTACTGGCATAGAATCTATGGGCCACTATATATTACATAAAATATAATATTACATAAAAATATATTTAATTCATAATTTTAAAAAATTTTAAACACATTTTCTTAAATGTTGATATTTATACACAATTAAAGTTTGAAAATGACCCAAATAAAAATTTATATAAAGCCCCTGGACACCAATTGTCATTCGAAAAAAACAATCATACCTTTAGGCCAAGTAATTCAGCTTTAATTAAATTTTTCTTTATGGTCACCCAGTGCGTATGATTTATTTTAATTTTTGAGTTATTTTAGGAAATTGTCCATAACTTTTTTGTTTACGGGGGGATTTTCGTAAAATAAACAGAAATGATTAGCTAAAATATGAGGGTTTTTATTTCAAGAATAATTCCAAGGAATTTAGCTGCACATTGCCTCTTAAAAATTCCATTTTATACGAATTTTTTTAGTATTTCCTTGAAAAAAAAAAATATTTTTTTAGCTTTTAATTATTTCTAATTAAGATTCTGGATGACAATTTTCATTTGAAAAAACAACCACACTCCTAGACCACTTAATTTAGCTTTTATTGCATTTTTCCTTTTTGGTCACCCAGTGCGTATGATTTATTTTAATTATTGACTTATTTTAGAAAATTGTCCATAACTTTTCTGTTTATTGGGGGATTTTTGTGAAATAAACAGAAATGATTGGCTTAAATATGAGGCCTTTTATTTCAAGAACAATTCCAAGGAATTTAGCTGAACATTTCCTCTTAAAAATTCCATTTATAAAATTTTTTTCAGAATTTCCCTTTGTAAAAAAAGTAATATTTTTTTGATTTTTTAATAATTTTGATTTAAGCCTCTGGACGTCAATTTTCATTTGAAAAAACAACCACACTTCTAGGCCACTTAATTTAGATATTATTCCATTTTTTCTTTATGGTCACCCAGTGCGTATGATTTATTTTAATTATTGAGTTATTTTAGAAAATGGCCCATAACTTTTTTGTGTGCCACGGGATTTTTGTGAAACAAACAGAAATGATTGGCTTAAATATAAGGCCTTTTATTTCAAGAACAATTCCAAGGAATTTAGCTGCAGATTTCCTCCAGAAAATTCCATTTTATAAGATTTTATTCTGGAATTTCCTTGAAAAAAAAAAATATTTTTTTTTTTTTTGATTTTTTATTATTTCTATTTAAGCATCTGAACGTCAATTTTCATTTAAAAAAACAACCACACTTCTAGGCCACTTAATTTAGTTATTATACAATTTTTCTTTTTGGTCACCCAGTGCGTATGATTTATTTTAATTATTGAGTTATTTTAGAAAATTGTCCATAACTTTTTTGTTTACTGGGGGATTTTTATGAAACAAACAGATTTGATTAGCTAAGAGATAAGGCTTGTTTTTTCATTATACATATTCCCCCCAAAAAATTTAATTTTAAGTTATATAGTCCAGAGTTTTCTTTGATTTTTTTTTCTGAACTTTTCTTTCTTAGTTTTTTTTTTTTTAATTTTTACTTGTTTTTTTTTCTTTCTTACGACATTTTTACTTCCTTGTTTGACATCCCATGTCCCTCTCTGTTAAAGGTCTTCATGCCCATTTTAATTTTGTATTTTAAAATTTTGCTAAAAACAAGTAATCGCATTTTTATAACCCCTCTGTTTGGTAGTCTTTTTAAAAAAAATTTTTTTGCTCTTTATTTTATTTAATTTTATTGCATGTTCTTCTGCACTAACCCAAAACAAAATCCCATGTAACACGCTTTGTAAAAAATGTTTGGTCACATTATTCAACAAAATTTTGCCAAAAAAAATACACCATTCTCCAAAAAAAAATCTCACATCCAAGGCGGTGATCGCCGAGATTTCTTTGAGCAAGATGGCGATGAAGAATATTGCCGTTACAATGAATTCCGTTGTGACAATGGCCAATGTATTCTGTATCGTGAGGTATGCGATAACATTTACGATTGTTCCGATTATTCCGATGAAAGAGATTGCGGTAAGTTAAGCTTCCCTGGAGGTTAGAATTTGTATTCCAAAAAAAATGGTGGTGGCTAATCTAAATTCCTAAAGATTTAGAATTTTTGGTGTTGGTAAATAATTGGCTTTTGTAGACAAAATATTTGGCATAAAAATTATCTCTGTGTGTCCCACTTTGGAATTCATTTTTTTAATTAATCTGAAAAATTCTCGTGATTTCTTACCTTTCTTCTTCCAAAAAAAAAATCGATATGTTGCGTGTGGGTATGGTTTCCAAAAAAAAATCCAACAATCTTCAACTAACCAAAACAAAAACAAATAAAATATCTCCTAACCACACCCTGGCTACACTGTAAAAAATTTTGCTACAAAATTTCAATTGGAATTTGGTCGAAAAAAAAATGAATGGTGTGTGAAACAACAAAATCTACAAAAACAAAAAAAAATTGGCGTACGGCAAAACCACCTCCTTTGCATGCATGTCGTTATCATTTCCTTTTTAACACAAACCAATCGTAACCCAAAAATAAAAAATAATTTCACCAACCCCACGACACAAAAATGTGGAACTGCATGCGGTTTAACCAAACTAGATCTGCATGATATCGAAGAAAATAAGTTCGACGAGGATGAAATAATTCGTGAATATGCCCCGCATCACCAGAGACCCACACAAGCACCGTCGCGACCCCAATCGCCATATCTCGGTGGCTACATTGGCAGTGGCCTACACGAATTAGATATGTACGATTACAGCTTCTATCAGAAGGCCAACGATCACAATCCCTGTTCCTCCACACAGTTCCGTTGCGGCAACAATGTTTGCATACCGCTCAAGTTACGCTGTGACGGGTTCTATCATTGCAATGATTTGACCGACGAAACCGGTTGTGACGAAGATCAAGAATCACATTTTGACTATAATCGGCCCGTGACACAAAGGCCACCGGCCAATATTGTACAAACAACCAGGGCAACGGCGCGTAGAAATACAACGGCCGCTTCATATTGGACAAGGCCAACAACTACAACAACGACAACGACTACGAAACGAACAACTCCCACCACAACACCCGCTCCCAGTAGGTGATCTTTTTCCTTTCTCTCTCGCTCTCTCTCTCTCTCTCGCCTTCGTGGCCATTTAGGCAGTGAGAGATCCCATTTCCATTTTTTCATAACTAAACTCATTGATTTTCTTCTCTTCATTACTTTTTTTCCCAACCACATTCATTCATCTCAAATAGACTTACTCTCACATCAATTTTCATGCAAATCGCTTGAGTAGTTCATGAGATATTTCATTTTTAATTTTGGTCCCACTGTGCGTATGACTTATTTTAATTAATGGGTTGTTTCGGTAAAATGCCCATAACTTTTTCATTTTCCAATGGATTTTTGCCAAACAAAGAGAGATCTTGAGCTAAGATATTGGACTTTTCCGATTTATTATCTATTCCGTAGAAAATGTTGGGACATTTGGCGAAAATTTCATTGACTTTTGAAATATTTTTCATTATTTTCTATGGAAAATTTAATTTTGAAATTATAATACAATTCTTTGATTTTTTCCGGAAATCATGATATCTCCAGTCCCGATACCTGATACTTAGATGCTATTTTGCAAGAAGGAAAAATAATTTTCTTAGAAAGAAGGGAGAGAATTTAATATTTCCTCCCCGACACTCCATGGATTGCTTATGAGGCAATCCCAACTCCTTACAAAATAAAACAAATTATAGCTGGGGAGAAAAAAAATGAATTCTACTCTCTCTTTCTCTTTATTCCTCCCAACTCTAACTAAGCGTAGATACTGATAATTCTCGAAAAAAAGAGAAAATTAGATTTTATTGGTCAGAGAGAAGAAAAGCTAATTCTCTTCCAACTAAATCATCGATCCAATATGAAAAACTTGAAATAGTACAGAGAATTTAATATACATTTCCAATTACTCTCCCAGTTTTTCTCTTTCCCCAAAATCCGGGCAGATCGAAAAAACAATCAATCTTCTTCCATATCTTCGATCCCAAAATTAAACTCATAATCAATCACCGCTTTCATTAACATTTAACTCAAGCATAACATCAAACCCTACCTTCAAAAAACAAAAAAAAAAAATACGACAACAACAAAAAAGTTCGGAAATGTTTTAACTATGGCATAACGATTTTTTACAGTGTAATTTTTGTTTATATGTTTTTTTTCGCTGTGCCTATGTCCCATTTTCTGTGTCATTTTATGTTTTTAACCTTGTTATAGGTAAGGTCTTTTTTAAGGAAAAACATTGTTATCGACCACATTTTCTATGGCAAATTTTGTTATCGAAGATATTTTCTTTCATAAAGTGTGTTATAGATACAATTATTTTTATAAAAAGCCTTGTTATCGATAACATTTTAATAGAAAATCTTGTTATCGACAACAATTTCTATAGAAAATTTTGTTATTGATAGCATTTCCGAAGAGAGCCCAATTTTCGACAAAAAAAAAATTTCTATCAATAATCATGTTATCGACAACATTTTCTACAGAAAATCTTGTTATCTATAAAATTTTCTAAAGAAAATCTTGTTATCGATAACATTTTCTATAGAAAGTCTTGTTATCGATAACATTTTCTATAGAAAATCTTGTTATCGATAACATTTTCTATGGAAAATCTTGTTATCGATAACATTTTCTATGGAAAATCTTGTTATCGATTACATTTTCTATGGAAAATCTTGTTATCGATTACATTTTCTATCGAAAATCTGGTTATCGATAATATTTTCTATAGAAAATGTTGTTATCGATAACATTTTCTATAGAAAATCTTGCTATCGATTACATTTTATACAGAAAATCTTGTTATTGATTACATTTTCTAAGCATAATCTTGTTATCGACAACATTTTCTATAGAAAATATTGTTATCGATAGTATTTTCTACAGAAATTTTTGTTATCGATTACATTTTCTATAAATATTTTGTTATCTGTTACATTTTCTATAAAAATTCTTGTTATCGATAACATTCTTTTATCGATTACATTTCCTATAGAAAATCTTGTTATCGATTACATTTTCTACAGAAAATCTTGTTATCGATTACATTTTCTGTCGAAAATCTTGTTATCGACAACATTTTCTATAGAAAATATTGTTATCGATAACATTTTCTATGTTATCGATTATATTATTTGCGAAAAATATTTAGTTATCGAAAAATTTTTCATAGAAAATCGTGTTCTGGATAATATGACCTTTGGGAAATACTGCTATCGATAACATTTTCCACAAAATATTATGTTATCGATCAATTTTTTATAGGAAATCCAATAATCGATAACATTTTCTTTCGAAAATCTTGGTATCGTCAAGATTTTTACTACAAAATCGTATGTTTAATAATGTTTTTCACAGAAAATCAAGTTATCGATAATATTAACTTTGGAAAATCTTGTTATCGACAAAAAATTTTACTAGAAAATCTAAATATCGAAAATATTTTCATTCAAAATCGTGTTATTGATGATAAAACCTTTGGGAAATCGATAATATTTTCCATAAAAATCGTCTTATCGATCAATTTTTTTTTTACAGAAAATCCAGTAATCGATAATTTTTTCATTCGGAAATCTTGTTATCGTCAACATTTTTACTAGAAAATCATATGTTCGATAATGTTTTTCATAGAAAATCAAGTTATCGATAATATTCACTTTTGAAAATCTTGTTATCGACAAAAAAATTTACTAGAAACTCTAGTTATCGACAGTAATTTTCATAGAAAATTATGTTTTTGAAAATATAACCTTTGGGAAATCTTGCTATCGATAAAGTTATCCACACAAAAATCATGTTATCGATTAATTAGTTTTCATAGAAAATCCAGTAATCGATAATATTTTCTATCGGAAATCTTGTTATCGCTAACATTTTACTGGAAAATCGTATGTCCGATAATGTTTTTCATAGAAAATCAAGTTATCGATAATATTCACTTTGGGAAATCTTGTTATCGGCAAAAATTTTTACTAGAAAATCTAGTTATCGACAGTAATTTTCATAGAAAATCGTGTTGTTGAAAATATAACCTTTGGGAAATCTTGCTATCGATAAAGTTATCCACACAAAAATCATGTTATCGATTAATTAGTTTTCATTGAAAATCCAGTAATCGATAATATTTTCTTTCGAATATCTTGATATCAACAAATTTTTATTAGAAAATCCTATGTGTGATAATATTTTCCATAGAAAATCAAGTTATCGATAATATTATTTGCGGAAAATCTTGTTATCGACAAAAAATTTTACTAGAAAATCTAGTTATCGAAAAAATTTTCATAGAAAATCGTGTTATTGATAATATAACCTTCAAGAAATCGTGCTATCGACAACATTTCCCCAAAAAAAATCATGTTATCGACCAATTTTTTTTTTATAGAAAATCCAGTAATCGATAACATTTTCTTTTGAAAATCTTGACATGGACAACATTTTTACTAGAAAATCCTATGTGTGATAATATTTTCCACAGAAAATCAAGTTATCGATAGTATTATTTGCGAAAAATCTTGTTATCGGCAAAAATTTTTACTAGAAAATCTTATTATCGACGATAATTTTCATAGAAAATCGTGTTATTAGTAATAAAACCTTGCTATCGATAATATTTTCCATAAAAAATCATGTCATCGATCAATTTTTTTATAGGAAGTCCAATAATCGATTTTTTTTTGAAAATTTTGATATCGACAACAGTTTTATTAGAAAATCATATGTTCGAGCCATAGAAAATCAAGTTATCAATAATATTATTTTCGGAAAGTCTTGTTATCGGCAAAAATTCGATTAAATATCGATTAAATATTTTTTATTAAAATTTCAGTAATCGATAATATTATTTTCGGAAAATCTTGTTATCGACAAAAATTTTTATCGATCATTTTGTTTTGCAGAATATGTAACATTATCGATAAAATTAATTGCAAGAAATTTTGTTATCGATTTGTTATCGTTAAAAATTTCTATGTAATAAACGTGTTATCGTTTATATTATCTGTAGCAAACCGTGCTATCAATTTTCGGTAGAATATCTTATTATCGCTAATATTTTCTATGAAAAAAATTGTTTTCGATTACGTTTTTGATGGAAAATGTTATCGAAAACCTTTTTGTTATTTATTTTTATTTTATTTATTTATTTATTTATTTTATTTTTTTTTTTTTTTTTTGTTATTAAAACATTGTTATCGAATGAGTTTTCTTCAGAAAATTTTTTTATCGATAAAATTTTCTATGACAAATCTTGTTATCGACATATAAAAACTCTTGTTATCGATAGTGTACACTGTAAATATTATGTCACCCTAACATTTCCTAACTCTGTGTTCCACAGAAAAAATAAAATCCCCAAAACAAAAAAAAAAAACATTTCAAAATTTCCATTACCATTATGCATTTTATTACTATTCATCATTTTCTTTCTCTTTTTTTATTTTTCAACATTCATACGAAAACAAAAAAAATCAAAAACCAAAAACAAATTTGCATCCCACTACCATCACTCAAAATTCTCACCATCTCTATCAACCAAAAAAAAAAAACTATCAATTATTTAAAAATCCATGGAATTTCATCACTGCTGGCCCGTTTTTGTTTTTCAAAATTTCAAAATCAATCGAATCGAAAAATTTTAGCGAGAAAATCCTGTCTGCCCAACGAATTTATGTGCGAAAATGGCGATTGTTTGGCTTTGGAAGCCGTCTGTGACGGCACTGGCGATTGTCCGCGCTTCGATGATGAAACCTATGGTCTGTGTAATTGTGAACATGATAAGGTAAGTTAGGTTATCTCTCTCTCTCTCTCTCTCTCTTGCGAGAAGGGGAAAATGAGGGGCAGCCTTCATCATGCCAAGAGAACTCATAAAATTGGTGCATTTTGAAACAAAACCCAAATTAAAACCCTCAAAATTTCATAGTTCCAATGTAAACGAGGCGGTGGTTGTTTGCCAAAGACACAAGTTTGTGATGGCAGGGCTCAGTGTAGAGATGGCAGTGATGAAATGAATTGTCGTAAGTATTTTTTTTTTTTATTATTTGTTTGTCGAAAAATTTTTATTTAAATTTTAATTTCGAAAGCCTTAGTTCAAGTTCAACACCAGAACTAACCAAACAAAAGTTGAACTGATTTTTTTTTTTTTTTTTTAATTTTGAGTTACACTTTATGCATGTCTTGTAGTTTTTAGTTATTTTTCTATGCATGTGGTAGTTCGATATTAGCAAGATAATTTTGTGAGAACATTGCATGTAGCATGAATTTTTCCCCCTTAGAAATTTTAACTATTTTTTTTTTACAAATTAACAAAAATAAATAATTTGTATTTTTTAATGATTTTTAATTTATTTCTTTTTTAATATTTTTTTTCAAGTAGTAGTTGTTGTAATAAATATATTTTTTTAGTTTCCATAATTTTTTTACAATTATTTGTATTTTTATTTTTATATTTAGATATATATTTTTTTAATTTTCTTAGTTTTTAATTTGTTTTATATTTTTATTTTTATATTTAGATTTTTTAATTTATTTTTTTAGTTTTTATTTTGTTTTATATTTTTATTTTTATATTTAGATTTTTTAATTTATTTGTTTAGTTTTAAATTTGTTTTATATTTTCTTTATTTTTTTATATTTTTTTATATTTTTTGTTATTAGTTTTTTTGTATTACCTTTTTAATTATATATATATTTTTTATATATTTTTCTATTACATAATATTTATTTGCAATAGTGTAATTTTCCCCCAGTTTATTTTTTGGTTATCAATTTGAAAAAAAAAAAACCCTTTTGAAATCCCTATATTATTCCCCCCTTAAGACGTGTTAAACATTTTCTGACACACCATAGGCCGTCCGGTCTGCGTACTTCAATACAATGTTTTCAATTTTGTCTCAAACATTTTTCATGTCATCAAAAAAAAAAAAAAAATAAATAAAAATAAAAAAATTAAAAATCCTAAAATAGGACTGTTATCGATAAATCACACACAATTCTAATTTATCATCGTTCCAATCTACAAAAATTGCATGTTTTCATCTCTCTTTTTATATACATATTTAAAATAAGGTTTTGTGTTTAAACTTGAATTGGCAGAGATAACAAAAATCCTGTTATCGATTCTATTTCTTTCAAAAATTCAATTTTTTATTATTGTTTTTGTTACATTTTTTATCTTTTTTTTTCAAAAAAATTTTTTTTTCGATTTTTTCCAAAACCAATTTTTCATCAATATTTTCAATTCAATTTTTTACTATTAATATTATTTTTTTTTTTAATATTTTTATCGTTTTTTTAATTTTTATTTTAAACGATTTTTTTCCAAAACTAATTTTTTAACAATTCTCATTTTTTATAATTTTTTTTAAAATAGAAAAAAACTATAACTTAAATCAAGAAATAAAAAAAATTTAGAAAACTATAAAAAAATTCCATTTGAAAAAAAAATATTAAAAATTGAAATTTTTGAGGAAATAGCAACTCATGTTAAAATCGATAAAAAATCGAAAAAATCTATTTAATTTATTTTTTTTTTACTTAATTTTCTTTAGATCAACTTATTTTTTATATAACAGCTGAATAGTTGATTAAATTTGTTTTTACAAAAGAAAAAAATGGAAAAAAATATAAATCACTCACATATTTTTTTCTTTTTTAAAAAATTTAAAAAAAAAATTAATTAAATTTTTTTGGTTAATTTTTTTATTAAAAATTAATTTCTTCAAAAAAGTATAATTTTTTAATAAAATTTAATATTTAATATTTCTATTTTTTTGTTTTTTTTTTTTTAATATATATATATATATATATATATATATATATATATATATATATATATATATATATATATATATATATATATATATATATAAATATATATATATAAAGCCAATATTAAATATATTAAATTATACTTTTTAAATAAAAAAAATTGAAAATATTTTTTAATAAGCCGTTTATATGTTATATATAAAAAATTAAAAAAAGTATTATTAAAAAAGAATATTTTCCATTAAAAAATATTTTTTAATAAAAAAAATTAGACAAAAAATTGAATATTCAAATATTTTTTTTTTTTTTTTTTTTTTTTTTTTGTTAAAAAAAAAGAAAAAAAAAATAATTAAAAGGATTTAAAAAAATTTTTGTAATTTAAAAAAAAAAACAAAATCAAATCCAATAAAAATACAATACATATAAACGGTTTATTGAAAAAAATAATTCCTTATAGCAAACATTGTAATTTAATATTATTCAAGTAGAAAATATATTTAAAAAAAATAAAGCCAATATTAAATGTTTTAAATTATGCTTTTGAAATAAAAATTTGAAAATATTTTTTTAACAAGCCGTTTATATGTTATATATAAAAATTAAAATCATAAATTATTATTAAAAAAGAACATTTCCCAAAAAAAAATATATTTTTTAATAAAAAAAATTAAACAAAAAATTTTTATTTTCAAATATATTTTTTTAAAAAATATTTAAGGATTTAAAAAAAAGATAATTGGTAAACAAAATCCAATTTTTTTAAAAAATAACCGTTCATATTTTTTTGACTTTCTTTTTACATTTTTTTTTGTCAATTTATTTATCGATTTTTTGTCAATTTTTTTCATCGATTTTATTTTCAAATTTCATTTGTATCGATTTTTTTTCAAATCTCATTTTTATCGATTTTTTCAAATTTCATTTATGTTATATGTAAAACATTAAAGAATATGAAGTATTATTAAAAAGGAAATTTAAAAAAAATATTTTTTAATAAAAAAAAAATTAAACAAAAAAAATGTAATTTTCAAATATTTTTTTTTTTTAAATTATTTAACGATTTAAAAAAAATATTTGTAATTTTTTTGAAAAAAAAATTCAATTTTTTTTTTAAATTAATCCAATTTTTTTTAAAAAAAATAATCGTTCATACTTTTTTGACTTTATTTTTACGATTTTTTTCTTGTCAATTTATTTATCGATTTTTTGTCAATTTTTTTTATCGATTTTTATTTTGAAATTTAATTTTTATTGATTTTTTTAAATCTCATTTTTATTGATTTTTTTTAAATTTCATTTTTTTCGATTTTTTTTTTCAAATCACATTTTTTCGATAATTCTTGAATACTGCAAAATTTCTTAACACAAAATCTTATATAAAGTATTATTAAAAAATAAATTTTTTAATAAAAAAATTAAACAAAAAAATTTAATTTTCAAATATTTTTTTTTTTTTTAAAGTAATTAAAAAGATTTTTAAAAATATATATATTTGTAATTTTTTGGAAAAAAAAATCCATTTTTTTTTTTAAATTAATCGTTCATATTTTTTTGATTTCCTTTTTACAATTTTTTTGTCAATTTATTTATCGATTTTTTGTCATTTTTTATCGATTTTATTTTCAAATTTTATTTTTATCTATTTTTTAAATCTCAGTTTTATTGATTTTTTTTAAATTTCATTTTTTTCGATTTTTTTCAAAAATCTCATTTTTATTGTTTTTTTTTTTTCAAATTTCTGCAAAACTTTTTAACACAAAACCTTATTTTTCTCATTTTCTTTTAAGTTCATATTTATTAAGTTTTCATTTTTCATGTTTTCATTCATGTCCTTATTCTATGTCTTTCCGTTTTTTATTATTTTTTTTTTTTTCATAAACCAAAAAAATCAACAACAACAACAAAATTTTCTAATCATATTTTTTCTCTTCATTTCATAAACACAACTATTTTCTTTTACTTTCATGGCCCCGTAAATCAAAATTTAATTTAAAAATTTCTCTCGAACACTATCATCTGTCTCATATCATCTATACCCAAACAACAAACATCACCATCATCATGACAAAACAACAACAAATAAAACTGATTCAAAATTTCCCAAGATTTTACTGCCACTTTCAATAAGACCCGCAATCTGGCCGAATGCTTGAGCTATCAATTCCAATGCGCCGATGGCATTTGCATAGCCGATTACAAGCTATGCAATGGCATAACCGATTGCCTGGACGGTTCGGATGAATTAAGTTGTCCCATCAATTATGATGACACGAATTATGGTAAAGCGAACAAATTTCTCCCCTCCTCTAGACTCCCATCTAACATAGAGCAATATCTCCACTCTAGAGTTAGTAGAAGAGCACCATTATTAACATGGCATACTTTAGGGGTTTGAAAAAATTTTGATTTTTTATTTTTAATTTTTTAGAATTTTTTTTTTTTTAATTTTGGAAAAATATTTTTTTCATTTATTTTTCTTGCATACAAATCATCTATACATCTGCGTTATCATCATTTACACACACACATACACATAAATCCATACACATATTACCATGGACTTCAGACTTTGAACCCGACGACTCTCTCAGCGAATGTGATCTCTATGAATTCGAGTGTGACTATTCGCGTTGCATACCGCTCGAAAAGAAATGTGATGGCTATCCCGATTGTGACGATGAAACCGATGAAATCGATTGTCCGCCATTTACAGGTAAAGGCCAGTGCCATCAGATTATTCTCCTCAGTCAAAAAAAAAAAACAAATCCACTTCCTGGAGTATACCCCTCCCCTTGGCAATTTCCAGCAAAAAATTCTCTAACATTTTTTTGTGACCTATTATTGTTTTTCATGTTTGTCTGTTTGTTTTCCTGTCTTATGCACTCCTCGCCCCCTGCCCTCTCTCTTCTTCAGATAAATGTCACGACAATGAGTTTGAGTGTGATAATAATTATTGTATTTTACGTGGCCAACTGTGCAATGGCATTCCAAACTGCAATGATGGCACTGATGAGAAGAACTGCACATTCTGTCGGGAGGGTGCCTATCTGTAAGGATTTTTTAGTTTTTCATTTTAACTTAAATTTTTAATTTCGAAAAAAATCGCCTTCAGAAAAAATATAAAAAAAATATTTTTTTTTCAATAATTCAAAAAATTTAAAAAATTTAAAAAAGAATATTTTTTGAAGGCTTTTTTCAAAATTCCAGTTTTTTTTTTTTTTTTTTTTCATTTTTTATTTTCTTTTTTCGGGTATTTATGATTTTTCTTTTTTTTAATTTTTATTGTTTTTATATGTGTACTTTCAAACCTTGATTCAACAACAACGACAACCGAACAACAATCATGATCATCATAAACAACAACATCTACAAAAAACCAAACAACAACAACATCAATCATCACAAAACATATGCTGCACACCCCCAACCATATCACACCCCCATCTACACACACTCTCTCTCACACACACAATATCTCATTCCCCTGTAATTGTTATTTGTTTGCTGCATACTTTTGGGGGTCACTCATATCATTTAAGTTGCACCACCGGCGAATGTATTGCAGCCAATATGCACTGTAATGGCCACAACGATTGTGCCGACGGTAGTGATGAGCACAATTGTGGTAAGTTTTGGGCGAAGAAAAGGCTTGGGCTTTTCTTTGTTTTGTCTTTGTAGGCAACTAAAATAATTTAGAACAGTTCCTTAGTTCAACTAGAGCTTGCATTTGAATTTGAATGGGAAAATATTTTTTAAGTTTTTTTTGGTAATAATTTTCTTGAATTATTTTTAATAGAATTCGATTTAAAAAAATTGTTTAATACAAAATATATTAAATATAAAGAAAATATATATTTTTTTGGAAAAAATATGACTTGCAGTTCGAATAATATAATAATATAATATATATAACAAATAAATAGTCCATTAAAATTTGTTTTTCAAAAATTTAAATTTAAAAACATATATATAAATCAATAATTTTTTTAATAAACAAAATATTTCTTTCGGCTAATTTTTGTTTATAAAAAATTAATTTCTTCAAAAAAAAATTATTTTTTAATACAATTCAATATTTTTTTATTTTTTGTTTAATACAAATATATTCAATATAAAGAAAATATTTTTTTTAATTTAAAACAATTAAAAAAGCAGCTAAGTTCGAATAATATAATATAAACAAATAAATAGTTCATTAAAAATTGTTTTTCACAAATTTAAATTAAAAAAAATATATAAATCAATAAATTTTTTTTCAACTAAAAAAAATATTTTTTTCGGTTAATTTTTTTATTAAAAATTAATTTCTTAAAAAATATTTTTTTATTTTTTGTTTATTACAAATATATTCAATATAAAGAAAATAGTTTTTTTTGGAAAAAATATGGCCTGCAATTAATTTAAAACAAGTAAAAAATAGCTAAGTTTGGACGGGCCGAACTTTTAATAGCCTCCACCATTTGAAAAAGAAGTGAAAATTTAAAAATAAGTTTTTTAAAAAAACTTAAAAAATGTATTTCTTAAAAAAAATTATAATAAATAATAATAATAATAATAATAATAATAATAATAATAATAATAATAATAATAATAATAATAATAATAATAATAATAATAATAATAATATAATAATAATAATAATAATTATAATAATAATAATACTAATAATAATAATAATAATAATAATAATAATAATAATAATAATAATAATAATAATAATAATAATAATAATAACAATAATACTAATAATAATAATAATAATAATAATAATAATAATAATAATAATAATAATAATAATAATAATAATAATAATAATAATAATAATAATAATAATAATAATAATAATAATAATAATAATAATAATAATAATAATATAATAATAATAATAATAATAATAATAATAATAATAATAATAATAATAATAATAATAATAATAATAATAATAATAATAATAATAATAATAATAATAATAATAATAATAATAATAATAATAATAATAATAATAATAATAATAATAATAATAATAATATAATAATAATAATAATAATAATAATAATAATAATAATAATAATAATAATAATAATAATAATAATAATAATAATAATAATAATAATAATAATGATATAATAATAATAATACTATATGACAGATAAATAGTTCTTTAAAAATAACGTGTTTTTTAAATTAAATATCTCACATATAAAAATAAATATTTTTTAAATAAAATATTTTGCGTTAAATTTCTTTTTTTTTTTAATTAAATTCTTGACAAAAATATAATTTTCTTAAAAAATTTTAATTTTTTAATTTATTGTACAACAAATTAACGGTTTATTAAAAAACATAGATTTCGTTTTTTCCAAAAAAAAAAAAATATTTTTTTTAAATATATTTTTTTAAATTAATGTTTTTTTAAATCTTTTTTATTAATTTCTTCAAAAAAATTAAAATATTTAATAATTTTTTTTAATATATAACATATAAACTGTTTATTAAATGAAAGAATTGGATATTGCTGATGTTTTTTTTTTTTTCAAAAAAAAAATTAATTTGAAAAAACTTTGTTATTTTCAAAAAGATATATATATTTTTTTATTGTTTAATTAAATTTTTCCAAGTACTTTTTAAAAATACTTCAAGAAAATATTATTTGATTGCTTATTTAAAAAATATAAATATTATTTTTTTTAAATGTGTAACATATAAATATATTTTTTTTTAATTTTGCAATTTTCCCCGTAACAATTAAAAAAAATATGTGAAAGTATGCTTTATTTTGTTAAAAAAATATTTAAAAAAATATTTTTTTAATAAGGCTTGCAAATGTAATTTTTCCTTTTTTTAATTAAAAAAAATATGTTTATTTTGATTTTAATTAAGTTATTTTATTTCAATTTTTTTTGAATATTTTATTTTTTTAATTTTGTTGTTTTCTCAAGAACAATTTAAAAAAATATGTGAAAGTATGTTTTTTTGTTAAAAAAAATATTAAATATATATATATATATATTTAAGGCTTTCAAATTTTAATTTTCCTTTTCTAAATTTAAACAAATTATTAATTTTGTTTTTAATTAAATTTTTTTATTTCAAAAAATATTCCAAAAAAATATTAAATCTATTTTTTAATATTATTTAATATTTTAAAAATTTTGCGCAGAAATATATATTTTTTATATTATTTAATAAAATTTTTCCAACTACTTTGTAAAAATAATTCAAGAAAATATTATTTGATTATTTATTTAAAAAATATAAATATCATTTCCCCCTCAACACTTAAAAAAAATATTAAAAATATATTTTTTATATATGACTCATATGTATTCATTTTCCCTTTTTTATTAAAAAAAGGAAAAACATTTTTTTTTAAATTCAATTATTTTATTTCAAAAAAAATTATTTATAATTTAATATTTAAAAAATTTGCAAAAAAAAATATTTTTTTTCTTATTATTTAATTCAATTTTTACACACAGTCCTCTGTTCGGTTTTATATGAACCCCATATTGTAATTTTATTTTTTTTTTTAATTTAAAAATCATTTATTTTTTTTAAATGAATTATTTTATTTCAAAAAAACTATTCCAAAAAATTATTTTTTAATAATATTAAATATTAAAACATTTTTTTTTCAAAAAAAATATTTTTTTTTTAATTATTTAATTCAATTTTTCCACACAGTCCTCTGTTCGGTTGGTTATTTTAAGTGCAATAACACCTGTGTCACTTCCAATTTAAATTGCGATGGCCATATTGATTGTGAGGATGGCATCGATGAGCAGAATTGTCCCGGTAATGGCAACCTTTTTCAATGTATTGAGTAGTTTTTTTGTGGTCCTCTTTCAAGGGAATCCTTATTATAGATTTTTTGAAAATTCAAAATTTTCCCAACAATCCCCGTTAACAAAAAATTTAGCCTAGCAAAAAAAATCCCAAATAATCCATCCATCCATCCAGGCTTATAACATTCCGTTTTCATATCCATTAACTTTTTTTCTTTGTTACATTTTATTTTCTTCTTATGTTTAATAATTTTGTTTTTATAATTTTCTTTTCACACACAACCACCACCACCAACACATCATCACCAAAAACCCCCACAATTCACCATCCATCACAAATCACCAACAATCTCTCAACTCTCTCTCTCTCTCTCTATAAATTCACCCACACACACACACATGTGTTGTACCACGCAGAGCGAGGCATTAGCAATGAAATCAATAATGAGATTTTTGCCAATGAAGTCTGTGGTCGGGACCAGTTTCAGTGTTCCGATTTTGAGTGTATTGAGAAAAAATTTATGTGTGATGGTAGACCCGATTGTAGAGATAAATCCGATGAGTCTGAAGATCTTTGTAAACTGAAGGGTAAATTCTAGAATAAGTTGTTTAAGTTTATTTTAAGGTAGTTTTAAGACTTTCCATGTCTAGGCCCAATTTATGTTTTTTGTAAAAAAAAGAAGAAGAAAAATATATAACTAATCTAGCAAAATTCAAAATTTCTGAAAATAATTTTGAAAAAAAAAATCGCATTTGCATAACATTATTAATATATTTCTTTCCTTTTTCCACGCTTTTCTCGCTCTTTCTCTCCCCCCGCCCCCCTGTTTTAACCTTATGTGTATATGTGCATAAACTTTTGCAAACATGAACAAAATCATGGCTGGCAAATCATGAAACCTGCTTGTATATATCATGCACTCACACACACACTATACACACACCCATCTAACTTCGCGCCACCGAAAAAAAAATTGAAATTGCGTTTCTTCAGTCACCAACGTCTTGACACCCGACGACTGTGACAGCTCACAGTTCTTCTGCGACGATGATTGCCATCCCTCCAGCATTCGCTGTAACGGTGCATACGATTGTGCCGATCGCACCGACGAACAAGATTGCCCAGCCAAAGATCCCTATCCACCACAACGTTTCCCCACCTACCCATGTCCCCAGCATACCTGCCCCAACGGTAAATGTTATAGTGAAAATGAACGTTGCGATGGCACGGCTCAGTGTGACGATGGATCCGACGAATTGGATTGTAAGTTGAAAACATGCTAAATCATATTTCATATTTAACCAAAACAACAACAAAACATATAAGTTCTTTTTTCTAACTGCACATTTTTTTCGAAAAAAAAAATTCAAACAAAAATTTTGAAATTTTTGCACTTTCATTCAAAAAAAACCAACAACATTTGATCGAAATCGAATTTCAAACAAAAGACACATAAATGGAAATGAAGTTAGGAGAAATTAAAAAAATTTAAAGGCATTTTTAACGCTGTATAACAGTTTGGCACAACTGTTATACACCAAAAAACAGGCTATTCTATGTTCCAAAAACAGCAAATAATTCATATTTGTTCATAAATTGAAGAAAAATTATAAAAAATAATATTTTTTAGAAATTTCTAACATTGTATAACAGTTTTACCAAACTGTTATACTCTCAAATGCATTGTTAGATAATCTAAAATGACAAAATATGAAACAGCACACATTTTCCAATCATTTCTGATCAATTTTCTTTGTATAACAGTTAAAAAAGTTAACTGTTATACTCTTTAAAATTCTTGGAAATCATGAAAATAATTCACTATTTGCCAATTTGTTACATTTAAAAGCCCTTTGGCAGCTGTATAACAGTTTGTCACAACTGTTATACACCAAAAACAACTTATTCTAGGTTCGAAAACCAGCAAATAATTCAAATTTGTTCATAAATTGAAGACAAATTATAAAAAATAATATTTTTTTTCAAATTTCTAACATTGTATAACAGTTTTACCAAACTGTTATACTCTCAAATGCATAGTTAGATAATCTAAAATGACAAAATATGAAACAGCACACATTTTCCAATCATTTCTGATCAATTTTCTTTGTATAACAGTTAAAAAAGTTAACTGTTATACTCTTTGAAATGCTTGGAAATCACCAAAAATTCAAATTTGATTATAAATTTAAGTATAAAAATAAAATAAATAATATTTTTTTAAAAATTCCTAACATTGTATAACAGTTTTACCAAACTATTATACTCACAAATACATAGTTAGATTTTCTAAAATGATAAAAATGGCGAAATATTAAACAGCAAACATTTTCCATTCATTTGTGGCCAATTTTCATTGTATAACAGTTATAAAAGTTAACTGTTATACTCGCCAAAAAGTTTGAAAATCATATAAATTGTTCACTATTTACCAAATTGATACATTTAAAGGAATTTTGGCAGCTGTATAACAGTTTGTCACAACTGTTATACACCAAAAACAGGCTATTCTATGTTCGAAAAACACCAAACAATTCAAATTTGTTTATAAATTGAAATTAAATTTTAAATTGAAATTATATTTTAGACATTTCTAAAATTGTATAACACTTTTACCAAACTGTTATACTCTCAAATGCATAGTTAGATACTCTAAAATGACAAAATATGAAACAGCAAACATTTTGCAATCATTTGCGATCAATTTTCATTGTATAACAGTTACAAAAATTAACTGTTATACTCTTTAAAATGCTTGGAAATCATGAAAATAATTCACTATTTGCCAATTTGTTACATTTAAAAGCCCTTTGGCAGCTGTATAACAGTTTGTCACAACTGTTATACACCAAAAATTATGCTATTCTATGTTAAAAAAACACCATATAATTCAAATTTGTTTATAAATTGAAGAATAATAAGAAAACAAATACTAGTTTTTAGAGATTTCTAACACTGTATAACAGTTTTCCCAAACTTTTATACTCTCAAATGCATAGTCAAATGTTTCTAAAATGATAAAAATGGCAAAATATGAAACAGCAAACATTTTCCATTTATTTGTGATCAATTTTCGTTGTATAACAGTTACAAAAGTTAACTGTTATACTCTTTGAAATGCTTGGAAATCATGAAAATTGTTCTCTATGTGCCAATTTGATACATTCAAAAGCCTTTTGGCAGCTGTATAACAGTTTGTCAAAACTGTTATACACCAAAAACAGGCTATTCTATGTTCTAAAAACGCTAAATTATTCAAAAATGTTTCTTAATTGAAGTATAATTAAAATACAAAATATTTTTTGAAATTTTCAACATTGTATAACAGTTTTACCAAACTGTTATAATTTTAAATGCATTGTTAGATGTTTCTAAAATGATAAAAATGGCAAAATATTAAACAGCAGACATTTTCCATTCATTTGAGATCAATTTTCGTTGTATAACAGTTACAAAAGTTAACTGTTATACTCTTTAAAATGCTTGGCAATCATGAAAATTGTTCTCTATGTGCCAATTTGATACATTTAAAAGCCTTTAGGCAGCAGTATAACAGTTTGTCGCAACTGTTATACACCAAAAAAATGATAAGAAAAATTAAAAAAAGAACAAATCTAAAATGACTGCCCCACTTCATTTCCATTTACAATGTATTTTTATTATATATTATTTTTCTATATATTCCTATACATCTTAACTACTCTCATCATCTTTCTCTCTCTATTTCTATTAAGCACTATCAAAAGATAAATTTCTTCATTGTACAATACACTTTCTTTCGATTTTTCTTTTTTTCTATCCTTTTCACAATAAAAAAAAAAAATAAAAAACAAAAAAAAAAATCACAACGCCAACCAACCAAAAAAAATGTATGAAAATTTTCAATCTCTTTCTTCATTCCATGACAATGAAATGCTTTTCATTTATTTATTACTAACTTTAAAAAAAATAAAAAAATAATCACCTCAAAAAAAAATACAAAAAAATCAAACACCAGGCATAAACTGTAAGGACGATGAGTTTTTCTGTTTCGATCATAAATATTGCATAAATGCGACTCAACACTGTGATGGATATTATGATTGCAAAGACTTTTCAGATGAACAAAATTGCATTGGTTAATATCGTCTTATATCTATAAAAATATTTTCGTAATTTTAAGTAGCAAATTATAAATTAAAAAAAATATATATTTTTTATTTTCAAATATTTTAAGATTTTTAGAATATGTTTTTTTATTTTTAAGGCATGCTTTTAGTGTTTAATGTCCAAGGCACTCTTTTTCCAAATGAAATCCTCTCTGCCTTTAATCCTTAATTTCAAATAATGCATAATTTTTTCTAATATTTTTAATTTTTAATATTTTCCGCAAACAGGTTGTGCCCCCGATCAATTCCGTTGCCGCAATGGTGATTGCATCCCCAGCTATTATCACTGCAATGGCCATCGTGATTGCATGGACAACTCCGATGAAGAAGAGTGTGCCGATCCTGCCGTACCAGCCAGCCGTTGTCTGCCTTCTCAATTCCGTTGCGACAATGGCCAATGTATTTCGGCCTATGCCCGCTGCAATGGTTATGTGGACTGTGCCGATAGCTCGGATGAAAGATATTGCCGTAAGTAGTGAAAATATTCAAATATAATTTAAAAAAAATCTCTTCAAAGTTAGAAAAATTGTAAAAAAAATCAAAATGAAATGGCATTAAACAAAAAAAATGCAAAAATATTAAAAATGCTAATATTTTTATAAATTTCAAACTTGGTATAACAGTTTGCCACAAACTGTTATACTGTCAAATTCAATGTTTTACATTCCAAAATGGCAGAATATTGCAAGGGAAACGTTTTCCAACAATTTTTATGCATTTTTATTTGTATAACAGTTATAAAAATTAACTGTTATACTTCAAAAAATTACTGCAAATCATGAAGAATGATTATTATTTGCAAATTGGGTACATTTAAAGACCTTTTGGCTGTTGTATAACAGTCTGTCACAACTGTTATACAACGACATTTATTGTTAGATGCTATAAAAACCGCGGAGGATTAATTAAAAATTAAACAAAATAATTAGCCCTCAAAGTTGTTTGGAAATTATAAAAATGTGGGAATTTTAAAAGAGAGCCGTTGCTAACAGTTTATGATCATTTTCATTTGTATAACAGTTATACCAATTAACTGTTATACTTCCAGAAGTTATTAGAAATCATAAAAATGGCAGAATATCAAAAGAGGAACGTTTTCTAGCAGTTTTAGATCATTATCATATGTATAACAGTTATGAAAGTTAACTGTTATACTTCCAAAAATCCAATTATTTCACATTTCTATTATCCAATCTAACGTATTAAAACACCTTTCGGCTATTGTATAACAGTTTGTCACAGCTGTTATACAGTCAAAAACATACGCTTAAAAACAATAGATTATTCAATGGATGCTACAAGAATGTTTAGAAATTGTGAGAACATGGCAATTTCATAGCAGGCCAAATTTAAAACAACAATTACCGCTGTATAACAGTTTGTGAAAAATTGTTATACCCCCAAAAAAATTTAGTAATTCATTCTCAGAAGGCAGGATAATAAAAGTTACCCGTTTTGTATGCATTTTTGATAGATTTCAATAGTATAACAGTTACTAACTTAACTGTTATACTCCAAAAAATATATTGGAAATCATAAAAATAGTTACTATTTGCAAATTGGGTGCACTTAAAGGCCTTTTGGCCGTTGTATAACAGTTTGTCCAAACTGTTATACATAAAAAAAAATTGTTATACCTAAAAAAATATATTGGAAATCATATAACTTGCTATTACTTGCAAATTGGGTAAATTTAAAGGCCTTTTGGCTGTTGTATAACAGTTTGTCTAAACTGTTATACACAAAAAATCTTGTTGTACCCTAAAAATTGAGAAATAATTCAATGAGAATTGAACAAAAATGTTGGGAAACAACAATTTGATAATAATTGAAAAAAATATCACTGTATAACAGTTTGTGAAAAACTGTTATACTTCACAAAAAATGAATTTATTGAAAAGCAAACAATATTTTGAGATATTTAAACAGAAATAATGCATTTTAAAAACATTTTTTAAAATTTGCGGGCCGTATAACAGTTTGTCAAAAGTTGTTATACCCCTTAAAACGTGGTTATTCGTTTGAAATTGGCCGAATATTACATGACAACTGTTTTGTGTGCATTTTTTTGATTAATTTTAATTGTATAACAGTTATAAACATAACTGTTATAATTTAATTTTTTTTAATTATTTTTTTTTCAATTTTTTTAACACATTATAACAGTTTGCCTACAATTGTCATACCCCAAAAATGTAGTTATCCCTTCTAAATTGCCACATTATTAAATGGCAACTGTGTTGTGTGCATTTTCGTTAAGTTTTAATTGTATAACAGTTATAAACTAAACTTTATTAATTAAAATTTTTTTTTTTTAAAAAATCATGATTAACAAAAAAATGAATATTATTAAATATTTAAACACAAAAAAATGCATTTTTGAAATTTTTTACAAAATTTTTACCAGTTTATAACAGTTTGCCAAACTGTTATACCCCGAAAAATTATGTTATAACTTTTAAATTGACAGAATACTAAATGGCAACTGTGTTGTGTACATTTTTGATAAGATTCAGCTGTATAACAGTTAAAAACATAACTGTTATACTCCGATTTTTTTGCAGGAAATGATGGTATCTGCAATATTTTCAAGTTTAACAAAGATAAAAATGATTTTTTTTAAATTTACATTAAGCAATTTTGAAATTTATGAAAATAATTTCAAAAATATTTTTTTAACAGAAGAGATTTTTTAAATAATAAAATAGTTGTTTAATCATTTTTCATTTAATTTTCTGTTTTAATGCCAACTTCATCCTCTCACTTTATAGTTTCATTATTTAAAAAAATATATATTTTTTATTTGAAATTCCTATTATTTTTCCATTTTTTATTTATTTTTTTATAAATCATTACCATCCTCATGTGTTATGTATGTGTGTGTTTCTATGTGTCATGATATGAAAAAAAATATATATAAAAAAGGCTTTAATCTTGTCGATTTCTATATGAAAGGATCGCCGGGCCAATTCACCAGTCGGGCATGTGGTCCCAATATGTACCGCTGTGAAAATGGCCCCTGCATTGAGGCATCGTTACGTTGCAATGGCAACGTAGATTGTCCTCTCGACACCAGCGATGAATTAGATTGTCCTGGCATGGATAATGAGATTGATAGTAAGTTTTGATCCCATGGATGCCAAATTTGATTCCTTCTGTGTTAAAGCACTGGGATTTTAGGCTGGTGGCACAAAAAAAATTAATCCAAATGGAAGGGGGAGATAACATTTTGAATTCACTGCGGGAAATTTTCCCCATTTAATAATGCACAGTATTTTAGAAAAATTCCCAACAATATTGGCCCTTAAAAAAAAGAGATTTGAAAAATGAAATTTTCAGCCAGGCACCAACTTCAAAATAAATTTATTTTTTTTTTTTTTCAATTATCTTCAAATTTATGCACCAAAAATTCATTTCAAAATAATTTTCTAACAATTTTTTTGAAATTATTTTCAAATTAAAATTTGCAAAAATATTTTTCCACACTTCGTTGCACCAGAATTTATTTCATGTCCTCATAAGCACCACTAATCATTTTTTATTAATATTTCATTAATTTTTTTTTAATATTTCAATTAAAATAATTTTTAAAAATAAATATTTTAATTTTTTTTAATTAATTTAAATTGTAATATAAAAATTATTTATAATTCCAATAAATTTATAAAAAAAATATCAAAATATTTCAATAATTTATTGATATTATAATTAATTTCAATTCTCAAATTTTAAAATTCTGAAATTAAAAAAATGCTTTAAATATATTCTTTTCGTTTCTTTTTTAATTGTTAATATTTAATTTTACTTTAAAATTTCAATTTTTTTTAAACATTCCAAAATATTTCAATAATGTTTTGTAATTATAATAAATTTTAAAATCATTTTTACTAAACAAATGTTTATTAATTTTAATTGAAATATAAAAATTAATTATAATTACAATAAATTTATAAAAAAAAAGTTTCAAAATATTTCAATAATTTATTGTAATTATAATTAATTTTTAAGATCCTCAAATTAAAAAAAACTTCTTTAAATATATTTTTTTATATTAAATTTTACTTTAAAATAGTCTTTTTTTGCTAAAAAAAATATCCAAAAATATTTCAATAATTTATTGTAATTGTAATAAATTTTAATTTTATTTAAAAAAAAAATAAAAATTTTAAAATTTCCATTTTTTTTTTTTTTTTTGCTGTAAAATGTGTTCCAAAATATTTCAATAATTTATTGTAATTTCAATTTCGGATATTTTTATTAAAATTCTCAAATTAAAATTACTTTGAATTAATTTTAATTTTAAATTTAAAAAATTTCCTTTTTTTGCTGTAAAAAATTTTGTTCCAAAATATTTCAATAATTTATTGTAATTATAATAAATTTTAATTTCATTTTTACTAAAAGAACATTCTCAAATTTTAAAATATTCATTTTTTTTGCTGTTAAAAAATGTGTTCCAAAATATTTCAATAATAATTAATTGCAATTTTAACAAATTTTAATTTCATTTTTACTAAAAAAATATTTATTTTAATTGAAATATAAAAATAATAATTATTACAATAAATTTACGAAAAAAAAATATATTGTTTTATTTTTTTTAATTTTTTTATTTAATTTTACTTTTACATTTTTTTATTATTTTTTTATTTTTTTTTTAATTTTTTGGAATTATAATTAATTTTAATTTTGGATATTTTTAACATTCTCAAATTTTAAAATTTTCATTTTTTTTTTTTTTTGCTGTTAAAAAATTTGTTCCAAAATATTTCAATAATTTATTGGGATTATAATAAATTTTTATTTCATTTTTACTAAAAAAAATTATTTTAATTGAGATACAAAAAACAATTATATTACAATAAATTTATCAAAAAAGTACATTATTTTCGTTTTTTATATTTAATTTTACTTTTAAATTTTCAATTATTTTAAAATATTTCAATAATTTATTGTAATTATAATTAATTTTAATTTTGGATATTTTTTTTTTAAATTCTCAAATTAAAAAAATCATGTAAATATATTATTTTCGTTTTTTTTTTTTTCATTTTTATATTTAATTTTATTATTACATTTTCAATTTTTTTCTGCCTAAAAAAATTTGTTCTCCAAATCATTAATCTTTTTTATTATTTTTTATAAACAGCTGATAGCCCTACCACCCCTGCCCCACAATTGAACTTGAAGACCTATCCCGATAATCAAATCATCAAAGAAAGTGAGTATTAATTTTTGTTATAAAAAAATATTTTTAATTTAAAAAATATATGAATTATCTTAAATTATATAAAGAAATATTATTATTTATTTTTAATATTTTTTTAAATAAGAGTTAAATAACAATTTATCTAATTTCCCATATTTCTCTTTTGCTTATAACAACAAAAATATTTATTAAAAAAAACAACAAATTCCAATGCTTACCTAAAACCAATTGTGCTAAAATTAAAAACAAAAAAATAAAATAATTAATAAAAAATACAGGATATATAAGGGAGGGTAAGTTCTAATGGTTATACAAAACACACACGCACACTCAAGCAAAAAAATAAAAATATAAAAATAAAGCAAAAAAAATATGTACAGCACTGCAAGTAAAAAGAAATTAGCATTTGATATTTAAATTTATACATATCTTTATATAAAAATTGTAAATATTAAAAAAAAAATAATTTAAAAAATTAAAAAAATATATTGAGAAAATTTGCTGAAAAGTGGCCTTCTCCGAAAATTCGACCAAAAATGGCCTATAATGCATTCTGAACGTTTCAATATGTTCCACACAATTGTTGCGAACAACATTCTGAAAAAATGCCAACCACACTTCATTCATCAAACGTTTTCAAAAAAAATCGGACCAAAAACACCCCATACAATGAGGTTCTACTGTTTCCAAATATTCCGCAAATTTATTCCTCCCAGTGTTTTGAGGAATTTCTTCAACCACATTGTGGATTTAAACTTTAAGTATCTCCAGATATCTTATATAGATTCGTGACATAATGCCAGGAAAAGTTTCTATTAAATATTGGCGTTTTTTCAAAAATTCAGCCTTATGGGCCTACAATGGGTTTCTAGAGCTTCGAGTTGTTCTACAAATTTATGGCTCAAATTATTTTGAATAACTTTTTCCCATACCTTAGGAACCTTAAGTGTAAGGATCCTCAGCAATCCTTTGGTAGATTCCAAATAAAAATTTTAAATATGAGAAAAATGTCTGTCTTTTTTTAAACTCCGACCAAAACTCCCATATAATGAGGTTTTAGTATTAATATTTGTTCTACAAATTTACTCCCCATAGTGTCCAGAGTAATTTCTTCAACCACATTCTGGTCCTCAGCTAAAAGTTTCTCAAGATATTTCAGATTAATTCATTGCAAACTAATGGAGACAATTTATATAAAATATTGTCGTTTTCCTAAAAATCTACCAAAGGAGACTTATGGTGGCTTCCAAGAGCTTCGAATTGCTCCAGACAATTGTAGCTCAAAGTATTTGGAGTCAATTTGTCTCGAACATTTAAGACCCTAGATGAGGCGATCTTCCGGAATCCGTGAGCTTCTTCAGAGTATAAACCGAAAATTGCAATATCTATATTTATATGAGTATATGTTTCTCTTACAAAATCGCCTCCATAATATTTCCCTAGAGCTTTGAGCTGTTCTACAAAGATATAGCTAACAGTATTTGGAACCAACTTGCCACAGACATCAAAGACCCTAGATGTGGGGATCATCCGAAATCCGGGTGTTTATTTATGACATAAGCCCAAAAATGCAATATAAATATTTGTATGTACTTACATTTTTCATATAAAATCGACCTACAATGGATCGCTAGAGCTTAGAGTTGTTCTACAATATTATAGCTCACAGAATTTGGAGTCAGTTTGTCTCAGATACCCAAGGCCCTAGGTGTGGGGATCTCTGTGGAAATCGTGGGTTTAAATAATTAATAAGGTGAAATATTCAGAATATATATTTATGTGTATATAAAGTTTTCTTCTAAAATCGACCTATAATGGTTCTCTAGAGCTTTGAGTTGTTCTACAACATTATAGGTAACAGAATTTGGAATCAATGTGTCTCAGATACCCAAGACCCTAGGTGTTGGGATCTACAGGAAACCGTGGGCTAAAATAATTATTAATGGGAAAATTCAAAAAATTTATTTATATGTCTATAAAGTTTTCTTCTGAAATCGCCCTATAATGGTTCCCTAGAGCTTTGAGTTGTTCTACAAAATTATAGCTCACAGAATTTGGAATTAATTTGTCTCAGACACCCAAGACCCTCGGTATGGGGATCACCCGAAATTCGGGTGTTTATTTATGATATAAGCCAAAAAATGCAATATAAATATTTGTAGGTACTTATATTTTTCTTCTAAAATCGCCCTATAATGGTTCTCAAGATCTTTGAGTTGTTCTACAAAGTTATAGCTCACAGAATTTGGAGTCAGTTTGTCTCAGACACCCAAGACCTTAGGTATGCGGATCACCCGGAATCTAGGGGTTTATTGAAGCTATATTTTATAAAAATGTAGAAAATAAGAATATATCAGAAAATGCCGTTTTTTAGAAATCCGACCAAATTCGACTTATAGCGGCTTCCTAGAGCTTTGAGTTGTTTTACAAAATTATTGCTGACAAAATTTGCTATTAATGTCTCTCAGACATCTAAGACCCTTGATGTGGAGATTCCCCGAAATCTGCAGGTTTATTATGAGCCCAAGCCGAAAATTTTGAAAAAAATAATGTTTTATATGTATATATAATTTTCTTAAACAAAATAAAATTTATTAAATATATAAAAAATTATATATAAAAATTACACACATATGAATATCTACTATATATATTTTTGTAAATACACCGTAAGAAAAAAATATTCATATCACGATAAAAAAATATTCTATTGCCTGGAATGTTCGATAAAGAAATTTTTAATTTTTTTCCCCAAACACTAATTCTTTTTTTACCCCCACCCCAACAATTTTCCAGGACGTGAGGTGATCTTCCGTTGCCGTGACGAAGGTATGCTCCGTGCCAAGGTCAGATGGACCCGTCCCGGTGGCCGCCCCTTGCCTGTGGGCGCCGTCGACAAAGATGGCCGTTTGGAAATACCCAATATTCGTGTTGAAGATGGTGGCACTTATGTTTGTGAGGCCGTCGGCTATCCTCGCCATGTTTCCGGACAGCAAGTCTCCGTCCAGTTGACCGTTGAAAAATGTAAGTATGGGGAACATTTTCAAAGAAAAAAAAAGAAATTGGAGGTTTATTTTCTTGTCTCTGAGAAATCGTAATCGAATGTTGTGAATATATTTTTGTGCCTGCATGCAGCTTGGGGCTCCAATAAATATTTTGTACCCTCGACAAAAATTAAATATGGCACAGTGCCGCACATAGACATGGAATTTTTTGGATTAGGTAATATACAGCAACAAAAAAAACAAATAAATTTTCTTCCAAGCCTCCCCCCCCCCCCTAACCCCAACTCCAGTCCATGATCTGTAGCCTAAAATAAATTTAGTTAAAAATTCACAAAAAAACTTCTCTGCTCTCTGTTCTCTCCCAAAATTATGGCTTTTCCTTGTGGGAAATTCAATGGTAAATACTTAGTTTTCCCCGTAGATTTTTTTCTTAATTTAGAATTGAGAACTCAACCCAGTTTTCTCCTTGAAATTCGTGAAACAAATATCTAATTTTCTCTCTCTCTCTCTCTTCCCCTCTCCCAATTCTCTCCCTCTTTCTCTCTCCCTCTCATCACAGACAATCCCCGTGACGATCGTTTACCCTCAGCTTGTTCGGCCATACAAGCTACCTGTATGAACGGTGAATGCATTGACAAGTCCCAGATCTGTGACGGTATCCCGCACTGTTCGGATGGCTCCGATGAGCACAGCTGTTCCCAGGGCCGTAAGTGTCAGCCCAATCAGTTTATGTGCCGCAACTCCAAGTGTGTGGATCGCGTCTGGCGTTGTGATGGTGAAAACGATTGCGGTGATAATTCCGATGAGGAGAGCTGTGATCCCGAACCCAGTGGCGCCCCCTGCCGTTATGATGAATTCCAGTGCCGCAGTGGCCATTGCATTCCCAAGTCCTTCCAGTGTGATGACACCAATGACTGTCGTGATGGTTCCGATGAAATTGGTTGCAGTGAGTATTCGAAATCATCACCTCACCCCCAGAACCCCCCGAAAATTATCCAAAACTTCTCTCTTCTCTTCTCTCCCCCATTTTAGTGGCGCCCGACAAGTTGCGTGAACCCCCACCAACTCAATTCCTCAGACCCGGCGACTCATTGAACCTGACCTGCGTTGGTGTTGGCACCCCCACTCCCGTTATCGTTTGGCGTTTGAACTGGGGCCATGTACCCGAAAAGTGTGTCTCCAAGAGCTACAGCGGTACCGGCACCCTCTACTGTCCCGACATGCAGTACGGCGACAGCGGTGCCTATTCCTGTGAAATTATCAACTCCAAGGGCAGCAAATTCACCACCGACACCATGGTCACCGTGGAACGTCCCGAACGTCCCGGCGTCTGCAGCCCTGGCACCTTCAACGATGATGCCCAACATTCCAGCGAATGTTTGAACTGCTTCTGTTTCGGCATTGCCAAGTCGTGCAAGTCCAGTGACCTCTTTATCTCCACCATCCAGCCTCCAATTACCTCTCATCGCGTCGTCAATGTGGAATTGAGCCCCTACAGCAACATTGTCATCAATGAGGCTCCCTCATCGGGCATTTTGAATTTGCGCCATGGCGTCCAGTTCCGTGCCTCCGACGTGTTGTATGGCAGCCGTAGCACTCCCTACCTGGCCCTGCCTGCCGACTTTATGGGCAACCAATTGAAATCCTATGGCGGCTATTTGAAATACGATGTCCGTTACGATGGTACCGGCACTCCCACACGCCACCCCGATGTCATTGTGACCGGCAACGGCTTCACCCTGACCTATCGTTCCCGTTCCCCTGCCCAGCCCAGTTTTGTAAACCACATGGAAATTCCTTTCGTGCCTGGCAGCTGGACCAAGACAGATGGCCGTTCCGCCACCAGAGAAGAAATCATGATGGTCCTGACCAATGTGGACAATGTTTTGGTGCGTTTGGGCTACATCGAGGCCACCGAAAGGGAGGTGGAAGTGACCAACATTATGATGACCTCTGCCGGACCCTATGATCAGGGATTGGGCCAGGCCTCCTTGGTGGAGAAATGTTCCTGCCCTGTGGGCTATAGTGGAGATTCTTGTGAGTCCTGTGCTCCTGGTTATGTTCGCCAGCCCGGCGGTGCCTGGTTGGGTCGCTGTGTTCCTCACATCCCTGAACCCTGTCCCGAGGGCACCTATGGTGATCCCAGACGTGGTATACCCTGCCGTGAATGTCCTTGCCCCCAGACTGGAGCCAATAACTTTGCCACTGGCTGCTCCCTGGGTCCCGACAATGAAGTGACCTGCCGCTGCAATGAGGGCTACATGGGACGTCGCTGTGAGACCTGTGCCCCTGGCTATGAAGGCAATCCCCTGGCTCCAGGTGGCCGTTGCTACCCCACTCCCGATCACAACTGCAATGCCGAGGGTACCTACTCCATTATGCCCAACAAGACGTGTGAATGCAAGTCCCTGGTAAGTGGTGAACGCTGTGACACCTGTAAGTCGGGCTCCTTCCACCTGAACTCCTTCACCTACACCGGCTGCATTGAGTGCTTCTGTAGCGGCCTGCCCGTCAGCTGTGGCAGCAGCACCTGGAACCGTGATCAAATCACCTCTAGCTTTGGACGCTCCCGCGCTCCCCATGGCTTCAGCCTGATCCGTAACTACAACACCGAACCTGCCCCGGTGCCCTTCAACGAGAATGGTGCCTCCTTGACCTTCAACGAACCCTCTACCTCGGAACCCTTGTACTGGAGCCTACCCGCCCAATTCTTGGGCAATCAAATCACTGCCTATGGCGGCAAACTGAGCTACAACCTCAGCTACAATCCCATGCCGGGTGGTTTGATGTCGCGCAGCACCTCTCCCGATGTGGTCATCAAGTCTGGTGAGGATGTGACCCTCATACATTACCGTAAGACCGGCTTTAATCCCAGCCAACCCAACTCCTATTCCATTCAAATGATCGAAAACTCCTGGCAACGTTCCGATGGTCAGACCGTGAATCGCCAACATTTGCTAATGGCCCTATCAAAGATCGATGCCATCTACATCAAGGCCACCTACACCACCAGCACCAAGAATGGCGCCCTGACCTCGGTCAGCATGGACATTGCCTCGGCCAGCAGCCGTAGCGGTGCACGCGCCTGGGAGGTGGAGGAATGTCGCTGTCCCCCTGGCTATGTGGGCACCTCCTGTGAACGCTGTGCCCCTGGCTACAAACGCAACGAGGAGGCCGGTCTCTATCTGGGTCTCTGTGAACCCTGTGAATGCAACGGCCACTCCAGCCAATGCGATGCCGAAACCGGAGTCTGTCTGAACTGTGCCGACAACACCGAGGGTGATTTCTGTGAACGTTGCGCCTATGGCTATGTGGGTGATGCCACCGGTGGCACTCCCTATGACTGTGTCTCCCAAGGTAGTCCCAGACCACCACAACCACCCCAGCCACCACAAAACGAGACCTGTTACCACTGCAATCAGGCTGGCACCGCTTCCTGCTACGGCGACTACTGTTATTGCAAGAGCAACGTCCAGGGCTCACGCTGCGACCAATGTCGCCCCGGCACCTATGCCCTCTCCGCCGACAATCCCGATGGCTGTGAGGAATGTTTCTGCTCCGGAAAGTCCACCACCTGTTCTGCGGCCTCGCTCTATCGCCAACTCATTCCCGTTGACTTCTTTGGCAGCCCCCCGCTCTTCACCGATGAAGAGGGTCAGATTGCCGATCGTGATAACCTGAACTTCGATGTGGCCCGCAATGAATACACCTACTCCTACACCTCGTACACACCCAAGTATTGGAGCTTGCGTGGCTCCGTCTTGGGCAACCAACTGTACTCCTATGGCGGTGAATTGTCCTACACCTTGAGCGTTGATTCCTATGGCCACTATGAGCCTGGCAATGATGTCGTCCTCATAGGTAATGGCATGAAGCTGATTTGGTCCCGCCCCAACGCGGAACAAGACAACGAGGAATACAAGATCCGTCTGCATGAAGATGAAAACTGGCAAACAATGCAACGCGGTGGCATGCAACGTGCCTCCCGCCTGGACTTTATGAATGTCCTCCAGAATTTGGAACACATCCTGATTCGTGCCACCCCCAAAATCCCCACCCAACGTTCCTCCATTAGCGATGTGATTTTGGAGAGTGCCGTCGAAACACCCCAGCCCGGTGCCGAACAGGCCATTGATATTGAAATGTGTAACTGTCCTCCCGAGTACTCTGGCTCATCCTGTGAGTCCTGTGCCCCTCTGCATTATCGCCAAACGGATGGCTCATGTCGTCGTTGTCCCTGCCAGGATGACAACACCCAGTCGTGCAGCCTAGATGAACGCGGCTATGTCAAATGCCAATGTAGATCTGGTTATGCCGGTGATCGTTGTCAAAACATGGGTAAGTCCAAGCTAGCAGAGGGCCGGAGGAAGTTAATTCCCCCCGCCCTGTAAGACACACATATAAGCATATATCTCTTCCATCCCAACCTCCTTTGGCATGATTCATATATCATTTTTGAGACTTTTTCTGATAACCACTTGAGAATGCTTTGAAGGAAAATTCGAATCGAAATCGAAAAAAAGAAAAATTTGAGAAACACAAAATGTGAGAGGAAAATAAATGAAAGAGAGGGAGGAGAGAGGGACTATCTGTTTTGCAATGAAGGGAGTATTAAGTTCGAAAAAAATATAGAGACATACTAAAAATTACATTTTTTATTAAAATATTTTTGCTATAAATTATTTTTTTTTAAATTCTGGATTTTTTTCAAAATTCCGAAATTCGAAATTTTGAAAATGTATAAAAAATTAAAATTATTCTTAAACACATTACATTATTATCTATCTATTATTAAAATAGGAGTATTTTAAAATAATATGTTCGAAATTTTTTTGAAATATTCAAATTTTTTTCCATGTTCGAAAATTCGAAAATGAAAATTTTTGAATGGAATTAGTAAATTTTGTAAGTTTAGGTCATTCCGAAACACTTTAGTACAATTTTGCAGCTCTCTAATCAAAATTTTCCCATGTTCGAAAATTCGAAGATCATAAAAAATGACGCAGGAACCATATAATTTTTATGGGTATTTTTCGTTAAGGGGGATATTTAGACATAGTCATCGAATACATTTTTAACTCTCGTATTATAGCCAAAATTTCGAAGATTGCAAAAATTCCTATGTTCGAAATTTCGAAAAATATAAAAAGTAGAATTATCCTAAAAATGTCTTTTATTATTATATTTGAAGTATTTTAAGATAATATGTTTGAAATGTTTTGGAAATATTCGAATTTTTTCCTATGCTCGAAATTTCGAAAATGGAAACAATAAAAAATTTTGCATGGAATTAGTAAATATAGTAATTTTAGGTCATTCCGAAACACTTTACGACAATTTTGCAGCTCTCTTATCAAAATTTTCCCATGTTCGAAAATTCGAAGATGATCTAAAATGCCCAAAAACACCAAAACAAAGGTTTAATTTTTATTTGACATTTGTAAAAATACGTTCGAATCATTTTTGTGTATTTTTCTAAAAAAAATCTAAATTTTGGAACATTTTCGATTTTTTTTTTTTATTTTCGAAATTTCGAATATGCGTAAAAAATGCACTTATTGGCATGGAATCTTTTAATATTCTTTACACTATGACTTTAGGATGTAATTTACATTAATTTGTTCACTTTTTTGCGAATTTCGAAATTTCGAACATCGAAAAAAAAATCAAATGTTCCAAAATTTAATTTTTTTTTGAAAATTTGTTCCATGTTTAGTTTTAGTTTTAGAATACATTCGAATCATTTTTGTGTAATTTTTCAAATAAAATCCAAATTTTTGAAATATTCCATGTTCGAAATTTCGAATATACGTAAAAAAGGCAATTATATTCATCGAATTATTTAGTATTATTTATACAAGGCTTTAGGCTTTTAGGCTTTAATTTAAATCAATTTGTTCTCTTTTTGTGAATTTGATTCGAACATGGAAAAAATTCCAAAAACCTTCCAAAATTTATTTATTTGTTTATTTTTTATTTATTTTATTTATTTTTTTTTTTTTTTTGAAAATTTGTATCAGAAATAGATTTTGGGACATTTCGAAACACTTTTTGACAATTTTACAGCTTTTTAATTAAAATTTCCCTATGTTCGAAAATGTTCAAATATTTCCAAAAACACCAAAACAAGAGATCAATTTATATTTGCCATTTTAAAAAAATATTTTCGAAACATTTTTGTGTAATTTTCCAAAAAAAATCTAAATTTTGGAACATTTTCGATTTTTTTTTTTTCAATGTTCGAAATTTGGAATTTACGTAAAAAATACCATTATTGTCATGGAATTATTCAATATTCTTTATACAATGACTTTAGGTTTTAATTTAAATCGATTTGTTCTCTTTTTTTCGACATTCGAAATTTCGAATATAGATAAAAATTCGAAAATGCTCCAAAATTTTGATTTTTTTTTTTAAATTTCTATCAGAAATAGGTTTTGGGACATTTCGAAACACTTTTTGATAATTTTACAGCTTTTTAATCAAAATTTCCCCATGTTCGAAAATTCGAAGATGGTTGAAAATGTTGAAAAACACCAAAACAAATGTTTAATTTTTATTTCACAAAAAGAAATATATATTCTAAAAATGTTTTTGTAATTTTTCAAAAAAAATTAAATTTTCAAATTATTTTTCTATGTTCGAAATTTCGAATATACGTAAAATAGGAATTTTTGGCATGGAGTTATTTAATATTCTTAATACAACGACTTAAGGATGTAAATTAAATCGATATGTTACTTTTTGCGATTTTCGAAATTTCGAACATAGAAAAAAATTTCCAAAATTTTTATTTGTTTTTGAAAATTTCTATCATTAGGACATTGCGAAACACTTTTTGACAATTTCGCTTGGTTTTATTCAAAATATCCTCATATTCAAAAATTCGAAAATGATATAAAATGTTCAAAAACACCAAAACAAATGTTTAATTTTTATTTCACATAAAGAAAACTATGTTCGAATCATTTTTGTCTAATTTTTCAAATAAAATCTAAATTTTCGAATAATTTTTCCATGTTCGAAATTTCGAATATACGTAAAAAAATGCAATTATTGGCATGGAATCTTTTAATATTCTTTACACAATGTCTTTAGGCTTTAATTTAAATCTATGTTTTCTCTTTTTTTTCCAATTTCGAAACATTCGAACATAGAAATTCGAACATTTCTCAAAATTTAATTTTTTTTTTTTTTTGAAATTTCTATTAGAAATAGTTTTAGGACATTTCGAAACATTTTTTTTTTGACAATTTGACAGCTTTTTAATCAAAATTTCCTCATATTCGAAAATTCGAAGATGTTCAAAAATTTCCAAAAAACGTCAAAACAAGACTTCAATTTATATTTGCCATTTAAAAAAATATATGTTCGAATCATTTTTGTGTAATTTTCCAAATTAAATTTAAATTTTCATATTATGTTTCCATATTCGAAATTTCGAAAATTCGTAAAAAAGGCACAATGACCTTAGGATGTAATTTAACTCGAAATGTTCTCTTTTTTGCGGTTTCCGAAATGTCGAACATAGAAAAAATTCAAAAATCTTCAACAATTTAGTTTTTTTTTTTGGAAAATTTCTATCAGAAATAGTTTTTTGTTTCGAAACACTTTTGGACAGTTTCGCATGGTTTTAATCAAAATTCGTCATTTTCGAAAATTTAAAGATGGTTGAAATTGTCTAAAAAACAATGGAAAAAATATAATTTTTAAAATTTATGATATTAGGGATATTTTAGAATTGTTTTTGAAATTTTCGAAAATTTGAAAAAAAAATCACTTTAAAAAATTTTGAAAAAAAAATTTTTTTTTTTTTAATTTATTTTTTCAACTGAAACCAAGGAAAATGTAAGTTTGTATATTAATATACTATTTATGATAAGGGATGTTCGAAAATATTTTAATTTTTTTTTTAATTTTCGAAAATTCGAAGAAAAAAGTTCTATTTTTACAAAATTACAAAATTAAAAAAAAAAACAATTTTTTTAAATTTATTTTTTATTATTTTAGTTTTTTTTTTAAATTTTCGAAAATTTTAAAAAAAGTTCTGCTTGACAATTTTGAAAAACAAAAGTTTTTTTGACTTTTTTTAAATTAATTTTTTTAATCCTCTAATATCCCTTATCATAAATATTATTATACAAAATATCATAAATATTATTATACAAAATATAAGTATATTAATATACAAAATTATATTTTTTTCTTGGTTTAAAAAAAATATAATTTTGTATATTAATATACTATTTATGATAAGGGATATTCGAGAATTCTTCAGATTTTTTTTTTAAAAATTTTCGCAAATTTGAAAAAAGTTCTAATTGACAAAATTACAAAATTTTGAAAAAAAATTTTTTTTGATTTTTTAATATTTATTTTTTTTTCAACTGAAACCCATAAACTCTCCACTTCACTTTCACACAATACCAACAACAACAACTACTTAATTTTTTTTTTAATATATTATTTATTAACATAAGTTAGGGATTTTAAACATTTTTAAATTTTTTTATTTCCGCAAATTTGAAAATTCTGTTTCTGTATGACAAAATTACAAAATTTTGAAAAAGAATTTTTTTTTGATTTTTTTTAATTTATTTTTGTTTTTCAACTGAAACCCAAAACTCTCCACTTCACTTTCACACAATATCAACAACTACTACTATTTAATTTTTTTTAAATATATTATTTATTAACATAAGTTAGGGATTTTATATATTTATACATATGTATAAGAAACCCGATAATTTTCCCAACGCCTTAAAACCAAAAAAACTTGAAAATATTTTACCGTACAGTGCCCGCCAATAAAGAGGATAAGCCCTGCGTCAAAGAGCGTGGATTCTGTTGTAGTGGCTTTCAGTTCAATATCGAACTGAATCAGACCATCTCGCCCAACGAGACCCTAATGATTTTCAGAGGCAAACAGTACGTAGGAAATATGACCAAATTGTTTTATGGCTGTAAAGGTTCGCAATATTTTCATAAATAAATTTATTAAAAAAAAAAAATATTTTCAATATTTTCTAATTAGATTTTAGTTAGTTTAGATTTTGATTAGTTAGAAAAAAAACAACAACAACAAACAAATGTTTAACCTCTATGCCATGGGAAATTTGTTTTTGTTCTACCAGACAAGGATTTCTTTTTGCGCAAATCCTGTTGTGTTTTTGTTATTGTAAATTTGTAGTGTAAATTTTTTGGATAAAATACAACAACAACCAAACCAAACCAAGTAATTATTTTGTTTTGTGGAGCATACTATCTGTCACATACATTCAAAACATACATACATACATATATACATACATATGTCTATTGAACTATCCTCTTGTTTTTTAATGTCTGTCCTCTCAAAACCAAACCAAAAAAAAAAAACATAAAATAAATAATACCTAAGTTTACATGTCTTAAAATTTTGAAAAAAAATTGTAAAATAAAAAAAATATATTTTTAGAATTTTTTTTAATATATCTGTGTACAAAAATACCAAAAAATGTGGGCCTTGAGAAAAAAATCGTATGAAACTCCTTAGTTTAACCCAAGTTGAGATTTATGTTTTCTGTTAATTATTTTTACAATTTTAACCCGGAGTTGTAATTTTCTGTAAAAAAAACCCCTCAACTACGATTTTGGTTCCCGTGGACCAGGATTGGAAAAACTACATACTAACAACAACAACAAAAATAATTAAAAAATAAATCAAAACTTTTTCCTCCTACAACAACGATACAACAACAAATATTTATGTACAAAACTCAAACCAAAGCCAAGTAGTTTTTGTTGTAGTTAGACCAGAATAAAAAATTAAAAAAAAATTCAAATCGATACCAAAAAAACCTCCCATCAACAAGGAAATACCCTTTCATTACAACAACTCATCATTGTCACTAACCTTAGAATTTGTTTTGAAATTGAATTTAAAATTCCATTCACTTTTACCTCTACTAATTTCCGATTTTCATATTTTTTATCAACCACCAAAAAAAAACAACAACAACCCAACAGAAGATGATGGTTCTGGACCAATAATTAGCACCACTCCCCAACCGGAATACAAAACTCAAATAACGGTATCCATCAAGAAGCCTGTGATTTCCATTGTGCCCATTGGCGGATCCATAACCTTGAGTTGCAGCGGCTATTTCGCCTACAATAGGGTGGGTAAAAAAAAATCTAGAAAAAAAAAATTTAAAAAAAAATAATTTTTATTTAAAAAAAAATATTTTTATTTAAAAATTTCAAAATTTTAAAAAAAATCAATTTCTTTTGATTTTTTTAGGCCCCCGTTGTAGTTACCTGGTACAAATTGAACGGTGATATGCCATTCCACTATGAGCAGGCCGATGGTGTTTTGCGCCTGTATGACTTGCAAATTCACGATTCCGGCACCTACATTTGTCAGGCACGCAACGATCAGACTCAGCACATCTTCCAGGACAATGTGACAATCACCATTACAGGTAAGCGGAAGCAGGTTATATTAACAAGGAAAATAAATTTTGGAACTTATTTTAACATAATTTTTAACCAAAATTTAAATATTTAGCAAAGGGTGGATATGAGTATTAATAATATAATTGGTTACCTTTTTGGAGAATCTAATATAGCTCCGTCAGTATCGGAGATTTTTGCAAAATTCCATACGGAATCGAGGGATAACATATTAGGGTAAAAATAAAAATTGTGAGGTAGAACAAAATTCACTTCGTTCTAACAAAAACAGCAAATTTTTAAAATTCGTCCCATGGGGCGTATGACTATTATTTATTATGGGGTTAATTTGGAAAATGCCATATAACTCAGAAAATATAAGAGATATTTGCATAATTCTTTTTGGAATCGAGAGCTAACATATCAGAGCAAAAATGAAAATTGTGAGGTAGAACAAAATTCACTTCGTTTTACGGAATTTTTTTTAATTTTTAAAATTGGTTTGTATGACTATTATTTATTATGGGTCCATTTGGAAAATTCCATGTAGCTCAGAAATAAATGGGGATTTTTACAAAATTATTTTTGAAATCGAGAGCTAACATATTAGAGAAAAACTAAAAATTGTGAGGTAGAACAAAATTCACTTACTTTAAAAAATCCAAATTTTTAAAATTCGTCAATAGGGGAAATATGACTATTATTTATTATGGGTAAATTTCAAAAATTGCTTGTAGCTCAGAAACTAATCGGGATTTTCACAAAATTCTTTTTGAAATCGATAGATAACATATCAGAGAAAAAATGAAAATTGTGAAATGGAAAAATTTGCCAGAAAATTCAATTTCAGAGATTCGTCTCATGGGGCGTATAACTATTATTTATTATGTGCTAATTGCAAAAATTACTTGTAGCTCACAAAATATAAGAGATATTTGCATAATTCTTTTTGGAATCGAGAGCTAACAAATTAGAGCCAAAATAAAAATTATGAGGTAGAAAAAAATTCACTTCGTTTTGGTGAAAACAGCAAATTTTTAAAATTGGTTTGTACGACTATTATTTATTATGGGTTAATTTGGACAATTCCATGTAACTCAGAAAATATAAGAGATATTTGCATAATTCTTTTTGGAATGGAGAGATAACATATTATGGCTAAAATAAAAATTGTGAGGTAGAACAAAATTCACTTCGTTTTACGGAAAACAGCAAATTTTTAAAATTGGTTTGTATGACCATTATTTATTATGGATTAATTTGAGAAATTACTTGTAGCTCAGAAAATATAAGAGATATTTGCATAATTCTTTTTGGCATCAAGAGCTAACATATCAGAGAAAAAATGAAAATTGTGAAATGGAAAAATGTAGCTTATATTTGCCAAAAAAATCAAAATTCGTCGCATAGGGGTATGACTATTATTTATTATGGGTTAATTTCAAAAATTGCTTGTAGCTCAGAAACTAATAGGGATTTTTACAAAACTCCTTTTGGCATCGAAAGATAACATAACAGAGAAAAAATGAAAATTGTGAGATAGAAAAATTTATCTCATATTTGCCAGAAAATTCAATTTTAGTAATTCGTCCCATGGGGCGTATGACTATTATTTATTCTGGGTTGTTTTGGCAATTCGATTGTAGCTCAGCAATTAATGGGAATTTTTACAAAACTTCTTTTGGAATCGAGAGCTGACATATCAGAGAAAAAATGAAAATGATGTGTGAAAAAAATTTCTTTACAGAATTTGATTGGGGATGCATATTACTCTTATCAATTATGGGTTATATATGGAAAATTTGTTGCAGCTCTGAGACTAACTGGAACATTCATCAAATTCTTTTTCTTAGCGAAGGACGACTTATCGGGTGAAAAATGAAAATTGTAAACTAGAAATATTTTACTTAGATTTGCCAGAAAATTCAATTTTTAAAATTCGTCCCATAGGGCGTATGACTGTTATTATTTTTGGATTGTTTCGGAAATTCGATTGTAGTTCCGAAAATATTAGAGATATTTCCATAATTCTTTTTGTCATCGAGAGATGATATATCAGAGAAAAAATGAAAATTAAGATTGAGAAAGATTTTTTACAGAATTTGATTAGGGGTGCATATGAATATTCTTATGGGTTAATTATGGATTTTTAATTATGGAAAATTTGTTGCAGCTCTGAAACTAACTAGAACATTTATCAAATTCTTTTTCGTAGCGAAAGACAAGTTTTCAGATAAAAAATAAAAATTGTAAGCTAGAAAAATTTTACTTAGATTTGCCAGAAAAATTAAATTTTTATGAATCGTCCCATGGGGCGTATGACTATTATTAATTCTGAGTTATTTTGGGAAATCGCTTGTAGCTCAGAAACCAATAGGGATATTTTCAAATTTCCTTTTAGAACCGAAAGCCAACCTGTTGGAGAAAAAATAAACATTATTTTGTTAAAATATTTTTCTTTTGATATTAATTTAAAATTATATTTGAAAAACATTTCCAAAAAATTAAAAAATTTTAATTAATTTTAAAAAATAAATAAAACAGGTTATACATATTTTTTTGATTACTTTCACCAACTGTAACTACTTTTCATTGTTATTTTTAATGCTTCCCTTTATGTCACAAAGGATATGCCAAAGAAATGTTGGCCCGTTATGGTATGCACTTAAGAAAACCCCAAAAGATTTTCGAAAGTCCCAGGAGAAAAAAAATTGAATTACATTTAATCAACATTTGGTATTTTTTCAGAATCCTCCCGCCGCTCTCCGGCCAAGATCGACAGCCTGGCTCCCTATCACACCTTTACCGAATATGTACCCAACGAAATTGTCTGCGATGTAAGCGGCAATCCCACTCCCACCGTCACCTGGATTCGTGTCGATAACCAAATGTCCACCGAGGTCACTGTTGAGGGTAATCGTTTGATCTTCGATAGACCACGTAAATCCGATGAGGGTAGATACAGATGTCAGGCCAGCAATGGTGAAGGCTATGCGGATGAGAAATACACTGAAGTGTATGTTGAGACCGCAGTTGCACCATCGACACCAGCACCCCGTGAAACCGTGTACATTGAACCACCGTATTATGCCGGCGAAGCTGGTCAAACTGTCCGCCTGACGTGCCACTCCATTTCAAATATCAATCTGAAATATGAATGGACCAAGGATGGTTATCCCATCTATCGTCAACATAATATCATCCTGTTGGACAATACCTTGGAGATTCGTGACTCGTCGCCTCGTGATTCCGGCACCTACACTTGTGTGGGTATTGATATGCGTGGACGTCGTAATTATACCTCTGATGCTCGTGTCAATGTTGAGGAGTCGCGTGACTCTACACATACCTATGGGTGAGTGGGGATAGAACCTATGGCTTGGGGCCCCTTACTTAAATGTGATTTTCTTTACAGAACTCCACCAGTTATCCGAACCATGCGCGAAGAACATCTCGTCGTCCAGGGCCATGACTTTACAATCACCTGCGAAGCTTCTGGCAATCCTCGTCCCACCATTAAATGGACCAAGGTCCATGAGTCGTTGGGTGACAATGTCCATCAAAGTGGCAATGTTTTGCGTATTAGCTCTGCCCGCCCTGATAATCGTGGTGTTTATGTGTGCGTTGCCGAAAATAATGTTGCCTCGGATCAAGCCAGTACATATATTGAAATTGAACGTAAGTGAAAATCAGAAATTTTCTGAAAGATAAACAATTTGAGGCAGTATTTATTTTTTGGCCATGGGTGCGTATGATTGTTATAAATTCATGGATATTTTTGGGAAATTTCTTCTAGTTGCCAAACTAGCGGAGATATTTTCAAATTTCTTTTTGAAATGGAAAGGCAACTCATTGGAGTAAAAATGAAAATTCGAACATATACCACTTTTCTTGTAAGGTCCTACTCTAAAATGGCGATGAAATAGAATTTTTTCGTGAAAAATGGGTATATTGTCATTCAAGTGAAATTAATTTAATTTTTAATTAAAAATAGGAATTTTTTGAATTTATTATGTCTCCGCAAACATTTAGGAAAGGAAAAGATTCCTTCCAAAAAAATATAATTGATTAGAAAAATATATATATCAGATTCCAAGTTAGTGGAAGACACTATAGAATGTGAAATCCTAGAATCATTAGCATAAAATCGAACAATTAGTTTTGAAAATAAATTTGGAACGAAAAATTAATATAGAAAGTGATAAAAATTTTCCACTCCCACTCACATATCAATTTCCACCTTTACATAACAAATTAGGGAAATGTTGATATTTTACCAAGGGTGCGTATAATTATTATAAATTCACTGGATACATGAAAGTTTAGATGATAACTCCAAAACCAAATAAGATATTTTTAAAATTCTTTGTGCCATTGAAAGATAAGAGATTAGGGAAAAAATAAAAATTCAACAACCTGAGACTTTTATGGGAAAAATAAAAAAATTCAAAAAAATAGGAAAAAATTAAGAAATAAAAAAAATGTAAATAATTCCATAAAAAACTAGACGGATAGGCGGAATTGTTACTCAAATGGCAATTTTTTTCCGCTATTTCCATGAATTAAAATTTTCTATAGACAAATTGATTTTAAAAACGCAAAATTGGATATTTTTCAATTTCGTCCATGGGTTCGTATGAGTATTTTTAATACATGGGTTGTTTTGGAAATTTAGCTGTAGTTGCCAAACCACAAGAGATACTTTCACAATTCTTTTTGGACTTGAAAGCAAACATATTAGAGAAAAAATGAAAATTATTAGCAAAATTATTTTTGTTATAAAAATAATGTTTTTTGTTTAAATATGATAAAATAAAAATTTCAAAAAAAAAACTAAAATAATTCCATAAAATATTTAAGGGATATCCGGAACTGTTATTCGAGTAGTATCCCTTTTCCTTAATTTTCATAAATTACAAATTTCCATACACAAATTGATTTAAAAATCGCAATTTCGGGCACTTTTCAATTTCATCCGGGGGTGCGTATGATTATTTTTAATACATGGGTTGTTATGGAAATTTAGCTTTAGCTGCCAAACCACATGAGATATTTTCACAATTCTTGTTACACCTGAAAGCAAACGTATTAGAGAAAAAATGAAAATTATTAGCAAAATTATATTTGTTATAAAAATAATCATTTTTTTTTTATAAATGTGAAAATATATAAATTTCGAAAACAAACTAAAATAATTCCATAAAATATTTAAGGGATAGCCGAAACTGTCATTCGAGTAGCATCCCTTTTCCTTGATTTCCGTGAATTACAATTTTCCATAGACAAATTTATTTTAAAATCGCAAAATTTGACATTTTTAAATTTTCGTCCAGGGGTGCGTATGATTATTTTTAATACATGGGTTGTTATGGAAATTTAGCTGTGGTTGCCAAACCATGTGAGATACGTTCACAATTCTTTTTACACTGGAAAGCAAACATATTAGAGAAAAAATGAAAATTGTTAACAAAATTATTTTTGTTACAAAAATAATTTTTTTTTTTAATATAAAACATATGAATTTAAAATAAAAAAAAAAATAAAATACTTCCATAAAATATTTAAGGGATAGCCGAAACTGTTATTCAAATAGTATGCCTTTTTCTTGATTTCCATGAATCACAATTTTCCATAAACAAATTTATTTTAAAATAGCAATTTCGGGCACTTTTCAATTTCGTCAATGGGTGCGTATGATTATTTTTAATGCATGGGTTGATATGGAAATTTAGCTGTAGTTGCCAAACCACAGGAGATATTTTCACAAATCTTTTTACACTGGAAAGCAAAGGTATTAGAGTAAAAATGAAAATTATTACCAACGCTATATTTTTTTATTAAAATAGTAATTTTTTTAAGAATCAGACAAAAATAAATTCAAAAAAATTAAATACATGTCATTAAAAAACTTAAGAGATAGGCGGAACTGTTATTCGAGTAGTATTTCTTTTCCTTGATTTCCATGAACTACAATTTTCCATTAACAAATTGATTTTAAAATAGCAATTTCGGACACTTTTCAATTTCATCCATGGGTGCGTATGAGTATTTTTAATACATGGGTTGTTATGGAAATTTAGCTGTAGCTGCCAAACCACATGAGATATTTTCACAATTCTTTTTACACTTGAAAGAAAACATATTACAAAAAAAATGAAAATTATTAACTACGCTATATTTGTTATTAAAATATTTTTTTTTAATAAATTTGAAAAAAAAAATAAATTTCAAAAAAAAAAAAACTAAAATAATTCCATAAAATATTTAAGGTATAGCCGAAACTGTTTTAGAAATAGTATCTCTTTTCCTTGATTTCCATGAATTACAATTTTCCATAAACAAATTGATTTTAAAATACCAATTTCGAACACTTTTAAATTTCGTCCATGGGTGCGTATGATTATTTTTAATACATGGGTTATTTTGGAAATTTAGCTGTAACTACCAAACTATGTGAGATATTTTTACAAATCTTTTTACACCTGAAAGCAAAGATATTAGAGAAAAAATGAAAATTACTTTTTTTATTTAAAGCATTCTAAACTAATTAAAAAAATTACCAAACCTTAATGAATGAATTTTTGGATTTTCTTTGCTCCATTTCTCTTCCTCTGTCTGTCACTCCTTTTTTGTCCATATTTTTGTGTAATTTATTGTAATTTTAAATGCCAAAGCTTTCAAGAAAGGAGTTGGTAATAAGAACGTTCCGAACAATTTACTAGTTTTCGTACTAATCTGTACCACCCTGATTATATCGTTGATTCCAGCTCGTGAACGTCCCACCGTTGATATCGATCCCAAAGAACCTCAGGTTCTTAACGTTGGCAGCCAAGGCATGCTCTACTGTACGGCCACTGGTATACCCACACCACGTGTCCAGTGGTCTCGTGTCGATGGCCTACCCATGTCGCCGCGCCATCAAATGCAACACAACGAACCTGGTTATATTGTGTAAGTATGCCGTGGGGTGATAAATCTGAAATTAGCTTTTTAATGCGAATCGTTTTCATTGCAGTATTGATAATCTTGCATTGGAAGATACCGGTGACTACAAGTGTGAGGCCACCAATGAAGTTGGCTCGGCCACTGCCATTTCGACCATACGTGTAATTGAGGCTCCCGTCATTAGTCTACAACCCGACCTGGAAATCGTTAGCGTTACCGAAGGCGATGAGCTGAAGATAACCTGTTCGGCCAAGGGTACACCCACACCCAATGTACGCTGGATCAAGGAAGATGTTGTCTCCTATGGTTTTACCCCTGCCCTGGCTGGTGCCCAGTCGAATGAAGCCGTTTTGGAATTCTATCGCGTCAGCATGCAGGATGCCAAGACCTATAAGTGTATTGCCACCAATGAGGCCGGTACCGATGAACGTTATGTGGTTTTGGATGTTAAATATCGTCGCGGTGATGTTGGTCCCGATGGCGATGTCGATGACTCTAGACTGCCAACCTACAATCCCTATCCTCCTCCATACACCAGACCCGAAACTGTCATGGAAACCAAGCCTGGTGAAAATGTTACCCTGATTTGTGATCTTCGTAAGTTTTTAAAAGTTTTGGAAAAAAATATCGGAAAAAAATAATATGTCTTCCCTGTCTTCCGCACCCCTCAGAAAACAGCTTCAGAACCATTTGGGAACGCGACGATGGCCGTCCCCTGCCCGACAACTCCTTCTACGATGGCACCAAACTGGTTATCTATCACATGACCGAAAACAGCGCCGGCAGATATCGTTGCAACTCCCTCGATAACCGTGGCTCCATTTTGCGTTTCCATTTGTGGGAGCTGAGATATTTGCCCGTACCCCGTATCACCTTGCACCCGGAAATGCCCATTCGCGTGAATGTGAACAGTGATGTGACCATTACATGTAATGTTGAGGGACCCCAACCGATCGCCGTGTCCTGGCACACCGACAACAATCGTCCACTGACTGCGTAAGTATCTCAGGATGAAAGCAAAACCTCTGAAAATTTTAATTTCCATTTTCCCTGAAATCCTCTTCGCAGTTCCGTGAGCACCAATAACGAATATTTGAACTTCCGTGAAATTACCCCAGCCGCCGCTGGTCGTTACTATTGTTTGGCCAGCAATGCCTATGGAAACTCCACTGCCTATGCCGAAGTGATTGTCAATCGCGGCCGTACCTATGAGTCCCAGCCCCAGGCTAGACAATACCAGATAATGGAGGGTGAAGATATCTTCATGACCTGTGATGTGGAAGCCAATTTGGTGCCAGTACGCGGTGAAATTCATGTAAGTGTGTCGGGAAATCTTAAAATCCAAAATTCCGCCATTTCCTGCCCCAAGGGGCCTAAATGGCATCCAGTCGCTCATTAGATTTTTTCTTTTTCCTTTATATCATACAGTTTCATAAAAAAATTCCCTCATTTAACATGAATTTCGGACAATTTTCGAATATTTAATATAGAGACATGGTTGCGTATGATTATTATTAATTATTGGATTATTTTCGAAAATTGGCTATTTCTCCAAAACTATGAGGGATATTTTCGAAATTTCTTTTGAAAATGAAAGCCAACATCGCGGCAAATAAATCAAAATTAAACAAAAGTATTCTTTTCCCATTTGCAACTTCATTTCGTTTAATTGAAATTCAAAAATTAAATCAAAATAACTTTTTTTAAAAATCTCGCTTTTTCACTTTTAGAATATTTATTTTTTTTATGAATTTTCTTTTTGGAAATCAAACGCTTATCCCATAGGCATATAGTTCTATAAATTTCGTAATTTTTATTGCTTTTTTTTGGCGTATTATGAATATTTTTAATATTGGGCCTTGGTGGCGTGTGAATATTTTAATTTAATGGAAGATTTTAGTAAATCTGTTATATCTATCGTACTATGGGGAATATTTTCGAAATTTCTTTTGAGAATGAAAGCCAGCATTATGGCAAATAAATCAAAATTAAACAAAAGTTTTCTTTTCCCATTTGCAACTTCATTTCGTTTAATTGAAATTCAAAAATTAAATCAAAATAATTTTTTTAAAAATTTAGCTTTTTCATTTTTTGAAAAGTTTAAATTTGTTTATGAATTTCCTGTTTGGAAATCTCAAGCTCACCCATAGGCATATAGTTTAATAAATTTGGTAATTTTTATTGCCTTTATTTGGCGTATTATGACTATATAAATATTGATCCTTGGTGGCGTATGATTATTTTTATTTAATGGATGCTTTTAGTAAATCTGTTATATCTATCGAACTATTGGGAATATTTTCGAAATTTCTTTTGAAAATGAAAGCTAACATCACAGCAAATAAATCAAAATTTAACAAAAGTATAGCCTTCTCATTAGAAAGAAAATCGTTTAATTAAAATTAAAAAATTAAATCGAAATAAAATTTTTAAAGATCTATTTTTTTCACTTTTCGAAAAAGATAAATTTTGTTTATGAATTTCCTGTTTGGAGATCACATGCTTAGCCCATAGGCATCTAAATGTATAAATTTGGTAATTAATATTGCCTTTATTTGGCGCATTATGAATATCTAAAAATTCGGCCTTACTGGCGTATGATTATTTTTATTTAATGGATGATTTTGGTAAATCTCTTATATCTATCGAACTATGGGGAATATTTTCGAAATTTCTTTTGAAAATGAAAGCCAACATCGCGGCAAATAAATCAAAATTAAACAAAAGTATAGCTTTCTCATTAGAAAGAAAATCGTTTAATTAAAAGTAAAAAGTTAAATCGAAATAAAATTTTTAAAGATCCCTTTTTTTCACTTTTCGAAAAAGATAAATTTTGTTTATGAATTTCCTGTTTAGAAATCACACGCTTAGCCCATAGGCATCTAAATTTATAAATTTGGTAATTTATATTGCCTTTATTTGTCGTATTATGAATATTTAAAGATTGGGCCTTGGTGGCGTATGATTATTTTTATTTAATGGATGATTTTGGTAAATTTGTTGTATTTGCCGAACTATGGGGAATATTTTCGAAATTTCTTTTGAAAATGAAAGCCAACATCATGAAAAATAAATCAAAATTCAACAATATCAGGGTTTTCTCATAGGAATATACATATTTTAGTTAAAATAAAAAAAAATATTAAAAAAATATAATTTTAATTTTTTTTTTTTCAATTTTTTTTTCTCTCTCTCTTTAGTACAACTGGCGTCGTGAAGATGGCCAACCCTTGCCACCCAATGCCATGGTACGCAGCAACCGATTGGCCATCAACAATGTACGCCAACAAGACGGCGGACGTTACATCTGCGAATCCTACACTGCCAATGGCGTCTCGCCACCATCCTATGCCGATTTGTATGTCAAGCGTGAGTATCAAGAGTATATGGCCAGAAATTCAAGACGCTATAGACGTCAAAGACATTAAACCAAAGAAAAACAAAACAAAATCCGAATCTATTTTTTTAAAACTAAAAAAAAAAAAAACAAGATCGAAGTAAATACCATTTTATGAAGAACAAATTTTTAAGGAAATCTTTAGTTTTAAAACGCTCAGAAGGCAAACTTCTATAATTGGCATGAATAATTTTTAAAGAAAAAAAATAAATTTAATTTCTATTTTTTCCAATTTGCCACCACTGATTTTACTTATTTTTTTTTAATATATGTAAAATATGTATTAAACAAAAAAAAAACAAGAACAACAACCACTACCACCACACTTGTAAATAGTTTTATAACACCAACAACAACAGCAACAACTAAATATCAATATCAAAACTCAGTTTGTAAATTAACATCATTTTTTTATGTCAAACATTTTCAATGTAAAATATCAACAACTGAATATTTTTATATAGACCCAACAACAACAAATTCAAGTTTAAAACGGTGGAGGTTATATAATTTTTAATCTTGCATGCCAACATATAATTATATATATTTTTTATTTTTAATTATAATTTTTTGTTAATCAGTCTAAGCAAACAACAACAACAACAAAAGAAACAACCAAAATGGCTGCCATTTAACAATTAAGTGACCCCTCCCCTTTAAAACCAACCCCCCCTTAAAAGTTTCTCTATAACCCAAAGAAAATTAATAAATATATTTGATTTATTAACAAATTTTTTATAAAACCAATAACACCATATTTTTTTATTTCATATTGTTTTTTTTTATATATATATAAGAGAAATATATGTTGGACACAAAAATTCAACAATTTCCATTCAGAGGTGCAGGGTTACCCTTAACCACAAAAAAATATATATTTATCACATGTTTTTTGTCTAAGGTTTTTTTTACAAAATCTTGGTTGCGGATTTTTTTGGTTCGCCTTGCCCACTGTTCGCCTGCTTCCCCTGGATATATGTATTTTGAAAACGTGTGATTTGTCCAAAAAATCAGTTTTATTTCCTTTCTTGCCTTGGATCTACACTTCTTTCTATCTACTCTACTTCTTCTCTCTTCTGGTTTCCTTCCTTCTTCTTTATCCATCTATTTTAATTTTCTGCTATCCTTAATTTCTAACCATGGTATAAGGTTTGTCTTTCTTTATCAACAAAAAGATGCTGTACCACATCATAAAATAATTGAAAAAAAAAATTATCCAAAAAAAATAAATTCCGGGAAATTTTCAAAAATACCCTCATTTTCCCCCACATGGAGATTTTTGAATATTTAACATCGAAATTTTATGATTTAGATATTAAATTGTTTAAAAATCATTACAAACTGATTATTTTCAAAAAAATTTTGATTTTAATATAAAAAGGAGTTTTTAGGAAAAAATCCAAAAAACTCCCAACTTTCCCCGTTTTTTAATATGAAATGGTTTTTATCTAATCTTTATCTCTAAATTTAAAATACAAAATTACTATGAAGAATTTTTTCTACCATTTTCTAATTTTGAAAAAAAAATGAATTTAAAAAAATCCCAGAAATACCCAGTTTTTCCATCATTTGAATTTCAATCGTTTTTTATCGTTAATCGTTAAAATACAGAATTACTATAAAATTTCACTAACAATAAAATTTGAAGCAAAAAATTCAATTCCGGGAAATTTTCAAAAATCCCCACTTTTTCCCCATATGGAGATTTTAGAATATTTAAAATCGAAATTATATTTTTTTACATTTTAAACTGTTTAGAAATCATTACGAACCAATTTTTTTAATTATTCTGAGAAAAAATGTCAATTCCGGGAAATTTTAAAAATACCCACTTTTACCCACATGGAAATTTTTGAATATTTAAACTGAAATTATATTCTTTTTAAAATTATATAAATTATATTCTAAACTGTTTAAAAATTATTACAAACCGATTTTTTTTCAAAAATTTCTGATTTTTTTTTTAATTTAATTTCAAAAAATTCCAGAAATATCCAATTTTTCCCAGTATTTGAGTTTTATACTTTTTTTTCCAATTTTAAAATATAAAATTACTAAAAATAGCACTCACAATAAAATTTGAGCAAAAAAGTCAATTCCGGGTAATTTTCAAAAATCCCCAGTTTTCCCCACATGGGCATTTTTGAGTAATTAAATCCGAAATTTTATTGTTTTACATTTTAAACTGTTTAAAAATCATTACGAACCAATTTTTTTCAATGATTCTGAGAAAAAAAAGTCAGGAAATTTCAAAAATGCCCACTTTTACCCACATGTATTTTTTTTAAATATTTAAAACTGTATTTTTATGTTTTATATTTTCAAATGACGAAAAATCAATTAAAAAATGTTTCCATATTTTTTTTTTGATTTTTTTAATTTTAATTTCAAAAAATTCCAGAAATTCCCAACTTTTCCCAGTATTTGAGTTTTATACTTTTTTTTCCAATTTTAAAATTTAAATTACAAAAAATAGCACTAACAATAAAATTTGAAGCAAAAAAGTCAATTCCGGGTAATTTTCAAAAATCCCCACTTTTTCCCCACATGGGCATTTTTGAACATATAAATCTGAAATTATATGAGGAAAAAAAAATAAATTCCGGGAAATTGTCAAAAATCCCCACTTTTTCCCCACATGGAGATTTTTGAATATTTAAAAGCGAAATTATATTGTTTTACATTTCAAATTGTTTAAAATTCATTACAAATTCATTATTTTAAAATTTTTTTGATATTAATATACAAAGGAGTTTTTAGGAAAAAATCCAAAAAACTCCCAACTTTCCCCGTTTTTTAATATGAAATGGTTTTTATCTAAATTTAAACTACAAAATTACAAAAAATTGCCCTGACATTAAATTTGAAGCAAAAAAATCTAATTCCGGAAATTTTCCAAAATCCCCACTTTTTCCCCACATGGGCATTTTTGAATATTTAAAATCGAAATGATATTTTTTACATTTTAAATTGTTTAAAAATCATTACAAACCGATTTAAAAAAAAATATTTCATATAAAAAGTTTTTTTAGGAAAAATTTCCAACTTCCCCATTTTATAATATGCAATAAATTTTATCTAAATAACAAAATCAAAAAAAAATTCCATTAACAATAAAATTTGAGCAAAAAACTCAATTCCGGGAAATTTTGAAAAATACCCACTTTTTCCCCAAATGGAGATTTTTGAATATTTAAACTGAAATTGTATTTTTTTACATTTTAAACTGTTTAAAAATCATTACGAACCATTTTTTTAATTTTTGTTTTTTTTTTTAATTGAATTTCAAAAAATCCCAAAAATATCCAATTTTTCCAGTAATTAAATTTCAATAGTTATCTAATTTCCCAACTTTCTCCTTTTTTAATTTGCTATGAATTGTATTTAAATTAAAAATACAAAATTACTAAAAATTGCCCTGACAATAACATTTGAGCAAAAAAGTCAATTCCAGGAAATTTTCAAAAATCCCCACTTTTTCCCCACATGGGCATTTTTGAATATTTAAATCTGAAATTATATTCTTTTACATTTTAAACTGTTTAAAAATCAATACGAACCATTTTTTTTTTTTGTTTTTTGATTTTTTTAAAAAATTTAATTTCAAAAAATTTTAGAAATTCCCAGTTTTTCCCAGTATTTGAATTTCAATAGTTTTTTTTTTAAAAAATTTTAAAATGCAAAATTACTAAAAATTGCCCTGATCATAAAATTTGATCAAAAAAGTCAATTCCGAGAAATTTTCAAAAATCCCCATTTTTTCCCCACATGTGAATTTTTGAATATTTAAAACGGAAATTGTATTGTCTTACATTTTAAATTGTTTAAAAATTATAACAAACCGGTTTATTCAAAATTTTTTGATTTTTTTTTTTAAATTTAATTTCAAAAAATTCCAGAAAACTCAATTTTTCACAGTATTTAAGTTTCATTATTTTTTTTTCCAATTTTAAAATTTAAATAACGAAAAATTACATCAACAATAAAATTTAAACAAAAGGGTCAATTGCGGGAAATTTTCCAAAATCCCCACTTTTTCCCCAAATGGGCATTTTTGAATATCTTAATTTGAAATTAAATTCTTTTGCATTTTCAACTGTTTAAAAATTTTTACAAACCTATTTTTTCAAAGATTTTTTTAAATTGTTTAGAAATTCTCAAATGATTAAAAATAAATAGAAACAGAATATTTTCCTTTTTTTTTTTTTTTTGATTTTTTAAGAAATAAATTTCAAAAAATCCCAGAAATGAAATTTTCCCCAGTTTTGAATTTCAATAGATATGTCTTCAAATATCTATCAAAAAAAATCCGTAAAAAATTAAAATCCCAGCACTTACGTTTCCCATCTGTGGTACAGCATCTTTTTTGACAAAAAAAAACTGGTTCTTTTCTTTCCTCCTTTTTCTTCTTTTTCAGTTTCACATTTTCCCATTCATTCATCCAACCATTGTTAAATCACGCCATAAATCATTTCATTTATTTCATTGTTTATCGTTGAATTCATCGCAAAAACAAAATAAATTCAACACAAAACAGCTGATTGGCAACTCTATCAGCTGTTTTGTATCAACAGTAACTGATTGGCCGATTTCAATCAATTTAAAATTTTTTTTTGTTTTTTCAAAAGAAGATTTTTTTTTTAAATTTCAAAATCAACTTTTTTTCCATTGTCAATTGTTTTATTTTTGAAAATTGTAAACATAATTTGTGTATTAGTAATTGCTCACGTAATTTTTAACTATTTAACTGTTTACACACACACACACATACACTTATATAGATTTACACACGCAATATTTGTTTGAAATTTGAAATTTAAATTATTTGAAAATAATTTTCACATATAAGGGGGCGCCATGTTTTTGAGTTGTTGTAGGGTGAAACGCGTTTTAGGCTCAGAGAATATTTAATTTTTAGAAAAAATGTAACACCTCAAAATTATCGGCTAATCAATAGTTATCGTCATACATTCGTGGAAAAACATGTTTTTGGGATATTTTGATCTGTTCCCAAAATTTGAAAGTTATCGATATTTATCGAAACATTTTCATATTTATAGAAAACTTTAGATCATCTTATTCCAAGCATTCTTGGACTAGAGAATGCTAAGTCCCTCTACCTCTTTTGTCCGTCGTCAAAATGTGTCATTTATCGAAAGTTATCGAAATTCTATACATATATCGAAAAATATATATTTTGGGATATTTTAATTATTATTCAACCACAACGTTTGGTTATTTAATATCTTTGGTCTGTTTTCAAAATTTGGCAGTTATCGATATTTATCGAAAAATTCTCGGTGTATCGCAAAATAAAATTTGCCCCCTTTTCAAGTATTTTTGACCCAGAGTGTTTTCATTCACTCTTTAAATTAAACAATTTGGCCAAAATTTTAAATTAATCGATATTTGTCGGGAATTTTTACGAAAAATGAGAATTATCGAAAATATTTTACAATTATCGAAAAAAAGATTTCGTAATATTTTAATTATGGCGGATCCATGGTTTGATTTGTCACTTAATATCCTTTGTTTGTTGTCAAAATGCAACAATTATCGATAGTTATCGAAAGCTTCAATATCAATATCAAATTCAATATCGAAAATACTATTCTCCGTTTTAAAGCCAAATTTTCGGTCTAGAAAGTAATTAATACCTCCAAATCCTTTTTCTCATCCCAAAATGAGGAATTTATCGAAATGTTTAATATTTATCGAAAATTTAAATATTAATCGAATAATGCAAAAATGATCCCTATTTTCAACATTTTTGGCCCAAAGACTGGTGAAAAGCTTAAAAGTATTATTCCGATACCATAACTAAAATGTTATCGATATTCATCGAAATTTCGATACTTATCGAAAAATGAAAATTATCCCACTTTCATCATTTTTATTCCATAGTCTTTTTTTGCATTCAATATGATTTGTCTAATTCCGATGTCAGGTATTTAGCGGTAGTTATCGATAATTTTTCACATTTATCGAAAAATAGTTTTCGAGATATTTCAATTATTATGGGTCCACAGACAGTATTGACAGCCAGTATATCCCAAAATTGATAAGTTTTCGATATTTATCGAAAAACTCAATATCTATCGAATTTTCAAAAATTTATCGAAAAATAAAATATATCCCATCTTAATGAATTTATCGATTATTATCGAAAAATAGTTATTAGGTCATTCATTAGTACTGGTCTCAATACCTATCGAATTTTTAAAAATTTATCGAAAAATAAAATGTTAATGAATTTATCGATTGTTATCGAAGAATAGGTATTAGGTTATTAATTATTATTTGTAGTACTGTAGTCTCTTTAGGCACTTAATATTTTTCATGTGTAGCCTAAATTTTAAATTAATCGATAATTATCGACGATTTCAATATTTATCGAAAAAATCTAATTTACTATATTTTTGAGCATTTTTGATCCAGAAACTATTAGTAACTACTTAGCTTTTGTCTGACTCCAAAATTAGGAATATATCATGACCTATCGATAGTTATCGATAATTTCAGTAGTTATCGAACAAAAGATGATATCACTTTTTTAATTATTATTAGTCCGCAGATTTTTTGATGGCCTAAAATCTTTTCACTGACCCCAACATTTATTAGTTATCGATATTTATCGAAAAAATCTACATTTATCGAAAAAGTTCAGTAGTTATCGAACAGTAGATGATAGCATTTTTTTAATTATTGTTCGTTCGCAGATGGTTTGGTGGCTTAAACTTTTTTCACTGACCCCAAAATTTACCAGTTATCGATATTTATCGAAAAATCCACATTTATCGAAAAAGTTCAGTAGTTATCGAACAATAGATGATAGCATTTTTTAATTATTATTAGTTCGCAGACCGTTTGGTGGCTTAAACTTTTTTCACTGACCCCAAAATTTACAAGTTATCGATATTTATCGAAAAAATCAACATTTATCGAAAAATACAATTCACCAAAATTTAATAAAATAATAAACTAAAATCCTTTGTCTCACCCCCAAATTGGGAATTTATCTTTAATTATCGAATATCAAAAGTACGTTATGGGAAATTTCAACAACTCAAAAACTTTTGCCTGCCCCCTTTGGAATTTGTTATAAATTTGTTTATTTGTAGCACTTTGTGTAAATAACATTAATTTTTTTGTAGAAATCTCTTAATGTTTGGTAAATAATTATTTGTTTTCTAGACAACAATAAGTTAAATCAGTTTTTTTTTTCAAAAAAAAAATTAAAAATTTTTTATATATTTCAATAATTTGTATATATGAAACTTATACATTTTTTTACATACCAACAAAACATACATATCATATTGTATATTATAAATTTATTTTTTTTATTGAACTATAATAATTTTCTCTGATTTTCTTCTTTTTTACATATTTTCTTCTTTTATGTAATTCTTTATTTTTTTTGTAAAATTCTCAAAACTTTACAAAAAAAAAAAAAAAATATTCTCAAAAAAAAATACAAAAAAACACACAAATCATCATTTCATCAACAACTAAATCAAACTTAACCGAAAAAAAACCAAAACCATAACAATTATTTTATTTATTATAACGAATTTAAAGGAGGTCACAGCGTTAATGATATACCTTGCATGGTTCTCTATATCTGTACAGGTGTGTTTAAATTATAATTTATGTTTTATAAATATTTTCTGCGATTTTTCAAATTTTTACAAAATTATTTTTTTAGTTGAAACATTTTTTTTTTAATTTAATTAGAAAATTACAATTTTTATTTTTTAATTTTAAACATTTAATTTTTTAGCCGTTTACACGCGTAGAATTTAGTTTCGTTATTTTCATAATTGGCACCAGGAGTTATTTTTTCCTAATTTCATCAAATATTTTTTGTGTAGTCCCTAAACCGAGAAAAAAAAACAACTCAAAACCAACCAACCAGATATGTCACCTAAAATGTATCACTTCCACCCAACAACTGTAACTCCTCCATTCAAATGTCGTAATTGTTGTGTTTTCGTCCTATGCTCTCACATTATTTTAATAATTTGTTTGTGTATTAGTTTTGAATTCTTTCCACATAGTTAAATTGTTGAACCCCATAGTCAGTCAGTCCAAACAAAAAAAAAATCCTCGTAATTTTAGCAAAACCAAAAACAGTATTATTTTTTTTCATAATAAATAAAAACAGTTCTTTTCTATGTATTTTAATTCCCTTCCATGGATATGCCAGCTAGGGATAATTAATAACGAATTTATTGTAATTCTAGATCCCTACCTATTCTCTTTTATTGATAACACAAACAACTCTATGCCGCCTCTCTCACAACTCGTTTAGTCACAACATGAGAAAGAGAGAGAGGGAACAGTTATTTGTAATAGTTGCCATAAGCATAGGATTGCCAACCACAGAGTAAAACATAGGGAGAAGATCACCCGTTATTTCAGGGATGGGAATGTTAAAATGTTATATCTTTTAATTAATTTTTGTTTTTCGTCCGGAATTTTAGCGATTTTCTTATAAATAAAATAGAGCTAATATTTTCATAAATAAGGACAATGATTATTTCGATAATTATACATTTTTTGCCAACTGATTAAGAATTTTCAAATCAAATTTTATGCTTATCGATATTAATCGAAAAACCAAAATTATCTTAATTGGTTATTTTTAAGGACAAAAATCTCTATAATTATAAAATTCAATTGTTTTTAGGCATCAAAATTGCAATCTATGGATATTTATCGATAATTTGGACACTAATCGAAAAATTCGATACTTATCGGAAAAACAAAAATGCAATATTTATCGAAAAAATAAAAGTGTTTAAGTTGGTTCTTTTTGAAATTTCATTTTCGAAATTTATCGAAAAAAATCGAAAGTAAGTTTGGATCAATTTGAAGTTTTTTTTTTGGCTTTTTCGATAATTATCAATCACATTTTGTTATCGAATTCCAAATTATCCAGAAAAAACCCCTTTGCGGAAAAAAACTCTAAACTATTTTTCAATCAAATTTCATTTTTATCGATATTTATCGAAAAAAGAAAATTATCTCGATTGGTTATTTTTAAGGACAAAGGCTATATTAACAAATTTTCACCTATTTTTAGATATCTAAATTGCAATCTATTGATGTTTATCGAAAATTTGGACACTAATCGAAAAATTCGATACCTATCGGAAAACAAAAATGCAATATTTATCGAAAAGTTAAAAGTGTCTTAGCCGATTCTTTTTCAAATTTCAATTCTTTTTATGGATATTTATCGGAAATTTCGAAATTAATCTAAAAAATCTAAATTTATCGAAAAGTAATTTTTGACCAATTTAATTATTTTTTTGGTCTTAAGACTATGTTATTTTTTTTGCAATGCTCTTTTCCGCTAATTATTGATCACTTTTTTATCGATTTCGAAATTTATCGATATTTATCGAAAAGAATCTCTGGAAAAGAATTCAAAAAAACTCTTAACTATTTAATTAATGCGGTTTTCAATTTAAATCATTACGTTTATCGAAAATTTGAAATTTGATTTTTATCGATATTTATCGAAAACCGAAAATTGTCTCGATTGGATATTTTTTAGGGACACAAATCTCTATAAAAGAATGCTCACCTATTTTGAGACATAAAAATTACAATCAGTTGATATTTATCGAAAATGTTGAGACTAATCGAAAAATTCGATACTTATTGGAAAAACAAAAATGCAATATTTAGCGAAAACTTAAGAGTGTCTAAGTTGGTTCTTTTAAAAACTTAATTTCATTTTTTGGTATTTGTCGGAAATTTTGAAATTAACCGAAAAATCGAAATTTATCGAAAAATAAGTCTTTACCAATTTGAGTTTTTTTGCATTAAGATTGTGTGAGGCTTTTTGCACTGCTCTTTTTCCGATAATTATCGATCATTTTTTTTTATCGAATTCCAATTTATCGATGTTTATCGAAAATATTTTTCGAAAAATAAGTTTTAACCAATTTGAATTTTTTGGCCTTAAGACTGTAAGAGACTTTTTGCAATGCTCTTTTCCGATAATTATCGATTATTTTATCGAATTCCAAATTTATCGATATTTATCGAAAAATAAATTTTGTCCAATTTGAAGTTTTTTCTTTTTGCCTAAAGACTGTGTGAGGCCTTTTGCAATGCAATTTTCCGATAATTATCGATTATTCCAATTTATCGATATTTATCAAAAAAAATTCTTAAAAATTTTTGGGAAAAAAATTAAAAAATCTTTAACTAATTAATTTATGCGATTTAAAATTTCAATTTATTCATTTTATCGATATTTATCGAAAACGATACGTTAATATTGTTTAAATATTTTCCTCAAAAAAAATTCTTTGTCCGACCTAAACAGATAGATTCACATTAGTATATCAGAGATGGGAAGTTTAAATTTACGATTTTGTAATCTTCTTGAAATTTATACCCCTTAAAACTGTTTTTCAGATTTTAGACATAGATTTCGGTAGTGTTTTTTTTTTTTATCGAATTATGACTTCATTTTCAAATTTACGATTTTTTAATTTTTTTAGACATCGATATCTGTAGTTTGTTTATAGAATTATGACTTTTAAGGCTTTCATTTTTCAATTCTACATTTTATTGAAATTCTCCTGTCTGTGTGCCCACGAATGTGTTGTGTTGAATTTCCCATTTGTATTTCCCATACAATTTGCCTGGCCCCTTAGGTTGTGATCCCTACCAGCTGATATTTGTTAAAAAAATCCCTTTGCATTTTTTTTTAAATCAAGAATTTTTTGCATTTAACTCAGTATTTTTGAAAAAAAGATGTTTTTTAAAAAAATTGTAACTAAACACGTTTATTTTTAAAACCCCTACCTGCAAAACAAACAAAAAACACTACCACAACACTCAACAAAATTCGGATATGACCGACCACAACTTCAAAATTTATTTTTTTGAAAAAAAAATGTGTGTCAACCTCAACTTCAACAAAACCCGCTCCCCCCATGAATCAAAAGACTATAAGCCATTGAGGAAAATCAAAACCAAACCATTGACACCCGATACCGCACCGATTGCATTGCCACCAGCACCTGGCTCTTTGGCAGCGCCATCTGGTTTTAATACCCACAACGGCGGCGCCTGTCTGCCCAGTGATTTTAAGTGTGTCTCGCATCCGCACACCTGCGTTGCCAAACACATGGTCTGCGATGGCATACACGATTGTACCGATCATTCGGATGAATTCAATTGCACCCGAACTGAAGCGCCACCAAGTGGCCAAGCCAAAAACTATAAACGCTGGAAGAAACACAACCGTCAGCATCCGATGCCGGGAGTTGTACGCAACAAAAGGAAATTCCCTTTGCTGGGGCAAAGCCGCAGATCATCACCACCGCCCCCGCAACCGATCAAAGCCCCAACCACCCGCCGACATGATGTCTTCCATGTGAAACCCCTCAAATTCGGTTGGTCTTAATTTTCTTTTACAACAACAATTTTATTTGTTTAAATTTATGTTATTTGTGGAAAAAAGTAAAACCAAAAAAAAAATATTACTCAATTTAGCTGTTGGAAAACAAAGCAACCAAAAAACGAACACCACACACCCAATGTATTTTCTTGTTATCGATAACAATTTAATTACGTTTTTTGTTGTACCTATTTAGTTAAACAGCAAAAAATGAAAAGTAGGTTTGGAAATGGCATTTATCACAAAATTATGGTAGCTAAACACAACTTGATGACACTTGGCCAAAACCATATGAAAAAATGGCCAACAGTGTGGCCAACCACAAACCACCAGCGGAAAGCCATTTAGAGTGCAAGAAAAAAAAAATAGCAAAAACAAAAGCTCACCAAAACCAATTAAATTTGACACCTTTAGAGAATGCATTTGTTGACACCTCTGCAAGCAAAAATGATGGCAACCCCATTAGAAATGGCACAAGAATTGATAACACACACACAAACACCCATGAAAAAAAAAAACACTGAGGCACAGGTTATGTTTTAGAGGAGAGGGAGAGAGAGTGAGAACGATTATAATAACCACTCTCCCTCTCTGCTTAGGACTTGAAGGAATGCATATTTTTCTAAACAAAAAATAGGATTTGAAATGTTTAGGAATATTATTTTTTTTCTAAACCCCATTATTCAAAATATTTTCATTTAAAATTCACCACTCACCATTCTGTGACAATACTCTTTCACCAACCCACATTGCTTTTGTTTTTGTAGACACTAACAACTCATTCTTTGTTTGTTTGCATGCTATTTTAATGACAAAAAAAATTAATAATAAAAAAACTAACAATTAAAAATAAATTAGAAAAAAAATAAATATTTTTAAAAAATTATTTTAGAAAAAAAATTCAAAAACCAAAATTTTGTAAATAAACCCCTTTTTTAAGTAATATAATTTTTTAACAAGGAGACATTAATATTAGTTAAAAAAACATTTAAAAATTAAAAACTATTTAAAACAAAATAAACAATATTAAAAAAAAATTAAAAATTAAAAAAAAATTAAAAAAAAATATTTAAAATAAAATTTAAAAAAAAATATTTAAAATAAAATATTTAAAAAAAATATTTAAAAAAAAATATTAAAAAAAAGTTATAAAAAATCAAAATCCATTTCGGTAACTTCAATATTTCGGTAACTTCAAGTTATCGAAAATTATCGATAAACGATAATTAAAAATCCTTTGCACAGGAAAGTTAATAAAAGATTTACAAACAAATAAAAACATTCAATTTCCATAATAGTCCAGATCTATAGTAATTTATCGAAAATTATCGATAAATTATTTATTGAAAATTATCGATATTTTAATTATTGAAAATTTTTGATAAATTAATGTTTAAAACTTTTCAATAAAATATTAAAAAAATTATAAAAAAATCAAAATACATTTCGGTAAGTTCAATATAATTCAAAAATATTCAATATTTAAATATTTTAATAAAAATAAAATAAAAAAAAAATTTCGATAAATGCAATATTATTCAAAAATATTTCATATTTGGACATAAAAAAATTCAGATTTGCACAAAAAGTGCTTTAAAATCGTCATTTTACGAGTAATTACATTTCGATAACTCTCGATAACACATTGGAAAACGGAAAAAATCGCCTTATTATTCCAGGGTAATAATAATTTATCGAAATATTTCATTGATTTTGACTCACTTGATAGTCATTGCGTTTCGATAACTTTCGATAAATGTTATATTTTGGTAAAATTTAGCTAATTTTATCATATTTATTACAGGGGAACAATAATTTAAGAAAACTCAGGCCTTTGGATACATAATTTTCCTCCATTCAACGGTTTTTACATTTCGATAACTATCGATAAAGTCATTATTTTTAAGAAAATATATAAAAATTGTTCACATTTATTGCAGAGAAAGGATAAAGAAGCCTTTCGAAAAGAAAATTTTCACTAATGCAATATTTATACATTTTATTATGTTTCGATAATTTTCGATAAATACATTATTTCGGCAAATGTTTGCTAATTTTATCATAATTAGCCAGGGGAACAAATATTTTGCTATTAGTTTTGTTACTTTTAAGAAAAATCCGGCCTTTGGATACATAATTTTCCGTCATGGAATAGTTTTTACATTTCGATAACAATCGATAAACTCAATATTTTTGGGAAAATTCTCGAAATCTTTTCACAATTATTGCAGAGAAAGCATAAAAAAGTCTTTCGAAACGAAAATACTCACTAATGCAATATTTGTATATTTCGATAACTTTCGATAAATACATTATTTGGGTAAATTTTAGCTAATTTTTTCATAATAATGTCAGGGGAACAATAATTTTGTTCCCTTTAAGAAATTGCAGGCCTTTGGATACATAATTTCCCCCCATTCAATAGTTTTAACATTTCGATAACTATCGATAAAGTCAATATTTTTGGCAAAAAACTCGCAATTTTTCCACATTTATTGAAGAGCAAGCATAAAGAGGCCTTTCAAAACGAAAATTTTGACTTATGCCATAGTTGGGCATTTCGATAACTTTCGATAAATGCATTATATTAGCTAAATTCAGCTAATTTTATCATATTTATTCCAGGGGAACAATAATTCTGTTGCTTTTAAGAAAACACACGTGCAAATATTATTACATTTCCCTAAAATTTCCATAGAAATGACATTTATCGAAAGTTATCGAACGACGTTTTCCCTTATTATGCTCTATTTTTTCATGAAATTCTTTTAAAATTCATGCATATTAATGATATATATGCATGAGATTTTGTTTCCCTTGCAATTTATTGCTCTCAATCATTTATCGAAACTTATCGATAGCGTTTTTCTCGCGTTTTCTTCATGTGTATGGAGGAATTTGTTAGAAATTAAATGCAGTGCCTTAAATTCGGTTCAATATTCCACAATTTGTTTATTATTTTGTCATAATTTTGATATTTATCGAAAGTTATCGAAAGAGATTTTGATTATTTTGCATCATTTTTTCAGAGATTTTTTTTTAAATTCATAGATTTTTATTAGTTTTGAGCATAAGATTCAATTGAAATTATAATTTTAGTGCATTTACCAATTATCGAAATTTATCGATAGCGTTTTTCTTCTGTTTTCTCCATGTTTATCAGTTATTAAATATATTTCCATAAATTGAGCTCAATATTCCACAATTTGAATAATAATTTGCCATAATATATACATTTATCGAAAGTTATCGAAAAAATTTTTTTGTTATTTTTGTGTAATTTTTCCGAAGAATGATTTTGGAAGATTTCTACGATTTGAAATTGAGTCTCATAATTTATATTTTAATTTATTGCATTTTATCAGTTATCGAAATTTATCGATTGGCGATTTTCCGGATTTCTATTTATTTTTCGGGGTATATCTCTGAGAATCATTGTAAATCTATAAATTAAGCTCCGTTTAAGTATTAATGTCTCCTTGTAAAATATTTATTTTTCCAAAATTAGAAACTTATCGATATTATCGATTATTAGTTTTTGAAGGTGTTGGTTAATATTCTTAAAAAAATGTCCAAATAATTATTTGTATTTAGAACGTATTATTTGTGTTATTTTAGTTAAATCCCAATTTGAAATTAGTTACAAAAATTATCGATCATTTGTTTGTTTGTCGTCTTATCGATCTTATCGAAATTATTGCTTTACCAAAAAAAATTGCTAACATAATTTATGTTTATTTCTATGTATTTTTCACATTCTCTTTCGTACCAAAAACCAAAAACAAAAAATCGAAAACCAAACCATGGCTAAAAATCTCGCACCACAAAATTCTGTCGAAATTCTTCACCCTGAACGTCTGTCTATGTGCTCTCATCTGTCTCTGTGTAATGCTGAAATTTCATCCAAATATTTTAAAACCAAAAAAAATATATATATTTTTCGAACCAAAAATAAAAAAAAAACAAAATCGTGTGATCATCGTTCATCATCAACCACCAAAAATCAAATGCCACGAAACATGTTGCTGTATCCGAAATCGTCAAAAAAAAAAACAAAATCCAATTCCGGCGTCTGAAATTGTCCTAACACCCAACATTTCGTTTGTTCCACTCAATTGGCCCGAATTTGTATTTTTGTTGTGATTTTTTAACTGCGTTGTAACCTGAAAATTCAAAATCCAAAACTACACACACACATCCACATGCACCACCACCTACCAACCAACCAACAAATCTCACAATCCACCCTACATACTTCTCTCCACACCGAACAAAAAAAAAAACAAAAAACAAAAACATACAAACAACTCAATAATTGGCTCTACAAAATCAAACATGATTATCAAAATCAAACCAAAAAAACAGCTGGTGTAAGACCCATGCCCCAGCCCTATTATCCTCCTGCCCCACTTCCGCACTATTCCACGACAACACCACGTCATCGTGATTTAAGTTTGAAATTGGATCAGCAACATTCGAATTTGCGCGTTGGCGAATCGACCGAAGTGGAGTGCTATTCGTCCGATAACAGCTATACCGATGTCGTTTGGGAACGGGCCGATGGCAAACCATTGCCGCTACACATTAAGGTGAGTTGGAAACAAATTTCAAATTTTTCGAAAATTTCGATAACCGATAACAAGTTATCGAAATTTATCGATAAACGATAATTTTAAATTAAGGAATGTTAAAAAAACGATTTACAAGCAAATAAAAACTTCGATTTCTATAACATTCAAGATCTATAGGTATTTATCGAAAATTATCGATAATTATTTATTGGAAATTTTCGATAAATTAATATTTAAAAATTTTCAACAATAATTCGAAATTTTGTATATATTAATTTACTTAGAATAAAAAAATACAAAATTTCGATAACATTAAATATCGGAAAAAATATGTAACGAAAGTAATCGAAACTGACGATAAATAAATATTAAAAAACATTTGACTAATATTAAAAAATAATGTAGGTAGATAAAAAAAAATATTTCGATAACATGAAATATCAAAAAAAAATATTTATCGAAATTTATCGATAATTATTTAACAAAAATTTTCGATAAATTAATATTTACATTTTTTAAATTTTCAATGATTTACCTAGAATCAAAATATACATCATTTCGATAACATTAAATATCGACAAAAAATATTTTTCGAAAATAATTGAAATAGGAATGTATCGATAAACAATCGAATTTTATCGAAAATTATTTTTTCTAAAATTATCGATAATCATTTATTGAAAATTTCGATAAATTAACGTTTAACATTTTTCAATAAAAATTAGAAATTTTATATATTTTAATTTACCTAGAATCAAAAAATACAAAATTTCGATAACATTAAATATCGGAAAAAATATGTAACGAAAGTAATCGAAACTAACGATAAATAAATATTAAAAAACGTTCGACTAATATTATAAAATAATGTAGGTAGATAGAAAAAAAGAAAACATTTCGATAACATTAAATATCGACAAAATATATTTATCGAAATTTATCGATAATTATTTAACAAAATTTTTCGATAAATTATTATTTAATTTTTTTTTTTTAAATTTTCAATGATTTACTTAGAATCACAATATACAACATTTCAATAACATTAAATTTTAATTATTTATCGAAATTTATCGATAATAAAATTCGATAAATTAATTCATTAATTATTTAAATTAATATTTAAAATTTTTCCATTTTTTAATGATTTGCTTAGAATCAAAATATACAACATTTCGATAACATTAAATATCGACAAAAAATATTTATCAAAAATAATCGAAATGATCTTCACTAAGGTTATAGGAATTTTTCGATAAATAAATGTCACAGAAAACATAAAAAAATGCCAATAAAAAACCTTAGAAACTTAATTTCGATAACATTAATATCTACAAATGTTTATCGATAATTATTTATCGCCAAAATAATATTTAAATATTTTCGATAGAAATTGACAAAGCATTGTCAAAAATTAATAAATTACCATTATCGATAATTATTTATCGAAAATTATCGATATTTTATTTATTGAAATTTTTCGATAAATTAATATTTTACATTAACAAACAATTTTCATTTAAAAGCTTTAGAAACTTAATTACGATAACATTAAAATTTTTTTTCGATAATTATTTATCGATAAAATATTATTTAAATATTTTCGATAAAAATTAAAAAGCATTGCCAATATAATATCATGTGAATGGTAATTTAGCCAAATTGGTAGATTACCATTATCCATAATTAGTTATCGAAAATTATCGATATTTTTATTATTAAAAATTTTCGATAAATTAATATTTAACATTTTTCACTAAAAATTCGACATTTTATATATTTTGATTTACCTGGAATCAAAAAATAGAAAATTTCGATAACATTAAATATTGACAGGAAGATATTTATCGAAAATAATCGATATGATTTTCATAGGAATTTATCGGCAGAAAACACTGACAAACTAAAAGCTTTAGAAACTTAATTTCGATAACATTAAACATATAGTGTATGGATAGTCATATCGATATTTTATCGATAACACTGATTTATCGCAATTTACGATTAAACTTGATTTTTTCAGGAAAATTAAAGATGTGATTCGCAAACTTCGAATAAAATGAAAATTTAAATTTATCGATTTCACAAAATTTAAAAAGTTCCAAATCTGTAATCGATAACACCGATTTATCGAAATCCCTTATAAACAAGAACAATTTTTTATTCAATTTTTCGTTTAAAATAACATTTTCCTATTTAAAATATCGAATGTTGAGCTGCTTTTGTAAAACATAATTTTATCGATAACATGAATTTATCGAAATCGAAAAATTTAAAAACTTGAAAATGTATACATCTTATTCGTAGTATACATTTTCAAGTTTTTAAAATTTTTCAAAACATTTTAAAAGTTGTAAATTTTTGAATGGTTAATATTTCGATAAATCAATTTTTCGATAACACTAATTTATCGAATTATCGATAACGATTTTAAATATTTTTTTCTTTTTTTTCATTTTAAAAGTTGTAAATTTTTAAATGGTTAATATTTCGATAAATCAATTTTTCGATAACACTAATTTATCGATAACGATTTTGAGTAATTTTTTATTTATTTCCAAGTATTTTTTACCCGACTTTAGCCATATTAAGTAAATTAAATTACGATAGATTAAAAAAAATTTTATGTTATCGATAACATGGATTTATCGAAATCGATTATTGAGGATATTAAAAAAATAAATGATTTAATTTTTTAAGAGCTTAAAAATGATTAACCCATTAGTGGACGAAGTTCCCTGGGCACTATCTTTAAGCGATTTACACCAATTACAAATAAAAATGGTCTAGTTAATTTGTTTTAAAAATAATTTATTCAAAAAAGCTTATGGTTTTGGAGTTATGGACCGTCCCTTATAAGGGACGCTGCGCATTGGGTACACTTGGCTTATGATATTCCTTAAAGCAATTTTTAGGGTGGAGACCTTTGTCACACTTCTTACAAGTAAAGTTAGACTTCTTGCCGCATAATCCACAGCGTTTATCTGTTTTTGAATATTTAATAATGTGGTTTCTGCCATCATATCTTGTATCTGCAGTGACATTGCTATTGCGCAAACCTCTTGATGCTGGGGTACCATACGATCCAGATATGATGTTGCAATTTAGAAGAGTTGAACATGCCGCATCATTGGGATGTAACTTCTTCATTAACAACCATGCATTCACTACTGACCATCCAGCAAATATGCAAATATGGGCCACCACCATCAGTATCTTCATCAGTATCAGCACCATCTATTGGTGGGATCGCGTAAATTTCAATGTCGTGCAACTCATTATCGCCAATAACATCCAATTCAGTCAGTATTTCAGAAACTGTAAGTCTGCACATATAAGATTCATTACTCAATCAGTGGATTACAATCGTACTACGGGCGCAGTGTCCCTCTTAGGGGACGTTGCATTCATAGTCACTTTATGCACGTGTCACAACAATTTATTTTATTTTTTGGGCATAAACTAGTATATTACATTAACTTACAAATAACAATACAAACACAATCATAAATATTCACAGAATCATAACTTTATTGAAATTTTACTTACCCAGCTCGAGATTTTTGTTTTTTCACAAATTGGTTTTCCATATTTTGCACAAAATACAACACACAACTCACAAGAAATTAAATTAATGGGATGGAACATAATTCGTTGGAGTGTCAGTAACGGCATAGCCTACTTGTTTACAAAAAAAGCGAGTATTGGAAAGTGCTACAGTGCAAAATGTGAGAGTCCCTTATAAGGGACACTGCCCACTAATGGGTTAAGTAAAATGGATTCCAATAGTAATATGAATTCCATTTTCCAATTTTATCGATAACATGAATTTATCGAAATCGATTATTCAGGAATTTTTCCTTTTTTTCCTTTTTTATTTTAAATATTTAAATCAAAAAATTTCAAAGCCTTGGAACAACTTAAATTTCTTATTTTATCGATAACACTAATTTATCGAAATCGACTATAAAGAAATATGAAAATTGTTAAATAATTTAAATATTTAATTCTAATGTTTTCAAAGATCTTTGAATTGATAAAAAATCGAAATCCGTAATTTTTCGATAAATTTTATTTATCGATAACCGATAAATTTAAATATTTACATTCTAATGTTTTCAAAGATTTTTGAATTGATAAAAAATCGAAATCCGTTATTTTTCGATAAATTTTATTTATCGATAACCGATAAGTTTTAAATTAAAAAATATATGATTTACTTTTTTAAAAGCTTGAAAATGATTAAGTAAAATGAATTCCAATAGTAGTATGAATTCCATTTTCCAATTTTATCGATAACACGAATTTATCGAAATCGATTATTAAGGAATTTTTTCCTTTTTTTTTCTTTTTTATTTTAAATATTTAAATCAAAAAAAAAACAAAGACTTGGAACAATTTAAATTTCTCATTTTATCGATAACACAAATTTATCGAAATCGATTATTAAGAAATATTAACATTTTTAAATTATTTAAATATTAATATTCTAATATTTCCAAAGATCTTTGAATTGATAAAAAAAATCGAAATCCGCAATTTTTCGATAAATTGTATATATCGATAACCGATAAATTTTATTTATCGATAACCGATACATTGATTATTTGTTTTATTTTCTTTCCCCTCCTTAGCAAATTGGCAATCGCCTGATCATCAACCATGTAACACCCGACGATGCCGGCAACTATCTGTGCAAATGCAAGACCGACGAGGGCGACCTCTACACCACCAGCTATGAATTGGCCATTGAAGCCAATACCCATGAATGGAAACATCCTAAAATCGAACATGCCGAGGTGGGTTCAGCTGTAAAACTGCATTGCGATGCCGAAGATGCCCATCTTTCGCCACACTACAGATGGTCCCGCCAATATGGCCAGATGCAAATGGGCACGGATATTTTGAGTGTAAGTGTTCTGAAATTTTTGTGGAAGATTTTTTTTGAAAAATAAAATTCAATTTTGTTTTCCAGGACACCTTGAGTCTGCAAAATGTCCAGGCCAATGATGCCGGTACCTATGTATGTACCGCCACCGCTCCCAATGGAGAATCTGTGGACTATCCCACCATCTTGGTTGTGACCGGTGCCATACCCCATTTCCACCAGGAACCCCTCAGCTATATGTCCTTCCCCACCCTGCGCGACTCCTATGTAAAATTCAATTTCGACATCACCTTCCGCCCCGAACAGGGTGATGGTCTGCTACTCTTTAACGGCCAGAAGCGAGGAAACGGTGACTACATATCCTTGTCCCTGAATGACCAATATCCGGAATTCCGTTTCGATTTGGATGGCAAGACCATGATTGTGCGTGGCGAACAAGCCTTGACCCTCAATGAGTGGCACACCATTAGGGTACATCGTTTCCGTCGCGATGGCTACATGCAGGTCGATGGTGAACATCCCATTGCCTTCCCCACCTTGTCTGCCTCCTCGTCCTTGGATTTGGCTGAAGATTTGTATTTGGGTGGTGTGCCCAGCTGGGATATTCTGCCCGAAGAGGCCATTGAACAGCAGATTGGCTTTGCCGGTTGCATCAGCCGCCTGACCCTGCAGGACAGCATCATTGAGCTGATGAAAGAGGCTAAGATGAAGGAAGGCATTACCGCCTGCAAACCATGCGACTCGAATCCCTGCTCGAACAGCGGCATTTGCCTGGAGAGTCAAACCGAAATGGGCTATACCTGTGTCTGTCAACAGGGCTGGACTGGACGCCACTGTGCCGTAGAAGGTACCCAATGCACCCCCGGCATCTGTGGTACCGGACGTTGTGAAAACACCGAAACCGGCATGGAATGCCTGTGTCCCCTAAACAAGACCGGCGATCGTTGCCAGTACATTGAACACCTGAACGAGAACAGCTTGGCCTTCAAGAAGAACAGTTTCGCCGCCTATGGGTAAGCTATTGGGGCAATTCCGCTCTATTAGACACTAGACTTAATTTGTTTTCTTTTCAGTACCCCTCGGGCCTCCAAACTGAACATCAAATTCCAAGTTCGCCCCAATAGTCTAGAGGATGCCGTGCTCTTGTACGCCGCCGAATCCCGCTTGCCCAGCGGTGACTATGTCGCGGTCGTCTTGCGCAACAAACATGTCGAATTGATCATCAACACCGGAGCTCGTTTGAAACCGGTCGTGGTGAGATCCCTACATCCTTTGCCCGCCAATAAATGGACTGAAATTGAAATTGCCCGTCGCTTCGGTGAGGGTATTTTGCGTGTCGGCACCGATCCCGAACAAAAGGCCAAGGCTGCCGGAGCTGCCAGAACCCTGTACATCAAGACACCAATGTATGTTGGTGGTTTCGATCACGAAAAGATTACCCTGAATCGCGATGTGAATATTACCCAAGGATTTGATGGCTGTATATCGAATGTAAGTAGTCACGGTGGAGGGAAAGGGAAAGAAATTAAAAATGGGGGAACATTGGCATTATTACTGCCTTGAATTTTTAACAAAAACTTAAAATTTTTTGAAAAGTGGGGGAAAAAAGGGGGATTTTTGAAAATCTCCCGGGCTAGTGGAATTTGTGGAAAAAATTAGGAAATATTATTCGGAATGTTAAAAAAACTAATTTTTTATTTTTTCCCCGTTTTTTGAAAAGTGGGGAAAATGAGGGGATTTTTGAAAATCTCTCGGTCTAGTGGATTTTATGGAAAAAATTAACAAATATTACCCACAATGTTTGAAAAATTAATTTTTTATTTTTTCACCGTTTTTTGAAAAGTGGGGAAAATGAGGGGATTTTTGCAAATCTCTTGGACTCGTGGATTTTGTGGAAAAAAATTAACAAATATTATCCAGATTGTTCGAAAAACACAATTTTTACAAATTATTTTAATTTTTTGACAAGTGGGGAAGATGGGGGAATTTTTGAAAATCTCTCGGGCTAATGGATTTTGTGGAAAAAAATAACAAATTTTATCCAGAATGTTACAAAACCGCATTTTTTATTTTTTTTTTGCTTTTTTGAAAAGTGGGGAAAACGTGGAGATTTTTGAAAATCTCTAGGGCTAGTGGCTGCTGTGGAAAAAATTAACAAATATTACCCAGAATGTTCGAAAAACACAATTTTTACAAATTATTTAAATTTTTGGACAAGTGGGGAAAATAAGGGGATTTTTGAAAATCTCCCGGACTTGTGGATTTAGTGCAAAAAATTAACAAATATTTCCCAGAATATTCGGAAATCACCTTTTTTATTTTTTTTTTCGTTTTTTGAAATGTGGGGAAAATGAGGGGATTTTTGAAAATCTCTTGGGCTAGTGGATTTTTTGAAAAAAATAACAATTATTAACCAGAATGTTCAAAAAAATGCTAATTTTTTTTCGTTTTTTAAAAAGTGGGGAAAATGAGGGTTTTTTAAAAATCTCTCGGGCTAGTGGATTTTGTGGAAAAAAAATAACAAATATATTAGATTTTATATTATAATTCAGTTAAACTTCTGGAACAATTTGACAAATGAAAAAACACACAAAATTGAAATGGAATATCTTGTTTTTTATTTCTTTTCTTTCTTGAACTTGTCACTTCAATGATTTGAAAAACGAATGAAAAAATATAATTACAATCAGCTCAATATTGTAATACAGAAAAACTAAATCTCAAAGCACATGTGATGAATCAAAAATATTTAGATAAATTCAAATTAATTGAAACAAAGTAAATGCACTGGTCGACATATTTTTGAATAGTAAATTCAAATTTACATGTTTTTCAACACGCCGCCTCAAAAATATGTCGATCCTTTAAATAGTATTTAATAAAAAATTGACAAGTTGTTATATCTGGGTAAAAATATTTATGGCCCAACATTTGTTGCAAGGACTAGGGAAAACCCAGAAAAACCTAATCAGACCAAAAAAAAAAAAACTTATATTTAGTGTTCTAAATTCTTTAATCCAACTTGTGTTCTTAGTTCCATGAATCGTGGAGTTGACAAGGGTTTGGTCAACAAATCAGCCAGTTGCTTGCCTGTGGGAATATATTCAATTTTAATCAGATTATTTTCCACTTGCTCTCTTGAAAAATGATACTTGATGTCAATGTGCTTAGATCTCTTGTGACATGAGGGATTATTTGCAATACTTATGCAGCTCTGATTGTCCTCATAAATTAAGATTGGATTTTCGAATACAAAACCTAAACTTGTTAACAATGACTTTAGCCACAACGCTTCTCTTACAGCCTCAAATAATGCCATATATTCAGCTTCTGTAGAGGATGCTGCAACAGAGTTTTGTTTTCTTGTATTCCAGCAAACTATATTTGATTCAAACATCATAAACAGAAAACCAGTAGTACTCTTTCTATCATCTTTGCTTCCTCCCCAATCAGCATCAGCATACCCCGAAAATATAGCTTCTCTACAAGATTGTTTTGTATAAACTAATTTCAAATCAATAGTGCCTTTTAAATATCGAAGAACCCTCTTGAGGCATTGCCACAATTCTTTATTACTTTTACTACTATATCTACTCAGGATATTTATCGATGTGCTTAGATCAGGTCGTGTACAAAGCATTATGTACATTAAACATCCAATTAAATTACGACACGGGGCGTTATAATTTTCATCTGAATTTAGTGCAGTATAATCAACGTTTGTTGGAAGTGGATTCCCAATTGGCTTACAGTCATTCATTTCGAATTTTCTAAGTACTTTCTTAATGTAAGCAGATTGGCTTAGAGTAATTGTATCATTATGTCTTTCAACTCTCATTCCTATAAAAAACTTAATATCAGAAAGGTCCGTCATTTTAAATCTGCTCTTCAAGTACTCTTTGAAATTATCAATAGTTTTATTATTTGAACAAGCTATTACTAGGTCATCAACATAAAGCAATACATACAAATTTTTCAGTACATCACCCTTATCAATTAAATAAATACAACGGTCAACAGGTGAGCTAACAAATCCCATGTCCTTCAGGGCCTCCTCAAAAACTTCAAACCAACATCTTGCGGCTTGCTTGAGACCATAAATTGCCTTGTTCAACTTGCAAACTTTACCATCTTCACATGTCAAACCCTGGGGAATTCTCATATATATTTCCTCTTTTAGCACCCCATTCAAAAAAGCTGTTTTTACATCCATATGATGTACCAATAAACCAAACTGATTTGAAATAGATATTAAAATCCGAAAGCTAGAGACTCTAGCCACTGGTGCAAATGTCTCATTGTAATCAATCAAATATTCTTGTGTAAATCCCCTTGCTACAAGTCTAGCTTTATATCTTACCGGATTACCGAACTCATCATGTTTCAAACTAAAAACCCACTTACAGTCTATAATATTTCTGTCTTCTGGCATTGGCACAATTGACCAGGTTTCATTTGAAAAATGAGAATCAAGTTCCTCCTCAATAGCTTTTTTCCAATATGTGCTGTCATCCCTATACAGAAGTTCTTCAAATGAGTTCGGTACATTATCAACAAATGCGTTTGCGATCATAATACAGTTATCTAAACACGTTTCATTCTCATTGTATGATACATGTGGCTTAGCTTTTAAGCGATCACTCTTCCTTATCAAATTACCTTCATTTTGAATAAATTTGTCATTCTGCAATTGACTTTTACTTTGCTCAACATTTCTACATTTTACTGGCAATGCATGCTCTTGATAATGACTCTCCCTACTTTCATTCGGGACATTTGTTTCCGTGCTCTCATTCTGGAAAATTTTTACAGCACTAGAATGAAGTGATTCGTTATTTAACATTTTCCTACTTTCATTCGGAATAACAGTTTCCGTACTCTCTTTCCGGAAATTTCTTACATCACTCGAGTACAATGGTTCCTCCATTAAATAATCCTTACTGTCATTCAGGATTACATTTTCCGTACTCTCTTTCCGGAATTCGTTAACATTATCAGGTTTACTACGGTCTGTGTCTTTTAGATCTCTAGAATACTGCATATTTCTCTCATCAACAATTACATCACGAGCCATTACAAAACGTCCATTGTCCACATCCCACAGTTTATAGCCATTCGACTCATATCCAACAAGTATAGCCTTCCATGATTTCTCATCGAATTTTCTTTTTCTCAATTTATCATGTACATATACCGTGGACCCAAAAACTCTCAAAAACTTTAAAATAGGTTTTTTCCCATGCCACATCTCAAACGGGGTTTTCAAATTATCTTTTAACGCCTTACTAGGACTTCTATTTATTAAATATGTTGCTGTTAGAACAGCTTCACCCCAAAAAGTTTTGTCTAATTTTGCTCCACTTATCATGGCACGCGCTTTCTCTGTTATAGTTCTTATCATTCGTTCAGAAACGCCATTCAATTGTGGGGTATATGGCACAGTCAAGTGATAACTTATGCCTTTATTTATACAGTAATCCCTCATTTCATTTGATAAATACTCCCGTCCATTGTCAATATACAAGTTAACAACTTTCAAGTTAAATAGAGCCTCACTTTTAGCAACAAAATCCTTAAATACAGAATAAACTTCTGATTTAAAGGTAATTAAGTAGGTCACACAGTAGTGAGTGAATTCATCGACAAAGATCACGTAATAATTTTTCTCATCAATTGTGGGCGGAGTTATCGGTCCACAGACATCGGAATGTATTACAAACAATGGCCTCCTTACGTGTTCCTTGTCTTTAAATTTACCAAAACTTAATCGGGATTGTTTTCCATTTATGCAAGCTTCGCATAACTCTTCATTGGGACGCACATTGTCTAGAAGTTGACTATCACAAAACATTTCCTTACTCTTTATCTCCATAAATTTACTCTTACTAATGTGTCCTAATCTCTCATGCCACAATTGATAACTATTGCATTTCGCAGCACTTGCTGCATACAAGCTTTTATATGATTTAAAACAAATTATCGGAACATTATTTTTACATTTACCTTGAATGATTACATGGCTTTTGTTTCGTACAATGACACCTTCGGAGTTAAACTCAATAGAAAATCCAGCATCTTGCATCTTTCTTATTGAGAGCAAATTCTGTGGAACTTCTTGACAAAACAAAACATTCTCAAGTGTAATCTGGTATTTGTTTCTACTCCATAGTTTAACTTTTCCTTGTTTTGTAGCATGAATATATTCACCACATTTTGCAACTGCTATTTTAATTGGCGATTCAAGGTTGACGTAATCAAAAAATAAGTTTTCATCATTAATAATGTGATCCGAAGCTCCAGAGTCTAACAAAAAAGGAATTCCATCTTCTCTGCTTACAAAAGCTTCCCGACAAATCATGAAAGCAAATCCTTTCTCGGGTTGAACTGCTGCATGAACTGTTTTTACATCTCCATGGTTTTTCGTATCCAATGTTTTCTTGAACAGGAAACAATTCTTCTTCACATGGCCATTTTTATGACAATAATGACACTTTATGGACGGGTCAAAATGTTTCGTGGTCTTCAACTTTTTCTTATGCTTGAAGTCATGTGATATTGGTTTATTAAATGGACGCCGACGGTATTTTATTGCTTGTAGTACTTTCATACTGGTGTCTTTTCCGTCATTCTTGATTTTAATTTCATGATCAAGTAAACGTGTCTTCACAAATGCCAACGTCAAATTGTCTTCAGATAGTGTTTCGATTGCCGTAATTACACCATCATAAGATGTTGGGAGTGTCAGCAATAAATGTGAGACTTTATCCATTTCTCCGATATTTGCTCCAGCCGCAACCAACTCAGATATTAAATCGTCATACACATGAAAATGATTTAATAATGATGTTTCTCCTTCCAATTTTAATGATAGCAACCTCTTTCTTAAGGCCAGTTGTGATGCAATGCTCTTTCTTTCATAAATGGCATCCAAATTTGCGAAAATTTGTTTGGCACTGCAGTCATTATTTGCAAATCCTAAGAACGAATCGCTCAGATACTCGATTATAATACCCTTGGCATTCCTTTCGCTTTTTATCCAATTTTCAGTAATTTCCGTTGGCACTTCTTCATCAATAACTTTAAGCACATCATTTTCGGCAAGAATTGATCTAACACGGAATTTCCAAATTGAATATTTTGCACCGTTAAACGGTTCTATGTTTCTTTTCATCTTGTCCATATTCACAATTTTATTTATAGGGCGTTATCTGGGCCCATAACCTATTAGATTTTATATTATAATTCAGTTAAACTTCTGGAACAATTTGACAAATGAAAAAACACACAAAATTGAAATGGAATATCTTGTTTTTTATTTCTTTTCTTTCTTGAACTTGTCACTTCAATGATTTGAAAAACGAATGAAAAAATATAATTACAATCAGCTCAATATTGTAATACAGAAAAACTAAATCTCAAAGCACATGTGATGAATCAAAAATATTTAGATAAATTCAAATTAATTGAAACAAAGTAAATGCACTGGTCGACATATTTTTGAATAGTAAATTCAAATTTACATGTTTTTCAACAAAATATTATCCAGATTGTTCGAAAAACACAATTTTTACAAATTATATTAATTTTTTGAAAAGTGGGGAAAATGAGGGGATTTTTGAAAATCTCTCGGGCTAGTGGATTTTGTGCAAACAATTAACAAATATTAACCAGAATGTTTGAAAATCACAAATTTTTACAAATTATTTGAATTTTTGGACAAGTGGGGAAAATTAGAAAATTTTCCTATTTGTAAACAAATATTTAAGTCGAAAATTTCTCGGAGACAATTTTGCTAATAATTGAGATTTTAGGAAGAGTGGGAAAATTGCGGGGATTTTTGAAAATCTTACGGGATGGGGAAATTTTTGGAAAAATTACTATTATTACTCAGATATTTCGACACTTTTTTTTTGAAAGTATTGTTTTTTGACAAATGGGGAAAATGAGGGATTTGTTGAAATGATTTTGGAATTTAAGATTTTGGATAAAATGACAGAATGATTACGCGGAAATTTCGAAAACAAATATTTGTCATTTTATGACAAGTGGGAAATTTTTTTGGAAATTTGGGAGAATTAGGGGATTTCTGAAAATCTCTCGGACTAGTGGATTTTGTGCAAACAATTATCAAATATTACCCAGAATGTTCGAAAAACACAATTTTTACAAATTATTTTAATTTTTTTGACAAGTGGGGAAAATGAGGGGATTTAAAAAAAAATTAATGATTTTGGAAAAATTAATGGAAATTGTTAATATTTGTAAACAAGTATTTAAGTCAATAATTTCTTTGAGGTAATTTTGCTAAAAATTAAGATTTTAGGAAGAGTGGGGAAATTGTGAGGAAATTGTGGGGATTTCTAAAAATCTTGCGGAATGGGGAAATTTTCGGGAAAATTATAATTATTACTCAGATATTTAGACAACAATTTTTTTTCTTTTTTTTTTTGAAAATATTATTTTTTGATAAGTGGGGAAAATGAGGGAATTTTTGAATTTATTTTGGAATTTGAGACATTGAGATAAAATGACAATTAAATAAAAAAAATTGTTATAGAATGACAATTTTTACTCAGCGATATCGAAAGCAGACATTTTTCGCGATTAATTTTCATTTTTTGAAAAATGGGGAAAGGGAGAGAGTTTTTAAAAAAATCTCTCGATATAAGAGATGTTTTTCGAAAACAAAAATATTTCCCAATAATTTTCATATTTTCACAAAAGGGGGAAAATCTGGAAATTTTTAGAAATTCAAGGGATTATTGAAATTAAAGGGGAAATTGTTATTTTTTGTAAATAAATCTTTTATTTTGAAATATTTTTCAATAATTTAAAATGAGCGGAGAAAATTGAAGGTTATTTAGGCAGGTTTCCTGAAAATGGAGAAAATAAGGGAACAACGAACGATTTCTAAAATGTCCTTATCGGAGAAAATGAATGAGTGAATTTGGCTTTATATCTGATTCACACCACACCAGTAACTTAATTATTCTAAGAAAACGGCTTTTATTTTCCAAAATTGTCTGATTTTTAAAAAGTGGGGGAAAATGAGGATATTCTTAAAAAAGTTTGTGAATTAGGGAAAATAGAGAAAAAAAGCTTATATTAGCGAGAAATTATTATTTTAAAAATATTTTGCATTAGTTATTTGACAAACCTCACAAATTTCCACATTTTCCCCACCTGGGGAAATTTGGGAATTTTTCGAAAAATTACGAATTTCTAAAAAAAAATATATAAATATGACTAGCTAATGTATGCAGAAAACCAAAGATAACATTTTTAATGAAATTCGTCTGTTTTTTTTTATAAAAATTTTCGGATTTTCTGAAAATGGGGAAAATGAGGGAATTTTTTGAACAAATACGAATTTCTAAAAAAAATATAAATCTGACTGGCTTATGTTTTCAGAAAACCAATGAAATGAAATTATTGAAATTTGTTTGTTTTTCTTATAAAAATTTTTGGATTTTCTAAAAGTGGGGACAATGAGGGAATTTTAGAAAAATCTTTGAAAATTAGGATTTTTGAGAAAAGAAGTTTATATTATCCAGAAGTAATGATATTTACATTATTGTTCATTAATTTTGAGCATACTTTTTGGAACTGTCAAAAATTCTCCCAATAAAGGAAATTTGTAGATTTTTCGAAAAATGGAATTTTTTGAAGAAAAAAAAAATGGTAAAACCCAACTAGTTTATGTAGTTAGAAACGGGGAAAACAATACCTTGTTGAGAAATTCTGCCTTTTTGGAAATATTATGCGATTTCCTGAAAGTGGGGATAATGAGGGAATTTTGGAAAAAATCTTGGAATTGTGGAAATTTAAGTAAAGTGCCAGAAATGCCGTTACCTACTTTGATATTTTCAATAATTTTCAGAATTTTTCGGATTTTTTGGAAAATATGGGGAAAATGAGGGAATTTTAGAAAATCTTTGAAAATTAAATTTTTTTGAGAAAAGAAGTTTATATTATACAGAAGTAATGATATTTACATTATTTTGCATTAATTTTGAGCATACTTTTTGGAACTGTCAAAAATTTCTCTAAAAGGGAAATTTGTAGATTTTTCGAAAAATTGAATTTTTTGAAAAAAAAATCTAGTAAAACCTAACTAGTTAATGTAGCCAGAAAAGGGGGAAACAATATTTTGTTGAAAAATGTGGTCTTTTTTGTAAATATTATGCGATTTCCTGAAAGGGGGGATAATGAGGGAATTTTGGAAAAAATCTTGGAATTGTGGAAATTTTAGAAAATCATCATATTATCAAGAAATTCCGAAAAAGAAAAGAAAAAAAGAAAAAAAATGATTATTTCTTTAATATTTTTCAGAAATTTTCGGATTTTTTTTTTTTAAAATGGGGAAAATGAGGGAATTTTAGAAAAAAAGCTTGGAATTGGGGAATATTTTCCAGAGAAGATCAGGTTGTAATAAGATTGTGATGCATGCATAATTTTGCAGCTTCTTTTATTTTATCTCTCACCCACCCGAAGCATCCAGATTTTCCCCTTTAGGGGAAATTGGGGGATTTTTTTGGAAATGGGGAAAATGAGGGAATTTTAGAAAAAAATCTTGGAATTAGGGAATATCTTCCAAAGAGGTTCAGGTTGTAATAATATTGTGAAACATACATAATTTTGCAGTTTCTTTTATTTTATCTCACACCCACCCAAAATTTGGAAATGGGGAAAATGAGGGAATTTTAGAAAAAAAATTGGAATTGGGTAATTTTTTATAAAAAGGTTTAGGCTATAATAATATTGTAATACATACATTATTTTGCAGTTTCTTTTATTTTATACTCCCCCGAAACATCCGAATTATCCCCTTTTAGGGGAAATTGAGGGATTTAAAAAAAAATGAAATTTAATTTTCTTTTTTTTGTATTTTTAATAAATTTAATTTTTTCCTGTTTGTTTGTAGCTCTTTGAGGGACAACGCCAATTGAATCTGATTGCCGACATCCAGGATGCTGCCAATATTCAAAACTGTGGTGAAATCAATGAAATCGAACAGAACGAAACCTTTGACCACGATGTCGAACAAAATGCCTGCTCCAGTGACCCGTGTGAAAATGGCGGCACCTGTGTTGTGGAAAACGACGAGGCTGTGTGTCTGTGTAACATAGGCTTTGCCGGCAAACATTGTGAAGATCGTGAGTTGGGAAAATTTTCAAAACTTTCAAAAAATTTGAGAATTTTTTTTAATTTTCTATTTTTTAGATATTTCCCTACAATTCGATGCCAATTTCCATGGCAATGGCTATTTGGAATTGAATCGTTCACAGTTCGATGAAAATGTTGAGCAAAAATTCTCCAGTGCTGCCATGGTATTCTCCACAACCGCTCCGGATGGTCTCTTGCTGTGGTGGGGCCAGCCCAAGGGCGAAGCCTATACCGGCCAAGATTTCATGGCCGTGGCCATTGTTGATGGCATTGCCGAATTTGCATTCCGTTTGAATGGTGAAGAGAAGGTCATTCGCAATCCCGACAAGCGTGTGGATGATGGTATACGCCATATTCTCTTGATTAAACGTACCGACAATACCGCCATCTTGGAGCTGGATCATATTCTGTATGCCGATGAGACCAAGGATACTGGTAAAGATACCATGAGCCTGCCAGGTCATGTGTTTATTGGTAAGTGGAAGTCGGAAGATTTCTTTGAGGAAAAAATAAACATTTTCTAAAATGTCCACAGGTGGCGCTCCCAATCTGGAATCATTTACCGGTGGCCGTTACAAACATCACTTCAACGGCTGTGTACGAGTTGTGGAAGGCGAAGCCAGTGGCATCATAGAAGTAGGCAAGGTAGCAATAAGCGGTAATAACGTTGACACCTGTCCAAAGTAAGTATGCTCTCCCGCTCTCTCATCTCTCTCTCTCTCTCTTTACTAAATTTTTGGTAAATTCTCTTTAATGCTGCCCTCTATCGGAAAAAAAAAACCAGAAACTGGATACCCTCTAGTCTAGTTGAAAATAGTTTAGTTTTAAAAACCGATTTCCATTTTGATCCAAATTTTTTCGATGATTTCGATCAGCCTCCTCCCGTACACATAATTTATCCCCACCCACCGTTTTCGACAATTCCGACAAGTGGTTCCCCCCTGAATTCTTTGAATTTTTTACACAATTTTTATCACCTACATGCGCTGAGACCCCCGCAACACATATCATGTTTGGGTTTGATTTCAACACTAATCTGCCGCCTTTTAGAATCCTTGCTACTGAGTAAAGGAGATTTTATTTTATTTTTAAAAATTTCCCTCAAGACATAGAGAAGAGAAGGAAAAACTAGAAGTCCATTGGAAGTCAATTTTTTTCCCTTCGCCCCATTTTAAGGTTGCGAATGGCAGGGATGGAAAGTCTTAAAGTGTGATCAAAAAGATTTTTTTGGAAAATATTTTCCAATTGGGATATGGAATGATAATGACAATCCCATAATCAATTCAAAAATATAGAATTTTGCAATTTCCCAATAAAACGGGGAAAATATGGAAATTTTTGAAAATAACGGAGAAAATCTGGAGATTTTTGAAAAAAAAACGGGGGAAATATGGATATTTTTGAAAAACAACGGGGAAATTATTTCCCCCATTCCATAATTATTTTAATTTTTCAATACCAACCACTTTTGGGAATGTGGGGAAAATGAGGGAATTTTTGCAAAAATTGCGGAGACAATACAATTTTCGAAAAAAAGAAATGAAGAATTGATTTCGCTTATCAGAGGAGTTTTTATCCGGTTTTTTAAATTAATAACAGTCAAAAATTTTGGGAATGTGGGGAAAATTAGGGAATTTTTGCCAAAAATGGCGGGAACATTACTTGACATAAAAAGTTTGAATGAATCTGACTTAAAAATGTTACAGCCATAGTCAAGTTAGTATTTTATTAGAAAATTTTGCTTTTTTGGAAAAATTTTAAAATTTTGTAAATGTGGGGAAAATGAGGGAATTTTTGGAAAAATTTCGGAATTTATGGCAATATGGGAAAAATTGCATACTATCGAAAGATGCAGTTATTAACATTTGTTGGCAAATTTTTTCAATATTTCTGAGAGTTTTTGTTAAAAATGGGGAAAATCAGAGTCCCAATAAAACGTGGAAAATATGCGAATTTTCGAAAAATAAAATGAAGAATTGATTCCCCTTTTTAGAAGAATTTTTATCAGACTTACTAATTTAATAACTGTCACAAATTTAGCTTTTTTTGGAAAAACTTTCGAATTTTGTAAATGTGGGGAAAATGAGGGAATTTTTACGAAAATGGCGGGGACAATACATGACATAAAAAATTTGATTGAATCTGACTAGCAAATATTCGAACCAGAGGCAAGACAGTATCTTATTGGAAAATTTTTCTTTTTTTGGAAAAAATTTCGATTTTTTTAATGTGGGGAAAATGTGGGAATTTTTGGAAAATTTTCGGAATTTTTGACAATATGGGAAAAAATGCATACTATCGAAAGATGCAGTTATTCGTATTAGTTGGCATAATTTGTTTCAATATTTCTGAGAATTTTTGTAGAAATTTTAAATATAAAATTTGTTTTATGATTATAAATGCTATTTTTAAATAAAAATAAAAAATCAGGATTTTTTAAGATTTTAGTTTTAGTTTTTAAAACCGAGTTTAGTCTTTTCTTTTAGATTTCTCATTCATTTATTTATTATTTTATAATTATTGTTTTTTTAATTTTTTTTTTGTTAAATTATAAAAAAATGCATTTCTTTAATAAAAAAAACTATATTTTTTATGATATGAGTTTTTAAAATGTTATATTTTAATTTTAATTTTTTTTTTAATTTATGTATTATATTATATTTATATTTCATATTTTTTTTTATTTTTATATTTTTTATAACTTATTGTTTTTTTTTTAATTTTGTTTTATTTTTATTAACAAACGAAAAGTATACTATTAATTATAAAATTTAAAAAATATTATTAAATAAACATATTATAAAGCGCTGTGAAATAAATCAATAATTGATATTATAGCATAATATTGTGTATTATACAAACTGTATGTGAAAAACTGCACCTGAATTTTCTCCAATTTTATAAATATAACATTTTATTTTAAATATATATTATTTATTACATTTATTTATTTTTAATAATTAATGATATTTGTTAATAATTAAAAACAATATTGATTTTTGTATTGAAACCTTTTCGTCATTTATCAATATTTATTATTTTATTTTGTTATTATTATTATTTTTAACAATTTTTTCCAATTTTCCAAAGATTTTTTTCATTTTTTATGGTTTTATTGTTGAGAAACTTTTTGAAATGCCCAGAAATATAGTCATAAATAGATATAAATAAATGTTATCGTTAAAAGAAGAAAAAATATCACTTAAAAATTTTCGATTATCATATGGCAAACCATTTACCTTACAGATGAGTCTGACGCAAATTTCATGTTTTGTTTCGTCAAGAAAAATCAATTTTCTTCAATTTGGAGCATTTTTTGCGGTGTGGTAAATTTTCTTCCAAACTCACCACACCTCTCAAAATGTTAAAAATACTCAGAAAAACACTTGTAATTATATTTTTAAATAAATTCCATATTTGTTAAAGGGGCATTTACCATTAAACCGCCACAAAAAATAAAAATGTTCCTTGAAAATAGCGAAAAATCAGCGATTTTTTTACAAAAATATGGCCAAGAACTTAAGTTACAATTGCCGTCGACACAAATTTCATGATTTGTTGTTAAGCAAAATCAATTTTCCTCAATTTGGAGCATTTTTTGCGGTGTGGTGAATTCTGTGCCAAACTCACCACACCTCTCAAACTTTTGGAAAAACTCAGAAAAATAACTACAAACACATCTTAATAAATGTTGTGGTTGTTGAAGGTCAAATTTCCATTAAAACGCTACAAAAAATAATAATATTCCTTAAAAATAGCGAATAATCAGAGATTTTTTACAAAAATGTGGCAACCATTTACGTTACAGTTGAGTCTGACATAAATTTCATGATTTTTTGTTAAGCAAAATCAATTTTCTTCACTTTGGAGCATTTTTGGTGGTGTGGTGAATTTTGTATCAAACTCACCACACCTCTCAAACTTTTGGAAATACTCAGAAAATTACCTGTTATCATATTTAAATAGATTTCATTGCTGTTGAAGGATGAATTTCCATTAAAACGCCACAAAAAATGATAATATTCCTTGAAAATAGCGAATAATCAGATTTTTTGAAAAATATGACCAAGAATTTAAGTTACAGTTGCCGCCGACTTAAATTTCATGATTTTTTGTTAAGCAAAATCAATTTTCTTCAATTTGGAGCATTTTTTGTGGTGTGGTGAATTTTCTTTCAAACTCACCACACCTCTCAAACATTTGGAAATACTCAGAAAAACACCTGTAATCATATTTAAATAAATTTTGTGGTTATTGAAGTGCGAATTTCCATTAAAACGCCACAATAAATGATAATATTCTTTGAAAATAGGGAAAAATCAGAGAATTTTTTTACATAAAAATTAAGACAGAACTCTACAGTTGCCGTCGATATAAATTTTATGATTTTTTGTTAAGCAAAATCAATTTCCTTCAATTTGGAGCATTTTTGGTGGTGTGGTGAATTTCCTTCAAAACTCACCACACCTCTCAAACTTTGAGAAATACTCAGAAAAACCCCTGCAATCATATTTAAATAAATTTCATTATTGTTTAAGGGTGAATTTCCATTTAAAAGCCACTAAAATAAAAAAACATCTATAAACATATTTAAATACATTTTATCATTTTTTAAGGTCGACTTCTTTTGTTATAAGTAATTGTTTGACTATTTATTGTTTATTTTTATTTATTTAATTATATTTTTTAATTCACTTTTAATTTTATTTTAATAATTTTTATTTTTTTTATTATTTTTTTTTTTAGTGCGGATGAGGATGTTGATTTCGATGGTACCGAGCCCCCAGTCGTTTAATAGTTTTTTTAGTTAAAAAAATTATTATTTAAAACATTTTTCTTAAAAAACCCCCCAAACTTGGATTATACTGCACTTTTGCAACAACCACAAAAAAAAAACAAAAACCAAACTATGAAAAAATTAACTCAAAATCAAAATTTCAAAAAAAAAAAAAAAACAACAACACACTAATTTAGTTTCCTTTTTTATAAAATAAAAAATATAAAACTAAATATTAAGCCAAAACTAACGTAATGAAAAAAAAACAACAAGAAAATAATTTTTAAACAAACAACAAAAACGAATCCAAATGTGTCATATTTTTAAATTTAAGTGAGTGAAGATGATGACGAAGAAGAAGAAAAAAAGAATAACATATCGCGCCAAAACCTTACGACGAACGAACAAACCTTACAATGGATAATGCACAATAACAAAAAAATATCAAAGAAAACTCCGAAACACGCTTAAGACAATGCAAACTAAAATCGATTTTCCTGGAAAATTAGAAAAATTCACAACAGCATGCAACATATCCAGCTAACTCTAAACAAATAGATAAATAAAATATTTTACCAAAAATATATTCAAACAAAAACACTCTCTCAAAATGAAATCTCAACTTTTTTTCAAATTCTCTCATTACCCAATCTCTGCCTTTATTTTTATACTCAAAAAAAAATAGAATTCCATTGAAATTTTCTCTTTTTTTGCTTAAATGTGTTCTTCTTTTTTTATTATTATATAATAATTAAATATAATTTTTAATAAGCCATTAAAAAAAACGAAAATATCATAAACAAATACTAATTTAATTTTTACCATTAACGATTTGTTTCTAATTACATATATATTTTTTTGTAAATGTTAAATCACAAAAGAGAAACAAAAAAATGGAAAGTAAAAAACAAAAATGGTATATAATAAATAATAAGAGAAGCATATACATATACATATAAAAATAAAACAACAAAATCCCAATACAATTGTAATAACACTAAATAATACTATTGTAAAAAGTTTGTTAAGTATACAAAATAAAAGAAGCCAAATTATGAAAACAAAAATACTTAAAATTAAAATTGTTTTATTTAATTGAAAAATACAGGAAGTGATGGCAACACTGTTTGGGCTAAGAAAATAATGAATTACACCGTTTTCTAAAATTCGACATAGCGTACACAATGTTTTGTACGTCCGTATTACCAAAATACGTCAGGTCCTTACCTTTTTTTATATGTTAAAGGACATATAAATGTTTTAATAGCGACAATAATGACATGGCATGAAAAACAAACATTTTAAATATTGTTTTCTTACATTAAATCAACGTAGCAATGATTTCGAACAGTTTCCGCGGTGTGGTGAAATTTCTTCAAAACTCACCACACATCTTAAACTTTTGGGACTGCTCAGAAAACTACAAATAAACAGATTTAAACAAATTTCATCGCTTCTAAAGGTCGGATTTCTATCAAAAAGCGTAAAATGTTGGAAATTATCCTTATTTTCTAACGATGAACAAAGATTTCTACAAAAATATGCCACTTATTTAAGACGCAGTTGTACCGGACATCAAATTTTAAGGTTTTTTGCTAAGCAAACTAAATATGCTTCAATTTAGAGCATTTTTAGCGGTGTGGTGAATTTTCTTCAAAACTCACCACACCTTTTAAACTTTTGGAAATGCACAAAAAGTAACCCAAAAACATAATAAAATAAATTGCAATATTTATTTAAGGTCGGATTCCTTTCAAAAAGCACAAAATATTGAAAATTTGCCTTATTTGCTAACGGTAACCAGAAATTTTTACAAAAATATGCCACTTTTTTAAAACACAGTTTTGCCGGACATTAAATTTAAGGTTTTCTGCTAAGCAAAATAAATATCCTTCAATTTAGAGCATTTTTGGCGGTGTGGTGAATTTCCTTCGAAACTCACCACACCTTTTAAACTTTTGGAAATGCAGGAAATGTTACTCATAAACAGAATTAAATGAATCGCAACATTTTTTAAGGTCGGATTCCTTTCAAAAAGCGGAAAATATAGAAAATTTGCCTTATTTACTAACGGTAAACAAAGATTTTTACAAAACTATGGCAACCATTTTCGTTACAGTTGTGCCAGACATAAATTTTATGATTTTTTGAAAAGGAAAATGAACCGCATTTTTGGCGGTGTGGTGAATTTCCATCAAAACTCACCACACCTTTTAAACCTCTGGAAATGCACGAAAATATGCTAGAAAACATAACTAAATAAATTCCAACGTTGTTTAAGGTCGGATTCCTATCAAAAAGCGCAAAATATTGAAAATTTGTACAGGTAGACATCATTTTTTTACAAAAATATGGCGACCGTTTTCGTTACAGTTGTACCGGACACAAATTTTATGATTTTTTGAAAAGCAAACTGAATATCCTTCAATTTAGAGCATTTTTGGCGGTGTGGTGAATTTCCTTCGAAACTCACCACACTTTTTAAACTTTTGAAAATGCACGAAAAGTTACTCATAAACAGAATTAAATAAATTGCAATATTTTTTAAGGTCGGATTCCCATCAAAAAGCCCAAATAATTGAAATTCTGCCTTATTTGCTAACGGTAAACAACAATTTTGAAAAAAAATGGCAACCATTTACGTTGGAGTTGTGCCAGACATAAATGTTATGATTTTTTGAAAAGGAAAATAAATATCCTTCAATTTTGAGCATTTTTGGCGGTGTGGTGAAATTTCTTCAAAACTCACCACACCTTTTAAACCTCTGGAAATGCACAAAAAATTACTCATAAACAGAATTAAATAAATTGCAATGTTTTTCAGGGTCGAATTTCTATCAAAAAGCACAAAATATTGAAAATTTGCCTTATTTGTGCCGGTAAACAAACAATTTTACAAAAATATGGCAACCATTTACATTACAGTTGTGCCAGACATAAATTTTATGATTTTTTGAAAAGCAAAATAAATATTCTTCAATTTAGACCTTTTTGGCGATGTGGTAAATTTCCATCAAAACTCACCTTTCAAATCTTTGGAAATGCACAAAAAGATACTCACAAACAGAATTAGAAAAAAAATAAAAAAAAATGCTCATAAACAGAATTATATAAATGGCAATGTTTTTTTAGAATCGGATTCCTATCAAAAAATGCAATATATTGAAAATTTGTACCGGTAAACAAAGATTTTTACAAAAATATGGCAATCATTTACATTACAGTTCTGCTAGACATAAATTTTTTGATTTTTTGAAAAGGAAAATGAATATCCTTCAATTTAGAGCATTTTTGGCGGTGTGGTGAATTTCCGTCAAAACTCACCACACCTTTCAAACTTTTGAAAATTACAAGAAAAATGCTTAAAAACATATTTAAATAAATTTTGTCATTCTACCTTAGAATTCCAATCAAAATTCTGGCCTAAATCTCACCTCATTCACCAAAAGCATACAAATCAGTTAAAAAATGTTTAAAAACGTCTTTAGTAGGACATCAAATTTATAATATTACCCAGGAAAAAAGAAATAAAATGGAAAAATACATTTGGACGTTGTAGCGTGTGCTTCAAGAGTTTTCTTAAAGTAACCGTAATTCCGTAAACAAATGTCCATAACTCTTTAAATGTCAACTTTTTTAATGACCATACCTCCTTTACTTCTAGGCGTTTTAGCACGTCTTTTCTGAAGATGTTTTTTTTTTTTTTTGTAAAAAATTGGTATGTACTCCTTACCGATTTATTTTTCTCTAGAACCACTAGTGAAATTTGATGTAGAATAATTTCCCTTTTCACACCATACCCCTATAGTAAAAATTGGGTGAAATTTTGGGCCAAATTTCAAAAAGACCCAAAAATGCTTTATTAAGCCATATTCACAATTTTCGAACCTATATTTTATGGTTCTATATTACTCCCACGGATTTCTTTTGCTCGAGAGGCCATAGTGGAATTTCATGTAGAATATTTTCTCCTTTGACGCCATAGGCCTAAGGCGAAGAATTAGGGGAACTTTAAGTCTAGTTTTAAAAAGGCCCAAAAATTCTCAAAAAAAAATAACATTAACTATATTTTATTTTTATATATTATACCTACCGATTTCTTTTACTCTAGAGCCTATACCGGAATTTCATATAGAATATTTTACCCTTTAACACCATACCCCTATAGTAAAAATTAAGAGAAAATTTGGGCCAAATATCAAAAGGACACTAAAATGATTTATTGAAATATATCCACAATTTTGAACCTATATTTTATTGCAACATATTGTTCCCACCGATTTTTTTTACTCTAGAGCCCATAGTGGAATTTTATGTAGATATTTTCCCCTTTGACACCATATCCCTATAGTAAAAATTAGAGGAAAATTTGGCCCAAATTTCAAAAAGACCCAAAAATGTTTTATTAAACCATAATCACAATTTTTAACCTATATTTTATTATTATATATTACACCTACCGATTTATTTTACTCTAGATCCCATAGTGGAATTTCATGTAGAATATTTTCGCCTTTGGTAGCATAACCCTAAGGTGAAAAATTAGGGGAACATTTGGGCCAAATTTCAAAAAGACCCAAAAATGCTTTATTAGACCCTATTCACAATTTCAAGCCTATATTATATTGTTATATATTACTCCTACCGATTTCTTTTGCTTTAGAGCCCATAGTGGAATTTCTTGTAAAATATTTTCCCCTTTGACACCATATCCCTATAGTAAAAATTAGAGGAAAATTTGGCCCAAATTTCAAAAAGACCCAAAAATGTTTTATTAAACCATATTTTACTCTAGAATTTCATGTAGAATATTTTCCCCTTTGACGCCATAGGCCTAAGGTGAAAAATTAGGGGGAAATTTGAGCCTAGTTTCAAAAAGACCCAAAAATTCTCAACAAAAATCACATTGACAATTTGCCAACTGATATTTAACTACTATATATTATTTATAACGATTTCTTCAACTTGAGGACTCATAATGGATTTTGCTGTAGAACATTTAGTCCTTTGACACCAAGCTTGTGAAATCAAAAATTATGGGATTTTTGGGCCAAATTCAGAAAAGACCAAAAAATTACAAAACAAAAAGTTTTACTATTTTTTAGTCTCCCAATTTAAAACGGTTATTTTTCAAAGTTTATATTCAGCCTAGCGATTTTTTTTTGTTCGGGGACTTATGTTACAATTTGCCATAGAATAATTTCTCCTTTGACACCAACCCCCTACAATGGCAAATTGTGGGAAATATTTGGATAATTTGAACAGGCACTTCTACGAAGTGTGAAATGGCAAATTCGGTTTAATGCCGTTTATAGTAAATTTATATAACAATAATGGTGTTTAGTCTAGGCAAGAACCATACATAGAACAGTATAAACTCTTCTATAAAAAATATAATATATAAATATATAGTTGGTCATGTTTACATAAATTTACTAAAAAGGCATTAAACCGAATTTACCATTCCACAGGACGTAGAAAGAAGTGCTTCCTCAGATTATCCAAATATTTCCCTCAATTCGCCATTGTAGGGTATTGGTGTCAAAGGAGAAATTATTCTATGTCAAATTTTACCATAAGTCCCCGAACAAAAAAAATCGCTAGACTAAATAAAATCTTTGAAAAATAGCCGTTTTAAATTGGGAGACTAAAAAATCACTAACCTTTTTTTTGTGATTTTTTTGGTCTTTTCTGAATTTGGCCCAAAAATCCCATAATTTTTGATTTCACAAGCTTGGTGTCAAAGGACAAAATGTTCTACAGAAAATTCTAGTAAGAGTCCTCAGGTAGAAGAAATCGTTATAAATAATATATAGTAGTTAAATATCAGTTGGCAAATTGTTAATGTGATTTTTATTAAGCCGTTTTGGGCCGTTGTGGAATTTAGCCCAAATTTCAAATATTTTTTCATCTTAGGGTAATGGTGTCAGTGGAAAAAATATTCTACATGAAATTCCACTAGAGGCTTTGGAGTAATTGAAATCGGCAGGAGCAAAAAAAACTAGGCTCACAAATTGTGAATATGAATGGGTAAAATATTTTTGGATCGATTTGAAATTAAGCTTAAATTTTCCCTAATTTTCCACCCTAGATCTATGGCGTCAACGGGAAAAATATTTCAAATCAAATTTCACTAGTGGTTCTAGAATAAAAGAAATCGGTGGGAATCATATATAGCAATTTAAAATAGGTTCAAAATCATGAATAGGGATTAATAAAGCATTTTTGGTTCTTTTTGAAATTTGGCCCAAATTTTCCTCTAATTTTTATTATGGGGGTATGGTGTCAAAGGGAAAAATATTCTACATGAAATTCCACTAGAAGCTTTGGAGTAATTGAAATCGCCAGGAGTGATATAAAGCAATAAAATCTAAGCTTACAAATCGTGAATATGAATTGGTAAAACATTTTTGAATCGATTTCAAATTAGGCTCAAATTTCCCCTAATTTTCTACCTTAGACCTATGGCGTCAAAGGGAAAAATATTTCAAATCAAATTTCACTAGTGGTTCTAGAGTAAAAGAAATCGATGGGAATCATATATATCATATATATGAATCATATATACATATATATTAAATATGGGTTCAAAATTATGAATATGGTTTTATAAAGCATTTTTGGGTCTTTTTGAAATTTGACCCAAATTTTCCTCTAAGTTTTACTAAGGGGTATGATGTCAATGGGAAAAATATTCTAAACGAAATTCCACTAAGGCTTTAGAGTAATGAAAATCGGCAGGAGTGATATAAAGCAATAAAATCTAGGCTTACAAATTGTGAATATGAATGGGTAAAACATTTTTGGATCGATTTTAAATTAGGCATAAATTTCCCGTAATTTTCAACCTTAGGCCTATAACGTCAAAGGAGAAAATATTCTACGTGAAATTTCACCACGCGCTTTAGAGTAATAGAAATCGCTAGGTGCCCAGAAATTGTTATTTGGTTCCTTGAAAGTTATGCATTTTTAAAAATAACTCCTAAGAAGCTTTGCTCCAAAAGCTCAGGATTTATTTTCTTCGATTATTTCAATTTCCCTGTTGAATATTATTCCATCGTCTTCCTTTTGCTTAAAACTATTTCGCTTCTCCATTTCCTCCAAATTGAAGAAAACTCCATTTCACCAGATAGTTGCTAAAGTTTTCTGTTTTATTTCATAATTTCTACTTCCTCTTCATTTCCTCAAAATAAAGCATTTCTAAATTTAAGGGAGGTGTGTAAGTAAATGTTTTCAATTTTCATTGGCATTTAAATGTGATTTTAAGATAACTACAATATCATTATCATGGTGTCTTTTTCTTAGGCGGTAAAAATGGTAACTAAAACAAAAAAAAAATAATTAGTAGAAGCCTTTAAGCAACCAAAAAAATTAAGGGTTATTTTTAATTGAGAATATTTTTTTTTTTTTTAAATTAGTAGTTTTAAATGTGATAATTATAGAGTTTTGTATACAAATAATTCATAAGAAAAATATAGAGGTTTATTTTTTTTTTTTTTTTTTTTGCTTTACACACAAGTAGTATACAAACAAAGTAAAATTAGTAGAAGTTTTATAGGTTACGAACTTCACTTCAAGTTTTGTTTTTTTCTTTTCATTTTTCTTCTTTCTACAATCCTAGATATCACACAAATGTATTTTGTTTCACGTATTTCTTTTTTTTTAAACATTGTTTTCCAGACTTTTGTTTGATTGAAAAAATTAATTAAAAAAAAAAAATAAATTATAATTTTTTGCAAAAATTTGAAAGGAAAAAAATGGAGATACAATCGTTCGTTTTAATGATCGTTGAAAATTTTAAACCACGGTACTTTGTATCCAATTGAGGGCTCCACGTATGCGTCGTAGTCTGGCCCTGGCCAGGAAGCTGCAGATCAATAAATACTCTACATAAGTACGACGACCCGTTTGCTGATATTGGCCTAGATGGGGTACAGGTTTCGAATTGGCCTCACACATGATTTTGGTGGTCAAGGACAAAAGCCATTGCAAGATCTAAAAGAATAGACACTATCACACCAAATATCACAAATTATAAATGCATTTTAACCTACCTCTGCACTGTTGGGCATACCACCCACCTTGAGCCACTTGGAAGGAGCCCACAAAAACAATTGCATAACATTGGCGGCAATATCTGGGCTAACACGTTTCGAAGGATTGGGTGACAAAATATTGTAGATCAATTGCTGCACCAACGTGGGACATTCCTCCGACAGCTGTGGCAAATCCTCATCCTTATAATCGGAATTGCGCAGCGAATAGGTTTCAATTGCCAATCCGCCACTGGAAGAATAAAATGGATTACGCATACCAAATATTTCATAAGCAATGGCACCGCAGGCCCACAAATCTGCTTTGCCATAATTCAAGACCGCAAAGGGCCCTGGCTGTTTGTTAATAATTTCCGGTGCCATCAATGCGGCATTACCACCCTTATCAATATCAAACGAAGTATAAGGCACTTGCAGACCATTCAAGCGATCGGCCAGGCAACAACCAAAATCGGACAACACCAATATTGGTGGTGAGTCATCATCGTTCAATTCAATTAATATATTATCCGATTTAATATCCCGATGAGCGATACCATGACGACTAATATGGGCCACCGCCTCCAGCAGCTGGGTTAAAAGCAACAATTTCGATCGGGTACTCAATTGATGTGAATCCAAATAGGAACGTAAACTATAATCGTAACGTTTCATTAACAAATACAGCGACATGTTGCGCCCATAGCCATTGGGATTAATACGCTGCGGCTGGGCAATGGGGTACAGCAGATGGCCATCGGGGAAATTGCCCACCTCATCACAAAAGAAGCCATACATACAAACAATATTGGGATGTGGTGGTAGGGTCAAAGTTTGATCTTGTAAATGTTGTTCCCACGACTCGGCCGCTTCGTTGATGTAGCGTTGACGTGCCGGCACAGTTTCCTTATACATGGCCCTTAAAATGGCCAAGGCATTACTTTGGATGTCATAGTTAAACATCATTTTCAAGGCCAAGGGATAGCGATGTATATTTGCGCTGGCGGAGGGCGTGTCCATTGTTTGCTAAATAGAAAAAAATGTAGAAAAAAGATAAAGTTTGAATACGGAGATGTTTCAAGTCCAGATAGGACGAAATTGCATTTCTCATACTCACCAAGCCCATGGTACCGCTGCTAACACCGGAAAATCCAGTCTCAGCTTTTGATTGTATCTTAAAATCTTTACTCCGCTCAATGTCCTCTAAATTCCTTTCCGCCTGCAAGACATCTCTAAATTGTGCTGCAGCTGATGTTTGACTAAATAGCTGGACATTATCCACCGAACCGCCAAAATTATGGACAAAACGTGATATATTTTGTATGGGTGTAATATATTCCGGACGGAAAGATTGCTGCTGCAGTGGTTGACGGCCAGCCGGGGAATTATGCTCGGAAGGTGCGGGCGTACCAACGATTTCGGGTGCATTTTCTGGTACATCTAATGTAGAGTTATTTTTAAAGGAAGCAGCATAAACAACAGCAGCACAACCCTTAGCAATTGCCGGTCCAATGGAAAGTTTATCAATACTAAATGAGGAATCCAAGGTCTCAGATACTTCATCATAGTTCCAGGAGGATTGAAGACGATTTGCTGCCTCGCGAATTTCCCAGCACACGCCTTCCAATTCATCTTCTTTTGTCAATACACCAGCTCCGGAAGCCAAGCTAACACCAATGAGAGCAAAAAACGGGGCCGAATCGCCATAGAATAGTTTCTTTGTGGCCTGGGTACGTAACTCAGCGGAATAGGTAGTGGTGACGCGATTTAGGATGTTATCAATGAAGAGCTTACGTGCCTGTTGACCAAAGCGGAAAATGCCTGCAGAATGGGGGACATTGGCAGCCAACTGGCCAGTGGCTGCACCCGCTTTCGAGCTACCAGCTACTGCATTTATGGCACCTCGGGCAACGGATTTCTAAGGGCGGAGAAGGGAAAGCAAATTAGAATGGAAAAAAAACCAAGGCCATGTATTTTAGGAAATATTCTCATAAATGCATAAGGTATTGGAAATGACAATAGCTACCTTCTTCTAAGATAAATTCTATGATTTTAAATCCAAAAATATTTCCTAAATTCTTAAAATGCAATGAATACCCACCTTAACCACCGATGATCCAGGTGGTATACGTTGTTGACGTGTTCGTTGTTGATTTTGTTCCAAAATGTTGGTGTGTATATCTCTTTTCCAATAGCTTTGGAGCAAAAAACGACCATGTTTAAAAAGTCGCGAGGTCAATAAACGTACAGACATGCTGGCCACCACCACTGCAAGCCCCTCAAAACAGCAGCTACACAATCAAAACCTTTTTAGCAGAAAGAAAATCCTTTTCTACTTGGTGATGTCTTTTGAGCGTTTTCTGAAAATAGATATTGCGTTGTATTTTAAATATGTATGTTGTTTTGGATTTATTTTTTTCACATACAAATTCATTACCTACCCTTTGTTACGTTTCCCCTCTTCCGACTGCGTTGTTTTTGTGTTTTTTTTTTTAATTTATTATTTTTCTCTGATTTGTTTTATTTTCCAATAATAATTTGCTCACCGCTTGATGCGGTTTCCACAAGTTCTAACATAACAACAACAAAAATATGTGCAATTTGCTTGGGTGATGGAATCCAACAGCAGTGCAGCGACAACTTCCTTGCCTAAAAACAACAAAATGACCAACAGATGTGAGTGCGATGATGTTATTGTTTTGTTTGTTGTTTTCTATGGCCTTTCTTTGTTTTGTTTTTTTGTTTTTTCCTCCTAACTTGTTTTGTTTTTGTCTCTTTTTTTTGCACATTTCTTTATATTTTTTATGTAACCAATCACAAAAATCACATCGCCGTCTGGGTTTCCAAAATGTCCTTCCTTTAGGATTAGTAGAATACTTAATTTATGGCCAATTATCACCATTAACAAGTTTTTAATGTTTTCATTTACTTCGTTAAACAATTAACACCAACCTTTTTGTATATTTCACGTTTTATCGTACTTAAAAAGACTAAATTTTTATCAATTTCCAATTTGTTTGATGCGTACAATGCAAAACCAAAAATGACAACTGACAACCCTACAACCTGGTTGCAATTCACTCAGAATTGATAGTATGTACTGCTGCCAAATAATACTTTCAATGAGAGACGTGTGGCAAAAAGCAAATTTTTGTCATTTAAAACGAATTTAATTTCTTTCGCAAAAGATATATAAAGCTTATTAATGTTTTTAATTTAAACCATAAATTTTAATATTATATTGAAAAATGAGTTAAAAAAACTAGATAAGTGAATGAAATTTCCAGGCAAATGTTAAATCAGGCAATACTGCAAATGTTTGTAATTTGGAAAAGGAATTGTATTTTTTGTTGTGAAAAATACAGAAATAAAAATAGGTACAGTATTTAACAACGTTTATCGAAAATTTATTTTTTATTATTTTTTTATATTTAATTATCACAGCTACCTTGTCCATAGGGTCATGAACGGTTCCAAAAACTTCTATACATGACTACTCTAAGTAAATGTATAAATTTTAAAAAATCGTGAACATATGATTACATGACTTTACAATCTTAATTCTACCATGGTCATCGGCTGGCTTCTTCGTAGAGGAGCAAATGATGTTTAAGTTGACTTAGTTCGATTTTGGCCCTAGGCTTCTTTGTTCATTTCCGAAGAAGCCAGCCGGCGACTTAAGCCAGCCAAATTAACGCTTATGTATGATATGTCACAAAAGATACCATGCGAAGAGTTCAAGCTGCTTATGTACCCACACTTTTAGTTTTGTCCGGGTTGAACTATGAAAACCCTCTACCATTTGCAAATTTCAAAAAAAAAATCTTTGAAAAATAAAGCTAAACCCATAAAAATATCGAAATTGTTGTTAAATTGGTTCCTCTACAAAGACGTGGGCCGGCATATCCATTTTTTTGCCATAGTCATAACAATATTAAAATACCAAATTTGAAACAATAATTTCGCTAAATCATTAAAATGTGGAATATAGGGAGGCCATGGGGGCTATGCGAAGACCTGAATCTGCATTTTGTCATAAGCAATACAGAATATAGGGAGGTGCTGTTATACTGGGGCCATACGAAGACGTTGACCTGTATGAGCAATTTTCTGTCATCGGCTGTAGTACCCATTAGGAACTTCAGATACGAAAATAATGACACTAAAATCATCAAAATACGGAATATAGGGAGATGACGCTATACGGGGGCTATAAGAAAACGTCGACCTGCATACGCGATGTTCTGTCATAGACTGTGGTATCAATTAGGAACTTCAAATACGAAATTTGAAACAATTCCGGAGAAACGTCTGACATAAATGATCAAAATACCAAATATCTGGAGGTACAGTTATGTGGGCACTATTCTATGCAAGGATGTTTCTCACATAATGGGAACACATCCAGCCAATTTCCAATAAATTCGGTTTCAAATTGTGACTGAAAAACCCAAAATAACCTTAATTATGCCAGTACAGCTATATGGGGGCCTGCAGACCAAACATACATTTGAGTAAAATTCGATCAATCTACTTCAATTCCTTCGAAAGCTAGAGTGATTTCCACAGACCTACAGACGGACGGCTATCGCTAAATCGACATAGAATTTTATGCTTATCAGAAATATATATGCTCTGTTTCAGTACCAGCAAGAATCTACTAGTCTTGCTATTTTTCGTATCGTAAAGGGAAAATCGGTTATCGTGGTAAAAACTTTTACGTTCGTGTAGTTCTGGAACAGGCCAATATCCTTTGTAGGGTCTTAAATATTATATTTGGAGGTGTTAAAAATGGAATGACAAACCTTCATAGAATATAACAATGAAATCAATGTATAATTTACCTTCTTAATTGAAATATCTAAAATAAATATCATGGTAGAACAATATAGGTATAGGAACGCATCGAGACAGCTGTTGGGACAATGAACTGCCAAACCAATTTTGGAATTGAAAATGATGAATTAAAAATTATTTAAATTTGCAAAAATTTTGGAAAACGCGTATTATAATAACCTCTGAATGACGTCGTAAACATAAAAACATCTACTTATATTTGAAAAGACATTTAAAAATTTTTGACATATCAATGTTCCCTAGCGTTGATGCACCTACCTGTATTCTTCTACCATGGTTCATATTCTAACAAAATTTCACGAAGCAATTTTTCTTACAAACTCAAAATCCTGCCTAATCGAAATTTTCCTACAATTTTTGTGATGTTGGCATTCATTACGTCACACAGGTAATTATACAGGATCTCAGTTGTCTTTCCTACATATATTTTACTAAAACTGTTGATTTTCCCTCCATTATTTCGGTTTAGTTTCACAGTCTATAGCTCCCTCAATGTTTAGAGACATTTTCCCTTTATAACTCGCGCACCTATAGAACCCTTGTCTACTACGAAAAAAATACAGCTCCCATTGGCAATTTTGACAGTTGTCACAAGACCCAATAATCACATATGACCGTATTGTAGATTTTCTTCGTCCCCATTGAATTTTTGTTCGTGTACGGAGGAAATTTTTTTCAAATTTTCAGCAAATACCCTAATTTTTGGAGGAAATTTGTGTAAAAATCAAAAACAACAAATATGTCTGGAAAGGATAGGTTACCAATTTTCCCCTCTCGTGGGTAAGTAAATTGGAAAACGAAAGGCAAAGTGATTTTTGCTGAAAAGTGGTTGTGCGACATGAACAATTTTGCTGATTCGTTGCATTTTTTTCATGTTTTTTCCCCGATAGTGCCCAAATGTTGATGAAGGCACGTTTGGCTGGTGCACAAAAGGGTCATGGGTTGCTGAAAAAGAAGGCTGATGCCTTGCAAATGCGTTTCCGTATGATTTTGGGTAAAATCATTGAGGTAAGTGATTGCTTGGAGTTGGGGGATGTTGGGGGTGGGGAAGTATTGTGTGAAAAATGTTATGTATGTTTGATTGTATTTTTTTTTCTTCTACAGACCAAAACTTTAATGGGGGAAGTTATGAAGGAGGCTGCCTTCTCCTTGGCCGAGGCCAAATTCACAACCGGTGACTTCAATCAGGTGGTTTTGCAAAATGTCACCAAAGCCCAAATTAAAATTCGCACAAAGAAAGACAATGTGGCTGGTGTTACATTGCCCGTTTTCGAATCCTATCAAGATGGTGCTGATACCTATGAATTGGCTGGTTTGGCTCGTGGTGGTCAACAATTGGCCAAATTGAAGAAAAACTATCAAAGTGCTGTCAAGCTATTGGTAGAATTGGCTTCCTTGCAGACCTCCTTTGTGACCTTGGATGAAGTCATTAAGATCACCAACAGAAGAGTTAATGCCATTGAACATGGTATGTTGTTTTAAGTCGTTTGAAATGGAATATTTCCAAGATTAATTTAAAATCTTCTTGATTTTAGTCATTATTCCCCGTATTGACCGTACCTTGGCCTACATTATCTCCGAATTGGATGAATTGGAACGTGAAGAATTCTACCGTCTAAAGAAGATCCAAGATAAGAAACGTGAGGCCCGTTCCAAACAGGAAGCCCACAAGGCTGAACTCTTAAAGAAGGGCATCGATGTCCGTGAGGTGGCCAACATCTTGGATGAGGGTGATGATGATGTTCTATTCTAAGTCCACTTTGTAAAGTTATATAGAGCATAAAGAAATCAACTCTTAGACAAACAACCAACAAAAAGCAAAAGAAACAATAATAACAACAACCCAACACACTACGAACAGTGTTTTAAGTTATAAGTCTAAACGGGAAAAAATACCTGAAAATTATTGTTGTTTTTTTATTTTATTTCAATTTGATGTTTAGTTTCATTTCGTTATTGTTTTTTGTGACTGTCTTCCCCGGTTTTGTTTTTTTTTTTTTCATTTTCATTTGAAACTTTTATTTCACTCTGCTAACGAAAAAAGACACTTAACACAGTATTCTTTGCCAAGTAGTGATTATTTGTTTGTTTTGTTGAATATGGTTTTTAAGAACAATATAAAAATTTGCATCAGTTTTAAATAAAATTCCATAAAATTATCGTAATATACTACTGTATTATATATTAAAAAAAAGAATTAGAAAAAAAAACGAAATCTTCATAAAAAACTATTGTTATAATTAATAAGTAACGCCTGCATTATGGTATTCAAATAAATAATATATAAATGTTAATGGAAATATGAGTCTTCTCAGTTTCAATAAATTAATATTCAGCATCATTGAAGGGAGGGTGTGGGGAGGGGACGATTTGTGAATTGTTTTTCCCTTGGTGTTCTTAATTTTCCTTTATGATTGTCTGAGAACTGTGTATGTGTTTTGACACCCGTTGTCCATGCGCCGAAATAGCTCAGTTGGGAGAGCGTTAGACTGAAGATCTAAAGGTCCCCGGTTCAATCCCGGGTTTCGGCAAGCAGTCTTTTTTTATTTTTTTTTACATTTTTTATATCTATTTTTATAAAAAAAAATAATTGTTTTATAAAATGTTAAATTAGTGTTGCTTTTTTCTTTGTATTTTTGTGTAACAAACTGTTATTTAAAGGTAAGAAAAAAATATTTTAAAACTTTTACCTTAAAAAAAAAATTAGAACAGTGTTGGCTTGTTTGTTCGGGATATCATCGTATTTTGTTGTTACAAAATGGTCAGGCGTAAACCTTTTATTGTTGTTTTTATAAAAACAACGTTTGCTTATAAGTGGAGAACGATGGTAATGTTTACAGATGTTTCAACAAACATTGTTTTTTATAAAAACAACAATAAAGCCTGACCATTTTGCAACAACAAAAAGTATTTTTTTTCATATTTTATTTAATGTTAACATATACAGGGTGAGATAAAAAAAAACTACAACAAATTTAAACGCCATAATTTTGACATTTTTTGTTTTAAATTTTATTAAATGGAAGCAAAAAATGTCGGAAATAGCATCAAATTTTAGAATAAGTTTTGGATTTTCTGCGAATTGGCCATCTTTGGCAAGAATTATGGCCTTCAAACGGCCAATGAAACCGTCACACGCTGCCCGAATGTTGCTCTGGGATATTTTGGCCCATTCCCGGCGAAGCGATTGCTTTAGGTGATCGAAACTTTGGTATTTTTTAGTGCGCCAACCTTGCTTTCCAAAATACCCCAGACACAATAGTCCAACGGCTTGGTATCCGGACATTTTTGGTGGCCATTGTGCGCTGGAAATGAAGCGAAGAACCTTAGATTGTAACCATTCTTGGGTGGCGCGTGCTGAGTGCGATGGTGCTGAGTCCTGTTGGAATGTCAAAGGTCTGTGGCCAAAATATTTGCGGCTTTAATACACCATCCAGAAAATTTAGCGATAATATTCGGCATTTATTCTAATGCCACGGTCGATTAATACGAGCGGAGAGCGACCATCGGCTGTTATGGCGGCCCACACCACCATCACCATGGCCAGCGTTGGACCTGCCTCTCTAGATCATGTATGTCCTTCCTGACACGCCTGGGTGGGGGAGATTTATCCACCATATGATGGTTGGGATGACTCTCACGGTAACACCCAAGCAGGTACGGCAACGAAAGTTTATGATTATGCTGACGTAAGGGAAGAACATTCGTCTCCTCATGTAGATGGTCCACTGGTGGTGTCATGAGAAGGCACCCTGTCGCAGTTCTCAGGTCTGGATGTGCTTCCACTGCGTAGCACTAGTATTCGTAGACCACACTGGAGCCACATAGCTGACCACAGACCGACATATCGCGTTATAAGAGGTCAACAAGGTTTTTGTTGTCCTATCAAGAAGCCTATTAGGCAGATCTGAGTGGCATTCATACCGATGCAGTCGCCGATGCTATTAGCAGTTATAAAATGAATGGCGTCCTCGTTGCAGCTGAAGAACGTCAGCTGTCTAGACGTGCAAAAAGATCCAACAATGTAAATTGGATTGAAAATGCCGAAACCCGGGATTGAACCGGGGACCTTTAGATCTTCAGTCTAACGCTCTCCCAACTGAGCTATTTCGGCAATGGGAAGAGTTTTGAAACCAGCTCTAACATAAAATGAACATTTCGAGTAAGGGGGTGGATAAATAAGCGGTTTGCATTCAGGATTATAATTGTTTCTCAAGAAGTTTTTTTCCCTCCTAAAATGTATTTCAAATTTCCAGCAGCTTCAAACCGTACGTGAAAGATTTGTGTAGAGTTGCCAAATTTTGCAGAATATTATAAAGGTGTATTCGCAATGGATTTTAACAAGTTATCCTCGTTCAGAACGGTTAGGTCTTTGAGCATTTTTTTAAATGTCAAATTACCAAGTTTTGAAATTAAACCAGATACTTTCTGAAGATTTTTCGAATGTGGTGAATGGTGTATTTTTTGGAAACAATAAACTTTTTAATTTAAATAATTTATTATTTCAATAAAATTATTATTATTATTTTTTTTTTGTAATTTTCTTGTAGATCGACCTCAGAATGTTGAGGTATAACGACACCCAACCTCGTTTTCATATAAAATTTGGAACAAAAATTGGCTTCCAAACCCCGTAATTGAATTAAACACGATCTTAAGTTTCTTTCAATATTTTTATTTTTAATAAAATCGTATTATAAAATTTTTCTTATACGTTTTTTATTTTCTTTATAATTTTTCACATTATTTTTATATGAAAAAAATAAATTTTACTTTAAATTAAGTTTCTTTCAATAATATCAAATTTGTTATTGTTTATAATAATATCCAAATTATTGTTTTTTTTTTTTCTAATTTCTTGTAGTTTGAACTCGAAACGTTTAGGTCATACTAAACCCAACATCTTTTTTCATCTACAATTTAAACAAAGATGGTTTCCAAACCACAAAATTGAATCAAACATGCTCTTAAGTCTCTTTCAATATTTTCTATATTTTATTTTTAATAAAATTGTCTTCTAACATTTTTCATGCAATTTTTTTATTTTCTTTATAATTGTTTTTTTTTTTCATATGAAAAATGAATTTTTATTTTAAATAAAAAAAAAAAATAAAGACAAAAAAGATTCTTTGCCGAAACCCGGGATTGAACCGGGGACCTTTAGATCTTCAGTCTAACGCTCTCCCAACTGAGCTATTTCGGCACATGCTCAACACACTGCAATTTAATAATTTTCCCAGAAATTATTTAAAATAAAATTTAATTTTATTTCAATTAAATTCCATAAATTTGTTGTTCTAATATTATTTATTAATTATACAAATAAATTACAATAAAATCTATTAATTAAAGGGACAAATAAACACCCTCTAACAACTAAACAGTAGTTGTGTGACGCTATACATCATTACTATTAGTAATGCCTAAAACTATGCTACATATTTCGGCAATCACATTTAATCACCAGCAAAACATTGATTGGAGACAACATGCCGGCCGCTGAGTTTTATTCACACATCATGGCCTTCTTGTGGCAGGAAATTGAGGATATTAACTTGGAAAATGTCTTATCATTTGCCACACAGCCAAAATGAAGAATCACTGCGTTATGTGAAGTTCAATGAAATCATTGTGGTTATGTTGATTTGCCGCCATCATCAAATCCCATGATCCAACATCGTTGAACTTCGGGGATATTTGAAGGGAAAGGTGTGAGAAAAAGCCAGGAGTAAAAGCATCAGCCCAATGTGAAATGATATTTGAAATTAAATAGAATTTATAATTTTATTCACGATTTGTTGAACGTATATCACCCGGTGTTCATTTTAATTATTCACTGAACAGAGGAACTGAACTAGTTGCCAAATTGAAATGCCCTTAAATTGTCAAAATGTAAAGGAGATGGTCTGTTTTATTTGCAAATAACGGTAGCCATGCGCCATGGTAGAAGAATATAGGTAGACGCATCGACACAGCTGCTGGGACTATGAACTGTCAAACCAATTTTGGAATTGAAAATGTTGAATGAAAAATTATTTAAATTTGTAAAAATTGTTGAAAAACGCGAATTATGATAACCTCCGAATGACGTCGTTTAAGAAAAAATTTAAAAATCTACTTATATTTGAAAAAAAAAAACATTTAAATTATTTTGACATATCAATGCTCTCAAGCGTTGATGCATCTACCTGTATTTTTCTGTCAAGTCCTGAGCTTTATGTGAGTTTTCATGATATTATTGCGATCATGGTAAAATAAAAAGGTAAGATAGAGCTACCAGCTGATTGCAATTTTTGTCTAAGTGTGTCAGACTTTTGCCTATTTCTGGTCTGTTCTACTTTAACTGATTTTTCCCTTTATAATATCGGAGAAAATTGTAAAACTAGTAGATTCTTTCAGGTTCTGGAACAGACAATTTTTGTATGTATTTGTTGTTTTGAAAAATAAAAACAAAATATTTTCAATAAATAAAAATATTTTCAAAATCAATGATTGGAAGAAACTTGAATTTGCGGGGCGCGCATTCATAATATTAACCAGATTTGCCATGGAATTGAAAGATTAAACACTTACGATCATATTTTTTAGAGAACATCCAGACATTTTATTCATATTTCGCTATTTGACTTTTTTTTAAAATTGAACAAAATTTTGGTATTTTTTGAAATGAAAACAACAAATAACGGTAGCCATGCGACCAGAATTGGGGATATTTACAAATATGTGTTATTACTTGCCGCACAGCCAAAAAAAGATTCACTGCCTTTTTTGTGTGAGATTTAATGATATTATTGCGGCCAACAGGTGAGTTACCACCGGTGGATAGAAAATGTGTACAAAAATTCGTCAAGGCCAATTCAGAGGTAAATGCCTTAGGTTCTTCCATACATCTATGCCCATTAAATATACTTTTAATCCCGATTTGTTGAACGTATAGTCGCCTGGCATTCATTTGAACGATTCACTGAAAGGAACAATTTAACTAGTTGAAAACTTTAATGCCCTCCAATTATCCACATGTGAAGGAGAAGGAATGTGTTTTATTTGTGTAAAACGGTAACCATGCGACCAGAATTGGGGATATTGACAAATATGTGTTATTACTTGCCACACAGCCAAAAAAAGAATCACTGCCTTTTTTGTGTAAAGTTGAATGATATTATTGCGGCTATCAGGTGAGTTACAATCGGTTAATTGGAAATGTGTACAGAAATTCGTCAAGGATAATTCAGGAGTAAATGCGTCAGGTTCTTGTATACATCTATGGCCCATTAAATATTATTTTAATCCCGATTTGTTG